TGAGAATAGTAGTATATGTCACTTCAGATATAAAAGAACAGAGTATATGGGTTCCGAGTGCTGAAGTTTGATTATATGGTTATTATTTTTATTTTTATTTTTCAGTAGTGATAAAATAAGAAAGATAGTATGATTGGTATTGTCGGCTTTGAACGCAGTGCGAAGTTGTTGTTGGTACAGGGTTGAAAAAAGAAAAGAATAGAGTGGCGATGACTGTCGACTTTGAGAGCAGTGCGAAGTTGTTGTTGGTACAGGGTTGAAAAAAGAAAAGAATAGAGTGGCGATGACTGTCGACTTTGGGAGCAGTGCGAAGTTGTTGTTGGTACAGGGTTGAAAAAAGAAAAGAATAGAGTGGCGATGACTGTCGACTTTGAACGCAGTGCGAAGCTTATAGGGACACGAAGGTTTGACCAAGGGCTTATTTTTTGTTAGAGCCGCATATACAGTGAACAGTCGTCAAAAAGATAAAATAAAGAGTATTTCATTTTTTATTTTATTTTTCAAAAGAGTGCGCTTCCTTTTCGTATTGCGTCGCTTTCGGTCCACTTTGAGTTGCAATACAATATGAATGACGATCCCCAACAGGAATGAAGATCCTCGACTGGGATGGCGGAATGTCGAAAGAAGATTCAAGCCATGGTTAAAAAGATTTTTTTTTTGTTTTGGTTACAGCACAGTGAAGGGGTTTTGAATACACAGTCCTCTCTCAACGATTGTAAGTGAGTACCATACGGTCTTTAAACCTTCGTATGGGTAACAGTATCCCTGTCAATGGACCCTGCTATGATTCTTTCACTTGTGGGTACACAAAGGGTGTCTGCACCACCGATCAGTAATACCAGTTTACAAAATAAGACTTTTGTTTATAGGAAGTCGTAGGCTCTAATTTACCAATGAGCCTCTACACAGTCTAGAAGAAGACATAAAAAGCAAACCACCTTATATTCTATATTTTATAATGGTACAGCCAAGATATCGGTGGACAAGCTGGTTTGTGCGTCTATATGTGAAGAAAGACTGGGATGTATACACTGCACATATACATCTTGGAGACAGGTATTTAGCCCCCAAAAAAAAAGAAAAAATGCCCTTATTAATTTAAATTTTCTCATTTTTTTCTTTTTTACTTCTTTACACCAATTTACTATCATAATTTTAATTAATAAATCTGAAACAAAGACTTCAAGTATGCTATTTAATGGAACACATAAAAAGTATCCTATGTATTTTTCTTTTCTCTTAAAGGGCAATATAAAATATCATGACATATATTACACAGCCGTCCATTTCAAGAGTGTCTGCCAAAGTCATTGCCTTTTTTTGGAAAAAAGATTGTAGCTTTATTTGTACTCCACTCTTTGCTTCCAGCGTATGCTTGTAATGTCAGAATATAGAACGGCTTTCTTCATATAAACGTTTATACAAGCTGATATTCTGTTATGTAGAGCATATATAGATATATAGCTATTTTATAATATCTCTTATGCTAAATAATATTCTCTTTTCTTTAAAAAAAATATCTCTAACTTTGGAACACTCCAAATTGATGCCTTTTGGAGTGTCTGGTTTATGTATTCAACTAAAAAAAATTGTACTTTTAGAAACAACTCGTATTTTTGCTATTGGGCATTTAAAGAGCTTATTGAAGTGGTGCAAGCTTCCCGAATTTCAGGGTTCTATGCTTTTTGAGAGTGAAAAAATCGGATATTTTGATCAATATTCGAGTAATTGTAATATAATAAACCTCGAAGAGGTGGATCACAATGTGTCTCACCAGGTTACTTAAAGCCAAAAAAAAACATTGCTTATTTGATTCGATTTTTAATTTTCTATAATTGAAAAGCTATGATTACCATTGGTGTGCATTTGCATATGCTTGTAGAAATCTTAAAAAATATCATTTCCAGTACACTCATATTTAAGCTACCATAGAAAAGGTTCATTTATACAAAGGCTCCGTGCTTCAAACTAAAATAGTCTCAAGCGAACCAAAGCTAGACTATGAGCCTCAAAGTAATAAGTGGAATCATACTATACAGTACTGTAGCGCATTATATTGTATTACAAAACAAAAGTTATAAATCAAAGCCTTTAATCCAACAGAGTATTATTTCTAGGTTATTTGAGCATCCAGTTGAGTTCAGTATACAAGCGCAAAATATCAAAAGCACTAGATCCTATAAATCGATAATTAGTAATCGATAGCGTCTTGCTCCCAACCAAACAAAACCTATACATTCAGTAGCAATAGATTGTCTCTTTGCTTTCATATTGTGCCGTCAGTCAGTCTGAGCAATAACAGAAAAAAATAGTAAATAAGCAGAGCCTTTAAAAGGTGATTTATATATATGTAATAGCCATTTTACTAGCTTGATCTATCTGTGACCAGGCTAGCACAATTGCAAGCACCACTACTTTTTCATGGTAAATAATGTAACTTATATAAATAATTATAATTATTGATAGAATGGTGTATATTTGAACACATATAAATGTAAAGTGTTTCAGGCAGTTGGGTTATGCTGTATTAATTTCTCGGTTGGATTATGATTGGTTTATAAAGTAGTACAAACCAAGGTCGATTGACAAACACTAGGCTAGACCCTGTTCTTCTTTTTACTTTTATTTTACTCTAAGACCAATGCTTTAACTTGAGGTACCAATGACTTTCAATAGTCAGGCTGTCAATCCCTTCATACTGAAGCACTGAAAGTACTTTTCTTTCAAGAAAGTATTCCTACACTTTGTGTTTATTAACTCAAGACACTGGTGAAAAAGCTAGAAGAAAAATGGAAGTCTTTCACACGAAAGAAAAGAAAAGATATAAGCAGCAATTTTTTTCGGGTGTGCTTCTTAAACTAATAAAGTCACAGCATGTGAAACAAACAAACAAGAAAACAAACAAATAAATATACACAAGACTTTAATTAAAGCTTTATAATCAACACAACTTTACACTTCTTTATTGTAGTTTAACATCTAGCCGATTAATACTTTGTATATCAGTAGTACAGCTAAAATGAACACAGAGGCATATATAGTGTCTCGACAAGTGGCTGTTCAAAAGCATAAGCCTTGTTAACAGAATCACAACAGAAAGTAGAATAAAAAAGGGGATGGGGGTCCATAGCAACTGAATAATTTAACATGCATATAGTCCACCAATCGGAAGACATCATTTAAATGTTTTCATGCTAAAGTAAAGTCTGGACCACTATTGCTACTATGCTCCTCTAAGCCCCATGACACATGTGATGCTGCACGGACAGCACGGACCTTATGTGACATAAAAAAAACTAAAACAAAAAAAGAGGCAAAAGAAAAAAAACAAAAAGTAAAACAAGTGCCTGCACAGCACGTCCTTCAGAATATAAGTGATACTTCTTTAAAACCCAAAACCCATATTTTAAGCATAGATATTAAATAAAGAAGTAAAATAGTGATAATATATACATGTTGTCAAGGCTAAAAGATAAAAGAAAACTGAAAAAGAAATAAGAAAAAAACCGAATTTTATAATATATTATCAAACTATCATAATAAAAATAATAAAAAAGAACAGCAACTCATGATTGAGACGTCATGAGTTTTATAAAAAAAACACCTATCCAAACAGAACGCGTCAAAACAACTCTCTTCTACATACTATTAATACTTTATACACTTCTTTACTGCTCTCTCACAAACTGCTTTAATCAACATAGACGTTAAAGACGAATCATAACCAATAAAAATCCATTTTGCTAGTCAAATCTCAGGCTTTTATCATATGTAAAACAGTCAGTAGCAAGATATAAGACAATACGTCAAAACCAGTACACAGCAAAAATGAAATACTGAGGTCCAACACTGGTTTGACCATCAATCCATCCAAAGCCTATTCACACTCAGAAGCAAGAGATAAACTGACAGGACTTACTATATTTCAAGGAGTATATTATATTCATCAAAGACACATATTGTGAAGATTATATTTGTCTAGTCTTTTGACAAACAAGGTCAACGATAAAAAATAAGATCTCTATCCAGGCCTACAGGTATATAAAGGCTCGTTGATTAATCATTCACTGTCTTTGATATTTCTGTAGGGACTTTTCAGGCAAAGTCAAGCAATCAAGAACAGGTTTCCATCCAGGGCCACAGGTATACCAAGACTCGAGGAGCATATGCTCATTGTCTTTTGTATGCTTCTAGTGCCTTTCGTCCAGGTCAAGCATCAGGGATCCAATCAGAGTCCACGGTTATCAGGTATAGCAAAACTCTATGAGCAGTTACTCACTTGTTTTTGTATATTTGTAGTATCCATTCCATCCAGGTCAAGCTTCAAGGTTCAAGTCAAGGTCCACCGTTTCAGGTATATCAAAACTTGATAGGCATTTACTCACTTGTTTTTGTATATTTGTAGTATCCATTCCATCCAGGTCAAGCTTCAAGGTTCACGTCAAGGTCCACGGTTTTCAGATCAAGGTCCACGGTTTTCAGGTATATCAAAACTCGATGAGCAATTACTCCCTTGTTTCTGTATATTTCTAGTATCCATTCCATCCAGGTCAAGCATCAATGTTCCGATCTCCCAGCTATGGTCATAGGTATAACAAAACCATATGCGCATTTACTCACTAGCTTTTATCTATTACTAGTGTCAGCCATCCAGGTCAAGTGTCAAGGACCCGATTTCCTGGCAATGGGTATAGGTATAACAAATCTTTGTGGGAATATACTCACTAGTTATAATATATTTATAGTGTTCAGCCATCGATGTCTGGCGTCAAGGTTGCGATCTTCCAGCCAAGGTTATAGGTATAACAAAACATTATGGAAATATACTCACTGGTTTTAATATGTTTTTAGTGTTCAATCATCCAGGTCAATCAACAGGATTCTGATCTCCCGTCAATGGTTATAGGTATAACAAAACGTTATGGCAATATACTCACTATTTTAAATATATTTCTAGTGTTCCGCTAATCATGTCAAGCATCCAGGTTCCCATCTCCCTGCCATGGTTATAGATGTAAAAAATCATTAGGGACATATACTCACTAGCGTTAATATATGTCTAGTGTTCAGTCATCCAGGTCAAGCATCTAGGTTCTGATCGCCAATCCATGGTTATAGGTATAAAACAACATTATGGGCATATACTCACTAGTTTTAATATACTTCTAGTCTCTAGCCATCCAGGACAAGCATCAAGGTTCCGATCTCCCAGCTATGGCTATAGGTATAACAAAATGGTATGGGCATATATTTGCTAGATTTAATACATTTCTAGTTTTCAGCTATCTAGGTCAAGCATCAAGATTCCGATCTCCCCGCCATGGGTATAGATATAAAAAGCATTATGGGCATATACTCATTATTTTAATATATCTCCAGTCTCCAGCTATCCAGGTCAAGCATCAAGATTCCCATCACCCCGCCATGGGTATAGGTATAAAAAGCATTATGGGCATATACTCATTATTTTAATCTAGTTCTAGTCTCTGGCTATCCAGGTCGAGCTTCAAGGTGCTGATCTCCCATTATATGGTTATAGGTATAACAAAAATCAATAAGCAATCACACTCGGCTTTATTTATTTCTAGTGTTGAATCCATCAAGATCATGCTTCACGGATCCGGATTCAGTCCGTGGCTATAGGTATACAAAAACTCGATAAGCAATTACTCATTGGATTTTATATATTTCTAGTGTCTACTCATCCACGGCAATTATCAGGATCCAATTTTCATGAATTGTTATAGCTAACCAAGTTTCCTTTAAACCTTTACTTAAAACAAACTATACTCTTTATTTATACTTTCTTTTGATGGCAAAGAACGATGATCAAATATACATCCATTATGGAAGGTATACAAGTCGTTCTTGGCCATTACTAGCCTAGAAGTATATATGACTATTGTTTTTACTCTCCAGGCCAAACAGCAAGGATCAAAACTCAAATTTGGACTACAGGTAAACAAGTCTTCTTGAGCTTTTACTTACTGTCATTTATATATTTCTAGTGTTTTTTTTTCCTTAAAGTTCAAATATCAAAGATCTGATTTCAAATCAAGGTTACGGGTACACACTTTTCTCTCTGTCTTTACATGCTTTCTTTCGTATTGGCCTAGTGTGTTTACGATCTGGCTACACAATGAAAAATTTGTTTTCCTTCCAGTGCGACAGGTATATACATCTAGTTTGGCCTTTAGTTACTGTTGGCTTTATTTCTCTACTGGCTTCACAGTCCAAGCCAGTCATCATGGATCCTATATCCGTCCAGTGTTACAGGTATACACTTCTCTTTGGGATTTTACTTACTGTCAGTTTTAATTTTCTACTGTCCTTAAAGTCAAGGCCAACGACCAATCATCTGGTATCCGCCGAGAATTACAGATATAAAAATGTTATTGGGCCGTTAGTTATAATTGTTTTTGTTTCTCTAGTGTCCTTGCAGTCAAGGGTAACGAGCAAGAACCCGGTCTCCATATTGGGATATAGTGTTACACATCTCTTTGATTTTTGACTTGCTGCAAACTGTATTTTTTCTCGTGACTTTACAGTCAAATTCAACACTCAAGGATCCGGTTTTCATCAAGTTTTACAGGTATACAAATCTGACAAGTGCTTTTATTTAATGTGTCTTTTTTTTTGTCAAGTGCCTTTACTGTCTATGCCAATGATTCCGAATCCGAGCCCTATCCAGAGTGACAGGTATACAAATATGTTTGCGTCTTTACTAACTTTTAGTTTTATATGTCTAGTGCCTATACGGTTTAGGCCGAAGAACTAGAACTTGATATTCATCCAGACTTGCAGATATATATTTTTCGTTGGGCCGTTGATTATTGGCTTTTTTTATCTGTCTATTGTTTTTACTGTCAAGGGCAACCATCAAGGATTCGATCTCCATCCAGTATGACAGGTATATACTTTTCTTTGGGTTTCTACTTATCGCTTGTTTTTTTTTGTCTAGTGTTTTCACCACTCATGTCAAAGAACAAGGATTTCTTCTTCATCCACGGTTACAGGTATACAATTCTCTTTTAGCCTTTGCATAACGCTTGTTTGATTTTTCTAATTTCATTAATGTTTATGCTAAATAATAAGCATCTACTCTCCATCTAAAGCCATAGGTTTAAAAAATATTTTTAAGTATTATTTTACTATTTATTAATTAATTATTATTTTTTTAATTTTACACAGCCAAGGCCAATCGATTCTGGTTTACTGTCCTCTAGGGTAACAAGTATATGTACATACCTGATCGTTTACTTATTGCTTGTTGTTTCAAGTAATTTTTATTTAGTCAAACTGAATTACCAAAGTTTTACTATCTACCTAGTGCCCGAGGTATACAGATCTCATTTAGTACTCACATATCACTTATTATTCTGTCTAGCTTTTTTATAGTTTAAGCCAGCAATTGGGTTTTTAATCTTCATTAAGGATTAAAGATATACATGACTATGTGAACCTTTACTTACTAGCTATTATATTTTCTAGTCTTTTTACAGGAAAGGTCCACAATTAATATGAGTTGTTTATCCGGGGGGGGGGGGGGGGACAGGTATATAAATCTGCCAAAAAATCTACTTACTATATATTTGCATAATGTTTTTACAGTGGAAGCCAATGATCAAAGCTTTGATATTCTTTTGGGCTCACAGGTATAAAAGTCTCTTTGACTTTTTAGGTACTATCAGTTGTTTTGTTCTAACCCTTTCTTCTCCGTAGCAAGCGTTCAATGCTCAGCTCTACATCAAAGGTCGCAGATATACAAGAATCTTTAAGCAATTTACTAAAAATTAGATTTTTCTAGCATTTACATACACTACGGCGGAGAAAATGGTAACATGTTACCACTTTGGTAACATAACTGCCATTTTTTACTTAATAAAAAATAGCAGTTATTTATTATGTAAAAAGCCAAAACAAGCACTGTTACCATTTTTTTATAATAAAAAATGGCAGTTATTTATTATGTAAAAAGCCAAAACAGGACTGTTACCATTTTTCAAAAAAAAATCAAGCGTCCTTTCTTTCCTCTATGACATTCTTTCTTTTGTTCTATTGCTTTCAATTCTAGCACAACCTCTTATTTTTCCTTTGCAGCTTTAACAGAATGGTCTGTTTTTTATTATACAATATTGAATCGGGTTTAATTGAATTGAATCTTTATTTCAATGCATGTTTTATTAAATGAAAATGATAATAATAATAGTAATAATGAAAAAACAATTCCATCGGCCACTCGCAATAAAAAATGGTTCTGTTTAGCTACTGCAAAACATATGCAGTAAAACAGTACTATTCAAATTGTATTTCATATACTTTGGGTATTCTAATATATCTTAGATAGCACTTATTATTTTTTACCAATTTCTACAAATATACTAATATTAGAGAAAAAACTTAAAATAAATAAATAGATATAATATTATTATAATGCTTACCTTTATATAATATGCTTACTTGTTCAGTAAAATAAGCATTTACTCTAAGAATATATATATATATTAAAGAATGTATTAATATTTAAGATCTATATATAAGAAAAGCAATAAAACATAAGCACTATAAAAAGTCGTTATCGTAGAAGAAGAAAAACTTGAGCAAAGATTCAAGTCATATAACATGAAGCTAATTCGAATCTGATTCATACAACTGGAATGAGCATCTTGTTAGAAAGCTCAACGTGTTTATTCTACTCAATATACTTACATATAATAGAACGACTCCCAAGTATAATATATCAGTACAAAAATATTACTATTAATTTTTTTCTCAAAAAAAAGGCTATATACTATTTATATTTGAATATAGCAGAATTGTAGATGCTGTACATTAGCTTCAAATTCTTGTAATCACAACATTAGCAATCATATGAAAGAGGCCGATAAATTTTTTATATGAAAGAAAAAAGGAATAAAAAACATAAAAAGAAAAATGACGAGATAAGAAAAAAAATGCACTAAAGACAGACTAAAAAAATCAAACTCGGCCAATCACAGCAGACAAACTACGATCTTCGGCTTCTCTTGCAAGCAGGCTCAACACTTGCTGTGGGTGGAGGAGACCTACATAAAGAGTAAGAAGTTTATATTAGTTTTGTATTAACAGCGCATGAGAAAAAGCAACAATAGTAACTTACAGCACATCTGCCATTATGGGCGACTCAACATCACCAGTTTCTGACATATCAGGAGAAGAAAGCGAAGAATCACTTATGTCTTGCTGTGTCTATAGCATAATAAAAGGAAACGATGTTAATTAAAGTTTACAATATATAGATTTGTTAATTGATAAACTTACTTTGTTCTTCTCTGCCATTCTTCTCTTGTGCATCTGGTTGTCGCTCTTGAAGCTTTCCCGAAGAAGGCTTCTTGCACACCACATTCTTTTACATTGGTGGATGTGCAATCCACCATTCTTCGCCAACCTCTCCAAATGCATCATATAGTATTCCCTGTTTTTCTCTGGGATATTCTTCCATTCTTTTGAGGCCGCAGGATAGTCTTTGTCAATGATATCATGCTTTACCGTACGGCCTAATGTTTTGAGATGCAGTCTTTTTACTGTCAAATCATGGTCTGAAAGAGGGACTAATGGGGGCAAAGGCTGCCCTTGTGGAACTTCTTTGCAGTGCGCCTTCCAGTCCTGCTCGTGAAGAATCTGAAGCAACAGATTGTATTTTTGTGCTTCGTTTTTTTCTTTGAACTCGCCGCCAGTATTGATTACTTGCTTACCAAGCTGATCAGGGCACTCTGTGAGCTGGGCTCTTTTCACAGACTTGGCAATGCGCTCAAGAGCTATAAAAAATGTATGACAATATTAATAAAGTAAATAAACATCTAAGCACAGAATATATATGACTTACACCTCTGCTCAATAATGCTTTGTTGCATTGTAGTTAGATCTTCCGCACTGACTGCTGGCGCAAATTGATTGCTGAATTGCCTTTGAAGCTCGCGCAATGCTTGCTTGATTTCAGCAAGATCAATCTCAATCTTTTGAATTGAGTTGAGGAGAGTTGTGTTAATATCGGACATGTTTAAGTTTTTTTTAGCTATAAGCAGTGAGTTGAAAAGAAAAGGTGATAGTTTAGACAAGTAGAATAAGAGCGATTTGAGTTTGAGAAAGGCAACGATTTATTACAAGCAATTGATAGCTATTTATATGAAAAAGATACAGACAGATGTACAAACAAAACATATAAAAGAAGGGATGTTTATGCATTTGTATGCACCTGTCTGCACCTGTCTGCATTTGTCTGCAGTAGCTCATGTGAACATGATACAGTCTTTTTGTGTCGACACAACAAAACTGTAAGAAATATAAAGATAAAATGAATTAGACTTTAAATCAATATTATATGTATAAATGTTCATACTTTGCACCATCTACATATTAAATGTTTTAAAGTATATGATATAATAATATAACTCTATACATATTGCAGATATAGCATGAAATTTGGTTAAAGTTCTCGATGACAAAACCCTGTACCAGTTAAAATTATAACTTTAAATATACTCTACAGTAGCTATATAACATCTGAACATCATATAGTTAATTAGCCCCTTTTTATCAACATTAAAGTAAATGTTATGATACTCAAGTTCATATCATACTTATTATCATTATCGACTAAAACGCGTTTTGATTGATGCTGTCATCAAAGGTAAAAATAATTTTAACTGTCATTACTATTATTTACCAAGAGGCATTTTTGACTGAAACCGTACATTTTTGAAAAAGGTGTGCTTTAACTCACATCGGCACTTTCAATTAACACCCCTTTCGATCAGTAGTGCTTATCTTGATGATGTCAGTAAAAGAGTATCAGACTATAGCCCTCATTATCTATATCTATTTCTTTAAGTTTTATACATAAACAAGAAAATAATGCTATTAGCTAAATATATATTCACTATCTCAAAAATATTATTAGTACAACACAGATAATATAAATATGTCTTTTCTACCAATGTGTTTAGACAGTACTACTTTTTTTTTAACTGTTAATTATTAGAAGGCTGTTTTTCTTTGCCTTTGGTATTAGAGAGTAATTGATAATTTATTTAAAAAAAACATAAATTATTTGGTCATTAATTATCCTAAATATATATATACCTTTTTATAAAGCCCAAAGAATATCTAATCGCTCACAAGTAAAGAGTACGTGTCTGTTTCACCGGTGCTCTTTTAATGGTACCCCCTTGTCAACCAAGAAGTATTTTAACTTACATCATAATTATTAATGAAGAAGAATCTTTCCAACCATGGGAATTATTTACTGACAGGTGTTTCACCTAGCATTGACATTACTGTAATTATTGCTATATCATCACTATGAGAGAGAAAAAGAAAAAGAGCCGCAAGCATTTTGGTTAAAAAATAAAGAGTATATAAAGATGTCTTTTACATTTAATGAATAGCACCAAAATCCTCTTCGCAGCTTTATTTTATATATTACATACGTACCAACCCAACCAATATGTCTTCTTCCAATGCCAGCCAGCAGAGAGATAGAATATCTACACAGCAATACCAATGTGATCAATGTGTCTTGTTTTTTGATAACTACCAGAAGCTGCAAAACCACAAGAGAATTCACAGAGGAGATTCAGCAACAATGACTGAAATTGACCAGTCTATTCTGGATGATGTTGACATGTACCATGACGAAAATGATACTAGTAATGAAGATGAATCTGTTAGCAATTCAGGTAATGAAAAGAGCTGTAATTGTATTATTTATTTTTTAATTACTAAATAATGTATTACAGAATATACTATGGAGTCTATGGAGCTTGATAATACTATTTCATATAAGTGCGCATGTAATTTTGAGGACAGTGAGGGTGAAGCTCACATTTACAACAGCAGCCAAATCAGTACAAATACTTTTACCAAGGCCGAGTTGATGAGTATTCATCTGTCTCAATTGATGCTACAGCATAGAATTGCTAGAGCAGCATATAGAGACATTGTTCAATTTATAAACACTGTCATCCGAGACCATGACGATATAATGATGGGTAAAATATTATATTTTCTGTTACCTTGTACTTTAATTCCAGATCACTAACATGTAGTGATATTGTTTTTTTTAGAACCTGGGGCTAAGATCAGTCATGGCAAAACTGTTGATGCTTTGCTCAAGTCAAAGTCAAGTGTCAAGAGCCATGAGTATGATGTCTGCTCTAGTGGTTGTCGATTGTATGGCATTAATGACGACCAGGAATCTTGTGTTGACTGTGGCAAACCGTGATATAAGACTAATCCCAATCAAAGTCAGACACCAGCCGCCAGTATGAAACTTATGTCAGTTGGGGATATGCTTTCTCAAATGTTGGCAGATCTAGCCACAATAGAACTCCTCTGTTACAGAGCAAACCGGGAATCTGTAGCTGGTCAGCTAACTGACATTTTTGATGGTGACAATTACAAGCAGTTGGTGCAGCAGGGCCTGTTCTCCAATCCTGATGATATTGCCATTGGGCTTTATACCAATGGGTTTGTTAATCAAAAGAAAGGCAAAAACTCATATACCATCATCTATTGCATAATATTCAACCTAGACCCATCCATCAGGTAATTAATTAATTTATTACTATTTATTATTATTATTACATTTTTTTTAAAAAAAATTACTAATAAAATACTTAGATATACCAACAAATACCTTTTGCAACTGGCAATCTTGCCTGGCCCCAAGAAGCCAACTCATTTGGACTCCTTTCTTATATCCATCATCAATGAATTGCGAGATCTTGAGGCACATGGCTTGGTTGTCAAGCACAATGGAGTGGAGCTTTGCAGATCCAAGGTCTATCTTCTGCTTGCTTCTGGCGATATTCCAGCTGTAGCTGATATGGCCCACATTGGTTCCCATATAAGTTTATTTGGTTGCCGTTTTTGTGAGACCAAAGGCAAATGCCCTACTAACAGACGGCATGGCATGTACTTTGATGACATTTCCGCCCGGTTAAGACCTTTGGAAGACTTCAAAGTAGGCAACCCTGTAAGTATACAAATGTTCAATTAGCCATCTTTTTTTTATACTAAATAACTGCTTGTAATATTCGAAGAACATATACCAGCCGAGCATATATACCCAACTCTCAACCTTCTCTGAATCATCATTTTTTGCATTAGATAAACTTCATTTAATTGCAAGAGGGATTAGAAAGCTTGTGTACGACCTGATTACCGTCACCCTCACAAAGGAAACCAAATTTTATTATACCCATCTAGACAATACCCTCAATACCACCAAATACCCTTTTCATATACCAAGAGCAGACCTTGTAACAATTGGAAACTGTATTACCAGCTCACGAAAATATATACCCACCTTATTTCAAGGCAGTTTTGACAACATATTTGCCAAGATTGATGATACTCGTGCAGTGGACTGGCTTGACTTTCTCTTATATCTTGTCCCCACTTTGGTTGTGCCTTATTTACCAAATAGGGCTGTCAAAACAGCTCTATTATCTCTCGTGAAAGGTTGCGCACTTGCCTTGCAATGGACGTTGACATCAGAATTGCTTGATGAGATGGAGTCGTAAGTTATTATACGTCTCATATATTATCATTACAAATAGCTGATTGTTACTATTTTTTAAATATTAATAATAGATACTTCAAGCACTGGCACTCGTTTTTATACCAACAAGTCCAGAATAATACCCTGTCTCGTAGTGTTTTCTGACCAGTGCAACATTACCTGGTCCATATACCCTATATCATCAAGCAGCAAGGCCCCCTGCGATGCTACTCCACTCGCTCAATGGAGAGAGTAATTGGTGTCTTCTCAAAATTGATAAAGTCCAAATCAAAGGGTGGCCGAAATGCCAGTTTTCTCGTTGAGCAATTTGCAATTCACAATTATACCAGCATGGCAATCAGCATCTGTGATGAAATCAACCTCATTTGGCCAAAGCCATATGGAAGAGAGAGCTACATGGACCTTCCTAATGATCCTAGTGGTGCGCAGTTGTGGGAGCCGTTTCATCAGTTTGTTAATTTGAATGATGATTTGGTGGAAGGTGTAGGCGGCCCTAGTGTGAAGGAAGCTTTATTGAAATACTACTGGAGAACAACAGGCTTGACTGGCCACGAGTTTGGTGACTCTGTTGTTGTTGTAGCTGCACGTCTGTGGATGGACTTGACTGTATATTCCTCATGCATGTACCGAAGAAAGAAAAACGAGACCAGCCGTGGCAACCATTACATGATGTTTACTTGCCCCTATTGAAAGTAAGTATAATATTTTTGATATACAATCAAAAGTTGCTTACATTCTATTTATTTATTTATTTTAGCAAATGTAATATAATTGTTCACAGCTGGCTCGTCAGTACAGTACAGTTCTACTTTCAGCATGTAGATTTCTATGGCTTCCCACACTTTTTTGCTTTTGTGGAGGTCATGAAGGAATATGACGCGGCTGGCCATGACTCATCAGTACCTATTGTCAAACAAAAGTCACAAAGCACCCATACACTAGGCCACCAAACGCAACCGACTTATGCAGTTATAAGTATAAATGACATTTGTCATCAAGCTGGTCTGGTCCAATACCCACCGAATAGAAACCAGTTTTATGTAATCGTGCCCTATTATATCTTTAACAACAACATGCACATTACTAAAGGCAATCTTTCCATTCTGTAATTCTTTTTATTTTTATCTTATTTTTCTATATGTTCTATATCTTTATATTTTTTATATTTTTTATATCATTCTTGTATCTTATATTCTTTTTTTAATTTTCTCTATTTCTTATGTTTTTTTTTAATCTCTATATGCCCTGTCTTTCTTTTCTTCTTTATATACTTCAGTTTTTTTTCTATTCTCTATACACCTTATGCTTTTCTCTTCATTTCCTATATGCTCTATATGCCATTACGCGATTTAAATAAAATTAAATTGTCAATTCATCAAGATAAAAAGAATATCTAAAAAAAAACGTAGTTTAAAAAATAAAAAAAATGGCAGTTATGTTACCATTTTGTTCACACATTCCAAAAATTATTAATCTTAATAATTGTTGACATCTTTGATATTCAATAAAACATATATTTCAATACTCAAAGTGGTCATTACAACTTACAAACATTTTTTATAGTATTGAGAATATTGTACAGCAACAAAAAAGTGTTTTCATGTTACTTTTTTAAATTGCTACAAATGACATTACCATCTTACAACAAATGGCGGGGATTTTATTGGGTTTCGACCAAAAAAATGGCAGTTATGTGCCTACTTTTGGCCCAACTGCCATTCATTCCGCCGTAGTGTCTATTGAAAGGTTACTCATTCAATCATAGCAGTGAGAGCATCAAGGGCACATTTTTTGTTTGGAGCATCACCAAAGTGCTCAGCTACTAGTCGGACAGGAATTTCCTCAAGTCCAATCCATCCTGACTGGACAAAGAAGTGTGCAACTGGCAGGACCAAGTGAGAATGCAAAAACTTGCGAGCTTGGAGACAGCGGGCATTTTGGAGAATCAAAGCCTGGGTTTCAAGACCAGAGACAGACAAGTTGGCAAACTTGAGATCAGCAACATTTTTAGAATCAAGTGTATCAAAGTTGTTGACAAGAGAGATCTTAGCGCTAACTAATTGGGACTTAAATTCCTCAAGATACTGCATATGGACAAGAACGCCAATCACCTCACAAGCAGGAAAATTAATATCTAACAAGCAACCAGTATCAACAACAAGAATGCGGAGAGAGCGGCACACTTCACTGTGCATAATACGATGTGAGCAAGGAATATAAACATATTCAAAACCATTAGAACCAGTTTTGTCAGAGAACAGTCTTTGAGATGTAGCAATCTGGCAGGCAGAAGGAACTTGAGATGTCTTGGCTGGCAGAATCAAGCTTGTTTTGGTAGCCCAAGTGGAGGCAGCAGTTCCAAGATCTGCAGTTGACTGGGGTGCAGGAAGAGAAGCAGAGCTGGAAACAGAACCAGTCACATTGTTTTGTAATAATTGAGATCTGAGATCGGCATTCTCCTGCTGGACATTAGCTAATTGAGCATGCAATTGGAAATTTTCAGCAGCAAGAGATTCCAAATGTGTTATACATTCGTTAAGTGCATTGAACTGTGACTGCATACTGGTTAAAAACGTCACAAGTTTGGCTGACAGACTTTGCATGCAATTAGTAGACAACAATTGCGATATGTTTGGTAATGATCTTGAGATGGCAGCAATCAGCAGAGAAAAAGTGAAAATCGGTGATAAAATGGAAGGAACGATAGGAAAAATTTTTTTGACAATGGATGCGGTGGTGGGAAGGGTAGATGCGTCATGTTTGACAATGGATGAAATCATTGAAGTAATATTTTGGATGGATTGATAATAGAATTGTATAGATGCAAACTATAAAATATTTAAAATTGTACAATGTAAAGCTAATATAAAAGAGAAGTGCCGCAATAGCTCAGCTGGGAGAGCGTTAGACTGAAGATCTAAAGGTCGTGTGTTCAATCCACACTTGTGGCATATTTTGTCTACTTTCATGTAGAAAATTAGTATCTGGCTATTTTGTCGGACATTATTTTGATGAATCCGAGAAATCGGGATAATTGACCGCAGCAGTTCTGTATGTCAAAGATACTTCATAGATAACGAACCGCAGTAATGTCTTGTAAAGATTAACCACAGTAACATCTTCTGAGCATCAACCACAGTAAAAGGACTTCTCTTGTAATTAAATAGAGTATAATAGTTTACTGCAGATAATGTGCAGTATTAGTTTAGAAAACTATATAAGACAATTCAATTCCTATTAATAAAAAGCACCTTTTATCCTCTCTTCGATTTTACATATACTCTCCGATCCCCAATGGGTTTGACCTTTTGACTTTGCTATAGTAAAAGGAAGACCATCCCAGATCAGGAACGACAATTTTGTCAGAGTTGACATTGGTAACCAAAATCAGGATTTATAAGCAACCAGTAATGGTTGACTTTTTAGGATAAAAGATCTTGACTTTGCTAATTGGTCTTTCACATATGTTTTAGATGTTTAAGATGGTGAATATACTTGTAGAAGATATTACTGGACAACAAGCATCTAAGACATATTATTGTAGCTATTCTTTTAGCCAGAAATCAATTATCATTTTGTATAAATAGTCAAGTAATACATTTAATAAAAAGCATCTTTATTCTTATTTAAAAACTATTCATAAACTTGACGATTCCCAGTCGTATTGATTTTGCGATTTAGTTACAAGTGCTAGAAAAAAATACCAGATTGAGACTTGACAATTTTTTGCTATGCCCAATATTGCTGTTTTCGATCTGGGTTGTTCTTCCAATGCTATAACACAGCCAAAATTGGTCAGACCCACTGTGAATCGTAAATAAAGATAAAAGAATAAAAAGAGGATAGAAAGATAAACAACTTTTATTGAATAAAATAATATCCTCTTTTATATCTTTTCTAAACCTACCCAGCCATTATAAATGTCTGTTTCGGTTTCTATTCTACTTTTGTTAAGCTATGTGCTTTCTAATTCTTTTGTGAGCAAAAAAAAATCACTTTGGTCATTGTTCTCAAAAGAGAATTCTGTGTAATCATCATCCTGATTGGCTGACAAGAATTCAGGCATGACAATATCTTGTCAGCCAATTGTTGTTTCTGATCTAGATTATCTTCCAATTTGAAGCCCATTATTTTATTCTACAGAGAGTTTGAATTAGTAGCTGATGCAGTTCTAGCTTTTTAAATTTAATAACAATTGATGGCTTTTTTATACTACATCTGGGAATTGTTTTTTAACAAACACTTTTTTCTCCTTCCTGAAAAATATACTTTAATATGTCTTACAATACAAACAACACTATTTATGATATCTCCAATGTCCGGCAATTCTTGATCAATTCGTCTTTAGAAGAAATCAAGGTTCTTCTTTTAAATACAACAATATCAGTTAAAGCTAGTGAACAGGAACAATGTCTCACGCGAATTAATAAGCTCTGTTCAACAAAGTGGAACAAAAAACATAAATATATCAAAACAAATTTAGTTTTTAGAAAAACAAGAAAATGTCACCGTGCTAGAAAATATGAATCTCAATGCCAGACATACATTGCTCAAAAGGATATAAAGACATGTTCTTGTACAGCTGCTCTGCAGATTAAGCAGTACATTAGCAACCATAATGTTGTCACTTTCTGCCAAACAAGAGCTTATGTCTACCATGTTCCCGGTGAGAGAAAGGAAATCAGAACACTTTCTTTGCCTTCTGAGACAATTAGAATAATCAAAGAAAAGTTGAAAAGTGACAGCAGCTATAGAAGTACCAGAATTTCTGTGTTGAGACAGATCAATGATTGGGGTGTGGGTGCTAGAAAGCCTAATTATGAAGAAATTTACAACACAATGAGAAAGGTTTGTCAATGAATACACAATAAAGATTTTAAATTAAATAAATACTATATACATCAAATAGATGACTACTTTGTTGTATGTGTTTGCTTCTGATGAAAATGCATCTATTTCTATCTGGTTAAACATGAAGTTAGTATCAATGAATTATTGCATCTTTGATATCAATCTTTCTGTCTACAACAATGTTAAAAAACAGTTTGCCATTGGTTTCAAATCACCAGCACAAGTGTCAATTATGAGAATGTTATAATCTTTTTGCCTTGATGCCGCACATTGTATTTCATCCCAAAATTATGAAGTATTATACACTTTAGTCACTTGCTATCCGCAGACAAAAAAAGCTTCCCTGCTGCATATATGATAATCAACAATCAGACAGCTGTTCCAATCCACCATTGGTTTTATCATCTTTGCAACAAGAGTGGTTTCGCACTAATGAATATCACAATTTATTGCAACATTCTAGAGGTCAATGCAATCAAAGAAACATTGCCTTAAACAGCAATTCATTACTGTGATTTTCACGTTCTTTGCATATGACAACATAATCTTGACAGTAAGATTAAGTTAAACACGTCTTTCACTTCAAAACAACTTGGAAACTATAAGATTGCATTGAAAAACTACTTGAGCCAGATTCTCATCAAGTCAGACAAAGAAACATTTTTAAAAGCTATCAATGATTTCAAGCAGTTGATCCAAGATCAACCTCAATTTCTGCAATACTTTGAAAAGAAATGGACAAAAAACGAAGAATTGTTGAGAAGATAGGGGCGCCTTTATGTTAGCCAGCAACACCAAAGATATGTAACAAATAATTATGTTGAATCATGATACAATCAACTTAAAACCACTTACTTTGGTCACACACACATAAGAAAATTAGATCGTCTCATCTTTAGCTTGACAAATGATATTGAGTTCTTTTATGAACAGAAAGTTGAGCGCATCTATTTCAATAATAGTAAAATGGGACCCACTGAAAATGAGTTGTCAAGAAATTCTTTTGCTGTATCAAAGGCCCAAGATGACATGCTTCCTTCCATAATTCTCAATCCTCTGAATGAGATTAGTAATAGCATGGATGATTATAATAGTGAATGTCAGATAAAATCTTTTATTACTCAGGATAAATGGTATACTATCAATTTCAACAACAATTTGATACAAGACTGTATATGCCCAAACTTCTTGTCTCGCCAAATCCCTTATAAGCATTCATTCTTGCTTAAATGCTACTGTGATATTGAATTTTGGATTTTTCAAGGGAAGAGAGATTGCACGAGTAGAGTTGAGCAGACAAGACTATACAAATGAAAACGAAGGCAAAGTAGGAGAAATAATAGAGGAAAGATGTGTTGTTGAGTGTAGATTTACACATGTCTTCAATAAAATTGCAGCATATTCTCCAACAATACATTATTGTTTTGAAAATCTACAGACTTTGAAGACAGTTTCAAACTTAGACCAAACAGATGCAGAAGAGATGAAAAGAGCACTTGCACATGCTATACAATTGATGGATAAATATAGAAGCAAGAATCCTTTATACTTTAGAAGCTTAAATACTCAAAGATAATAAAAAAATAATATATTATCAAAAGGTTTAACTTATAAGAAAAATATTTTTGTTTATTAATATAAACAAAAACAATTCTGACATTTACTAAAAAGTAAAGACTATCACTTGTGTTATGTATGAGGTAAAAATAAGATATAAAATAAAACGAGTACAGACGAGAGTACGGTGAGACTTTGTTTTATTAGAAGAAGTGCAAGAATCAGAAAAGAGATGCTGTTCTATTGCTATTAGTATTGTGCGTTTATATAGACATTGTATTTAGCTTGGTGATGATATGATGATATCATGTAATGTCTGTTTCTCTACCATTATCTTCTATGATTTAGTTCTTATGTTTTTAGTGTTATTGACTAGAGTCTTAGTATTTGTCTTAGTATGTTCTTTACGTAATTTCCTTGTATAAGGGAAGGTATATCTTTTAGTATCGTTACTAGTTGTCGGTAACTCAATGTACGTATTTATTGAGTGTCTGTACTTTTAATTTAAATCTACAATTATGTTGGATACAACAACTTGTTTATAGTATTTTTAAAATTCAAACTCTCTGTAAGATGAAATAAGAAGATGCTCAAATTCACTATAAATGTAGCCAAATTGGTCAAGCTTTAGAGCATTTCCAGCAGTTACATTTCCTCCTTTTTTTTCTAAATGTTTTTAAGCCACCCGGTGTTTTAAAATGGCCAAAAAATAGAGGGGGGCTAAATTTGAACTTACTTATTTGTTTGTGGTATTTCAGATACAAAACAATAGAAAAAAATATATTTGATAATAGAGATGTATAGGAATACTTTGAGACTGTATATCAGTTGTCTTTATTCATAAATAAAAAGTGTCCCTTTTTATAAGAAAACACAATCTGCTCTTGTCATTACGTCTTAGTTTCTTAAGGCTTTCTTCTTTTACTATATTTGATTATTAGAGTGTATTTACTGCTTACCTAGTGTTAGTATTACAATTATGACATCAAGTCATAAATTGTATTTTTTTTAGCTCTTAGCTATTCTTTTCTCTTTTATACTAAAGCTTTAGGACTTCCTACTAAATTAGCTCCATATCGATCTGACACAGTTTACCCAGCAGTATGATATAATTATCTTAACAATCTTTAAGATATTATCTACAGTACTAACTGTAATAATTATTGGGCTGATTACTTAATCATTTATATATATTTTATACTGACAAGATGATAGCTACTACGCTATCCCAATATGAATATGTTCTTATATGTGATAAATCCAACACCCGAGTATCTGGATTATCACATTGTTCCTTCAATGAGTTTTAATTATATGGGGGGTCTGCTATTTTTTCCCTCCACAAGATCGAATTAAACATAGAATATAAAGACTGTGATAGCCTTTACTTTTGTTTTTTTTGTATTTTCAGATCTTACTTTTGTTTTTTCTTTAGAGAATTGTATATTTTTTTCCTTAGCATTTTTAATCTTTTTTTTTTCAAAATATATTCTAATAAATAATATTGTTTTTTTATTATCTTTGTGTGTTCAAGTTTCTAAAGAGTGACAGGTTCATACTTCTGATGAGATCCAACTGCTTTTATACTTCTTCTAACATGCTGTTCATCAAATCTACTTTTCTAACGTCAACTCCTGGCATATTCATCATTACTTCCATATCTTTTCTTTGATGATAAAGTGTCAATGCACTTGCTATAAATTGCTGCTAAGAATATAATATATTCTGGCCACTTCTCTCACTTTCATCCTCCATGAGCCTCTCTTCCTCTACATTTATCTCCTCATCTTCTGCTACTGACACATCGGGTAATTGCAATTGCAAGCAATATTGATCTAGTTGCAAAAAGTAAGCACAGTCAAGACTGACAAATCTCTTCAACAAATATGCATGCTTGCAAGGAATTTGTTAAATCAAAAAGCTTGGGCAAGAGCATATTTGAATCAAGTTATTGATTACAAACACACTATACTACAAATCATCTGATGTGAACGACTTGATCTTCTGCTCCCCATCAGACTTCTTCATACTGTTTCTAATCTCACCAGACAGGCTGATAATTATAGCAGGGAGTATGTCCTCTTGAATCTGGGAGGCAGCATAAGAGTGTCAAGAAAGCTCGTTCTCAACTGGCCCCATTCTTTCATTGTTTATGTGAATTCTCTCCACTTCCTTCTCATAGTAGAACTCTACATCGTTAGTCAAAATAAAGATCAGACAGTCTAGTCTTCTTATGCATATACGGTTAAGATAAATTGTCTTCAGCTGGTTGTGCCACGATTTGATGTAGTTGTTGGTGAGATATCATAAGTGCTGCTGGGTCACATAGGGTCTTCCCCATCTTCTTATGACTTCGTCACTTCCAACCCATCTTTGCTCAAAATAATTCAAGAATTGCTGTTCTTGCTGTATTTGCTGTTTAAATTCTTGAATTTATCTCAGAAAGTATTGCTCACTTGACTCTAAAAGTATGCCTTTCAGATAGTCTTTAAGCTGTTGCTTATATTCACTAAGTTGTTTTGAGGTATATAAAGCAGCCAATTTAATTTTGCTACCAAGCACGAAGAACATGAAACTCACAAAAATGGATTGCTGTTTGAGGTGGTGCTGCTGTGATAGCATTGACCTCAGGAATGCTACAATCAATCGTGATATGTGTAGACATAAAATGACTATTATCTCAAAGGTGTGCCAGCCATTGGTTGATAGAAGCAGAACTATGATCATTGGTAATCATGTAGGCAATTGATATGCCTTTTCCTGTCTCAGGATGCCAAATAACAAGAGAGTACAGGACTTCAGCGCTTCTTACAGAGATACCATGAGTAGCGTCAAGGCAAACAGACTTTGATATTGTCATTAACGCAATTTGAGAGAGTGATTGGAACCCAAAGGCAAAAGATGACAAAACGAGATTGAAAGAAGAAAGTTCTGCAGTAAAAATACAATAGTTCTGAGATGGCAGCTTCTCATTTATCCAGATTACCAGAGATCTGTCTTCATCGGAAAGAAACATATACACTCACAATCAAAAACGTTTCGATCCCCACAAAAAATGCCTGAAAAAATCGAAAAAATAAAAATAAAAACATTGTTTTCTCCCAATATTATTAATCAAATCCAAAATGCAAGATGCAAATTCATCAGAAAACACTCACGGATCATATGAAAAGACCGATCCCTATAAATACGGATGCATCATGTACATGCATTTAGCAAATTACGGGGCGACCCAGATTTCATTGGTGGTTGGCATGAGTCTGTCAACTGTCAAGTACATCATTAAGAGAGTGGACGAGACAGGATTGCCCGAGCCAAGAAAAGGGTCCGGACGACCTAGAAAGATTGATGAGAGGACAGAAAGACACCTTGTTCAAATAGTTTGTAAGGACCCCTTTGCCTCATTTTCTAGGCTAAGGGCTTCCTTAAAGAACATGGAGATATTTGTCTGCAGAAAGACAATAATCAGTTGTCTGAAGCATTTGGGCTTCGGATCATATATCGCAGCTCACATGTCAGCTTTAACCAAAAGCCACAAGAAAAGAAGGCTGGAATGGGCCCGTGAGCATGTAAATTGGACAGATGACCAGTGGAGAGGTGTAGTGTGGTCAGATGAATCACGGTTCACAGTTGAGCATAATGATAGAGGAGCTAGAGCTATCAGGAAAGTCGGTGAAAGGTTCAAGGAAGAAAATATCATCAAAGGAACCAAGTGGGGGAAGGGTAGTGTGATGATCTGGAGCTGTTTCTGGGCCAGTGGTTTTGGCCCTTTGGTGTTCCTAGATGGTAACGTAAACCAAGACCAATACGTGAACACTTTGGCTCAGAACTTCTTCCCTTGGTTCCAAAATCTTTTGCGGGAACAAAACAGGAGCTTCGTGTTCCAAGAGGACAACGCCAGCTGTCATACTGGGTCGTACTCAAGGTAGTGGAAAGATAGCCATGAGATCGGAGGTTTTGACTACTGGCCCGCTCAAAGCCCAGATCTCAACCCCATCAAGCATCTCTGGTGGGCTCTCGAGAGGCACATGAGTGACAAGAGGGCCAGTGTTAACAATGTTGAAGATCTGAAGGTTGTAATGCAACGAGAGTGGCAAAGGATAGGTCTCGAACTTTTGTCAACTTTGGCCGGAAGCATGCAGCATCGATGCCAGGCTGTAATTGAGGCCAAAGGAGGTCATACAAAATATTGATCTTTTATTTTTTTCTATATTTCAATAATAAACATATATATAATCTTTTATTTGAAGTTTGAATGCTTTAGCTTTTATTACTGAGGAGCAGTTGCATGTTGAATACATGCCATGATTTCTCTCATGCATTTTTTGGGCTCAGAGGTCGAAACATTTTTTATTGTGACTGTATAACAAATCTTTCAACTATATCTTTATTTAACACTTTTTATAGAAGGCATTTTCTTCATATTTATTTACACACCTTTCTCATTCTGTTATATACGTCTTCATAATTGAGCTTTCTAACACCAGTACCCCACTCTTCAATCTGTCTAAGGACAGAAATTCTAGTGTTTCTAAAATTGCTTCCTCCTCTCAACTGATTCTCAATCATTTTAACAGTCTCAGAAGTCAAAGGCAAAGTTCTAATATTTGAACTCTCTCCAGGAACATGATTTGTATGATCTTTCTTCATACAAAAGTCAACAACGTTGGGGTTGTCGACATACTGCTTGATATAAAGAATGACAGCATAGTTGCAATGCTTTGAGTCCTTTTGAGCTAAACAGACACTCCAATCCAGGGTATATTCTCCTGCATGATGACATAATCTTGTTTCGCCAAAAACCAACCCTCTTATCTTATGGTCTTTCTTTTTTATCCACTTTGTTGAACAAAGGGTTTGAATACGACTGAGACAATCGAGCCATTGGTTGGCTTTAAATGACACTACAGTATCTAATGGGAGCATCTTTACTTCTTTGATGAGCGAATTAACCAATGCATTCTGTATATTGAACATAGTAAAAATGATGTTGAACATAGTAGGTGTATTGATATTTTTTGTAAAATAAAGGGGGGGGGGGGAGAAACAATTAAAAAAAAACTCTTTTATTAAAAGCCACTCTTCAAAATGTCTATCTGTAAAAGCCACAAATATATGTTCAATTCGATCTCGTGGAGGGAAAAAATAGCAGACCCCCCATATAATTAAAACTCATCAAAAAAACAAATAGAAAGTCTATATTTTCTGGTAGATGATAAAATATTAGCCAAAATGGTGACTGCCAATCCTTTTCTTTATTTTTGAATTGTTTATTTGAAACAGATATTCTATATCCATTAAATTACGCGATTTATTAAAATACATACTCCCATCAAATATGTCAATCAACAACACTCAATCTAACGAAACCATTTACACTTTGGCAACAATCTCCCAAGCCTTCGAATGTTCTTCTGTTCCAGGAGTAATGACACTTAGATTAGAAAATAGTATTAGAGTAAAAACATCTGAGTAGAAAGAATGTTTAACAGAGATTGGGGAAGCTTGTGCAGTCAAGTAGATAATTTGCAACACCAATAAGCAACCCACCAACATTACTGCTGAAGAAGCCAAAGCAACTGGTATTAAGCTGTGTTTTTCTCAGGAGTATTCCTGTCATCGTTGGGGAACCTATGAATCTAAGGCAGCTTTGCATGTGGTTCAAAAGCAAACAAAGAAAAACAAGTGTCCTGCTCTTCTTCGTGTGAAAGGATTCTTTAAGACATCTGAGTTTTATGAATTTGTTGTTATAAAAGATTATGCAGAGCATACTCCTGGTGATATGTGTAGTGACATTTGCACCCTTCCTCTTGCAAAGAAATATCTTCACGAGTTGGCCCAGCAATTAGAACAGTCGTCAAAATCTGCTAGTTAAATTAGAATTGATATATTGAGAGCTGTAGATTAATATGGTAGAAAGTCTGAAAGAAAAGTTAATTATTATGATATCTGGAATTTGATGAACAAAGTAAGCTTTAAAAATAATATATCTTATAGCATTTACTTTAATATATTTCTGTAATAGATCAATAAAAAGCTGTATCATCTTGACAAAGACCAAATGACTTCTTTCTTAATCTGGATGAACAACAAACTTCCTGCCTTAAACTTCAACATCTTTAAGGCAAACACTTCATATTCTCCAGATCCATCAGCCTTTGCATATGGTTTTATGTCACTCGTTCAGTAAGAAAAAATGAAAACCGCAACTTGTTTCTGTTTGGATGCTACTCATGCAATCTCTAGCAACGTAAATGAGATTCTTTATACCCTTTTGATGCGTGATGAAGATATTGGTAGAGGATGGTCTGTTGCCTTTATGGTAACCAATGATTGAGGTGTAAGCCCCATTGTGCAGTGGCTGCAGTTCTTGAAGAGATCTTTTTTGCTTGTTGACCCAAAGCAATTTACTATTGATTGTTGTGCAGCAGACGTTCACGTCATTCAGACAACTTTCCCTGCAACACCCATTCAATTTTGCATCTTTCATGTAACCCAAGAATGAAACCAAAAGTTATCTGTCAGTGTGAAGATTCCTGGATCCTTATCATCAGAGGCACGAATTTTACGTGGTGTGATGATGAAGTCTCTGCAAGAGATTATTTATGAAGACATAGACGAGTTTCATCATAAAATTGTGCAGTTTAAAGAAGACTTTGACGACCAAGAAAGCTTTTTGGATTACTTTGAAAGAAACTAGTGCACAGAAGCAAAGTTTAAGATCTGGAGTAGAGCATATCATTGTTGTGGGGAGAAAATAAAGCAAAATATAATATAGACAAAAGAATTTGTGAGAACTTGTGTAGGTTGTTTATTTCAAAAGAAAAGTAAAGAATAATAAAATTCGATTGTCTTTCTACACGGAACTATCTACTGATATTTATATGTTTTTCTAATTTGTAATTCAGTGTGTGCTTAAGTAATCTTTATCACGATGAGTCATCTTCCAGGAGTATTGTTGTTCTGGAAAGATCCGGAAAGACCAATTGATATGATACTTCTCCAGTCAGATCAATCCGAGAGTTTTGGTAAAGAAGAGCATTTATGCTATTGGTAATATTTTACTATTCCGACCCAGACACTCGGATAATGTTTCATAATATTAAATAGTTGTAGTTGTAGTCTCTCAATTAAGTATTTGTCTAATAAAAGAAATATGTAGATGAAATATAATGGTGCCATATATATAATGTATATGTATTTGTATATCCCATGTCATGGTGATAATAATAAATAATCAATTATGTGTATGATGATCTGTGTATTAGATAATATCATAAAGGCAGATCCGTTTAACTGGAATAGCTGAGGATATTATTTTATCCTTCAGTCTTACTCTCAGATTCAGCAGTAATCAATACTCATTCACAACAACCATGAACGACAATTCTCCCATATGCTCACAAATAACTATATCGAGTCCTGGCACAAGCAATTAAAAACAGTTTTCATGAAAAGATCTAGAAACAAGAGACTTGATAAGCTTGTTTTTGTTTTAGTATATGATGTTGAGTATTATCTCACACAAGAATACGAATGCGTCATGTCAAACAATGGTTTAATGAGTTCTTTTACTAGACAACAAAGAATACGTGAGATGGAAGCTGAAGAAGTCGATGATGATGACAGGGAAATGATGATTGTTGCTTCTGGTACTGCAGAAGATGTAAATTGGCAAGTTCGGTCATTTGTAAATGAAAATACAGCATATGTCATTCAGGTTGCAGAGCCAAACTTGATTATTTCCTGCATCTGCTTCGATTATCAGCAAAGATATAAACCTTGTAAGCATATGTATTTGCTTAAAATGCATACAAACCGATCTCTCTACTTCTTTCCACCTTCTGTCACAAGTACAAACGTAATACAGTCAGTCTCTACCTCTGAAACAGCCACAATCACACCAACTATCAGTCGTACATCTGCTTTTATACAGCAATGTATTGACATCAATCAAACACTTTGGTATGCAAACCAAGATCTACTGACTATGCAACAGTATATAACTGAAGATGATGGTCAGACTTTGGTTGATGCATATCAATGCTCTCTACAAGTCTTTCAGTCTATAAAAAACAAATATGAAGTTCATCTTCGCAGATCTCATACACGAGAATAAAATTATAACTATCTAGCTTTTTTCTCAAAGAAATGTTTTGTAAATTGAAACAACTTTCAAAACGACTTGGTAAATTATCGCGTTTTTTATTTTCTGGTAGATAAGCCTCAATTTCGGCTAATACTTTACCATCTACCAGAAAATATAGACGTTCAACAAATAAGTAAGTTCATTTTCTAGGTTGATAATGAGACTTTCATCTTCAAAATATTTCTCTAGAGCCAAAATAGGATAGAAATATTCTAAACTTGGTAAGTGCTAGATGGTGTTAAAAAATTGCCATTTATTTTCAAAATAGGCAGTTTGTTTTAAATACTTGTGGATTTTTTTCTACAGTGCTACTTTCTGTTGTATAAGCCAATAAAATGAATTTAAAAAAGCTATTTTTATAAAAACAACTAATAAAGATTTGTATCTATTAAAATGAGCAAAAATGTACATATATTCTATCCAATAAAAACTACTTTTGAAAGTGTAACAATAATAAGAAGTAATTAGTGTCCTATAGAAACCCTATATAAACTAAGTTTTAAAGCAAAAACACGAATCAAAATGATGCTCAAATAAAAATAATCAATTCTATATAAACTTTACACAATAAAAAAAGAAGCCACGTCCAATATAAAAGCCAATAAAAAATAATAAGAAAGCGGAGATTTGTAAAAAGTGTTTAAACTCAAGGGCGGTAAAATGTATTTTAGGCAAAAAACCACCAAAACACCACCATCCGAAATCGCCAGAAAACTGCCAGAAAGCCGCACTTTTATTTTCTGTAGTGTACTTGTTTAATATCCGTTTTCCGAATGCAAATCCTAAGAGATAATGAAACCCCCTGTTATGATATAACATCAGGGCATACAAAAGTCAACTTTTAGCCAGAAGTGTAAACTGGTAGTGAATACTTAAATTAGTAACAGTATAGTAAACATATACGAAACTCTACCAAGATATAGTGCTAGATGTAGGCTAGCAGATGAGTATGCAAAATATAAAACAAAATAAAAAAAGAAGTCACTACGCTGGTGCTATTACTATCACTTTATATAGACCATTTTTCTATATATATATATATATGAAAAAGATATTTAAGTAATCTTAGAAGCGTTGAAGTTTCTTTTGTTTTTTACAGAAGTAGTTATTTTTTATTAAAGTAGTTTTTCTTGAGGTGGCATAATGGCCCATTAATATATATATATATATATATATATATATGTAAACTCATATATGTTTCGATTTCAATTTGGCATATTTTTATATTTTTCTCTTGTAGTGTCAGGAAAGACTCAGATCAACAAATGATAGTCACTTCTTCCTAATGGTTTCTCTTTTTACATGTTTATTTATTTACAACAAGGGTTATATGTTTGTAAGTTTTTCTTTAATACCACTATGTAAATTGATATTCATTATGTTGCTGAAATACTTGTTTTACAAATTCACCGATTTTTGTACTCAACTAAAAGTTTGTACTTTAGAAGCTTATTGTGTTCAAGTGTAGCGTATCATTCTTATACTCAATTTATCTATTTATTTATTTATTTATTTTTTTTTTGGGGGGGGGGGGGTTTCTCTGGTCCCCGTGTTGCTTATTACGGATTTAATACACCATTTGACAGCATCTGGTCTGTTTATATCTGCTTTGGAACAAATATCTGTAGTAGCTATTTTCTCATTTGGTTCTTGAATAAGTTGTAATGACTTGAGATAATTCTAATAGGGTAGTCAGTATCTTGTTTTCTTTTCTTTTGCATTAAGCCCTTTTTACTGTATTTTGAGTTTTATACAGCATTAGATGTGGCGTACTTGTGTTTATGTGCTTTAATATACTTCAATGGGTTAAAAGCTGCGGACAACTGGGTCAAGGTTAGAAAGTGAGATGTAATATACAATGCATATATTTGTTATTTCTGTCTATTAAAAGCTTACATGGGCTTTGCAGAATTCTCATTAAAAATAATAATAATAATAATAATAAGCTGTATAAATTAACCGGAGCTTATTGATTCCGGTACAACAACCTTCCGGACACAAGCATGATTGAACAAAAAGGAAACATTGCATTCTATTTTTGACTCACAACCAATAAAGTAATCAAGAGGCTGCGTGATTACAGTCCTGGCCGTCATAACTATTACTATTGTTACTGCTATTAATAATTGAATAATTATAATAACAGTTATAGCAGTGGTAATAGGTATTATTTGATATTTTTGTATTTTATGACTGTACGGCTCAATGGTAAATACACACAGCCATTCAACGCCACAGGTTACATATCAGACCAGATTGTGGTCGTTTGTTCCTGTAAGGTGACGTATACAGGCTTACATTCTCATTTTGATTTTGTGGACTGCTTTAGGCAAGCATTTCTTTCTTTCTTTTAAAATAAAGGAGGAAGCCGAAAAATCAAAATAATAAAAAATAAAAGCAATAAACCTGTTTGATGTGAGAAACTTTATTTTTCCAAAAAAAAGATCAAAACCAAAACCAGATTAAAGATCCTTTTTATGAATATGGATATTAATATGGCTGTGTATTTGTGTATTTTTGGTGCGTGGTAATAAAATCATCTAATAATTGTAATATATATATAAAAAAAGGCTTGTTTTCACTACCATGTTCTGCTTTGTACTTTTTACATTTTTGTTTTGTTCGGTTGTTTGAGACAAAATATTTTTTGAAAGGCTACATAATGACGGCAATATTATAGGCAAAGATTAATTATGTGGTTGGAAATCATTTATTTTTGGCACTGTATCTCTGTGGTACAAATGACATATAAGTAAAGAAATATGATAACAGTAACTACAGAGACAAAACTTTATCATGTATTTTATTTTTATTTTATTTTTTTTAAAAAAAAGAATAAGGGCATGAATATGTAATATGTAATATATTAGTTCTCGTGTGGCTTTCTATAATGTGCTAATACTTTTATTTTAAATCCTGTTTTGTGTGTGTTTTAGGGCAATTCTTCTTTAAAGAGATAATGATATTCTAGAAATGGTTAATATTATACACATAAATAAATAGCTCCAATAAATATACACTTACATATGTATTTAAAGATCACAATTGAGTTTTGCCAGTATATATGTATTATTGTATTATAGGACCAAGAGACGGACAGTCAAAAGAATCTATTTTGAATCATAAAAGTACAATACACACACACACATACATATATCTGCGTGTATGCAGTAGATGAAGTCAAAGTTATTATCAAGTCAATCATGGCTTACGGGAAATAAATTTTCCTGTTTATTCAATCAAAGAAAACTCAAACAAAAAGTGAACTATCGTCTTGTTCTCCAGTGATTTACCATAAAACAATTCATTTCTGTCAAGGTAGCATATAACAATTGGTTGCCATCTACTATCATTTGCTGTCAAATTAATTCTCTAATCTCTTGGTTTGTTCCAATTTGCTTGGTCTTTTTGATCTGTTTGATCTATTTGATCTGTTTGATCTACATCCAGGAAGTGTATATGTTGGCGCACAAATATAGGAACTCAAATGTATTACACCTGGTTTAATAGATATATCTGTAGCCTTTTTGTGTAAAGTTTAAACCGACAACATCCTTTTTGGTATCGTGGCAAAATTACCATGAATGTCTTATACGAGGCGCGTGAATAAGAGTTATAGAGGGCTGTGTATACAAAGCAAACACAGGGCTTGTCAATAATATTTTATTTTATTATCATTTGTGTGCGTATTTCTAAAAAAAAATTGCCCAAAAATAGGCATTTAAATGGCGGGAATTGTATATGTGCCTTTTTGCTACACGTTGCCTAGGGATTAAAATAGATATATTATCGAAAATGGGTTGGCTTATTAAACCTACTATGGTCAATGCCAAGCCAAGCGTTTCACAGGCCGGTCAACTTATATATTTATATATATAATTCATAGTCTACTCAGAGGATATTCTATACATTAAATTACACTACATTATATTATATTACAAAAATAACATTATGTTTATTTATAAAGAAGAAAGTAAGCAAAGTAAGCAAAGTAAGGAAATTAGGGAAAAAATTTAACATATAAAAGGCACAAGATGAAACAATCCAAGGAGAACACCATCCGGAAAACCCTCCTCTTTCTCTTTCTCTTCTTCTTCCTCCCCCTTTCCCTCTTCTTCTCAAATCATCTGCACACACTCTCACATACACCCACAAACATACATTTCCTTTTGTCCTTCCTTTTACCAAATGGTACAAATTAAACCCCTTCTTCTTTCTCTCACGCTTGCCCAGGTGGCTAGTTTTGTGAGTGCAGCTGCATCGACTACCAATGGCCAGGACTACTGGCAATCGTTCAAGTCAAACATCAATCCCTTGAACGTCACTCTGCCAAAGATCACCCAGACTGTTTCCATTAATCCTACCCAGGAGTGCACCTACTATGATCCCGACACTGCCCTTTTCAACATTGACCCAACCGAGTGGCCTTCCATTTGGGAGGTTGCGACAACCAACGGAATGAACACCTCTGCCGAGTTCACTGCGCTCTACAACTCCATTGACTGGACAAAGGCGCCCAACATCCCAGTCCGTACCCTCACCTCTTCTGGCTCGCTTGACTTTACTGGATACGACGCCAATACAGATCCCGATTGCTGGTGGTCTTCGTCTGTCTGCACCGTGCCCAAAATTGCCGATGTCAACCCTGACATCTACTACTGCCCCGAGCCAGAAACATGGGGTCTTACTTATGACGATGGGCCAAACTGTTCCCACAACGCCTTTTATGACTATCTCGAAGAACAAAAGTTGACTGCCAGTATGTTCTACATTGGCTCTAATGTCGTCGACTGGCCTTATGGTGCCATGCGCGGTGTTAAAGATGGCCACCACATTGCCTCCCACACCTGGTCTCATCCAATGGTCACCACCCTGACCAACCAGGAAGTCCTTGCCGAGTTCTACTACACCCAAAAGGCAATCAAGCTTATCACTGGTCTCACTCCCCGCTACTGGCGTCCTGTAAGTTTAATTCTCTATCAATATTATTATCATTATTATTATTATATGTTAATTTGATTTACTTATTTTTTGTTTTGTTTTGGTAATGTAGCCTTATGGTGATGTTGATGATCGTGTTCGTTGGATTGCCAGCCAATTGGGTTTGACTGCCATTATCTGGAACCTTGACACTGATGACTGGGCTGCCGGTGTCACTACAACTGTTGCCGCTGTTGAGGAGAGCTACACTGACTTTATCACCATGGGTAAAAATGGAACCTTTGCCAACTCTGGAAACATTGTCTTGACCCACGAAATCAACAACGAAACTATGTCGCTTGCCTTGCAGAACCTGCCTGCTATCAGACAAAACTACCAGCATGTTATTAACGTTGCGACTTGCCAGAACATTACTTACCCTTACTTTGAGAACACCGTCAGTTTCCAATCCTTCAGCGAGTACCTCGGACTCAACACAACTTCTTCTGCCTCTTCTTCTGCCTCGTCTTCTGCTTCCTCTGTTGCTTCTTCTATTCCCATCTCTGCTGCTTCCGGTTCGTCTCCTAGTTCTGGTGTCGCTAGCAAGGTGTCTTCGCTTTCAAGCACCAGTTCATCCACATCTGGTGCTGTAAAACTTTCTCCTGCCTATATTGGCTTGGCTCTTGTTGCAGTAGCTGGTCTTTTGATCTAAATAGAATATGCACAATAATTACTTGTAAAACAAATATAACGAAATAAGAAGGCCTTATGATTTTATTTTTCTTTTTATTTTATAATATTTTCTTTTATTTATTTATTATTATTTTTTATTCAAATAAAATAGAAGAGATACGTACTCTTGCTCTTTCTCTCTTTCTGCCTCTGCTTTATATTATTTTGTAATCTGCCTGCTCTTCTATATTTTACTTTTGGTGCTTTTATAAATAAACCAAAAGTCAATGTCGAATTGGTCAATTCTGAATATTCATCATTTCTGTTTCGAATATACATATACATATACAAGAAGTGTTTCGTAAAGAAGTCCTCCTCAATATATATAAGCAGATAAAAGAAAGACTAACCTATAAATAAATTCATACACTTATTATACACTTTTTTTTTCTGCGACAATAAAATTGATTATTTTTATTATTATTATTTTTAAAAAATAATATAAATTACAAAAGAAAGCAAAACAGCAAAATAATTAGTTTATCGAGCTGTAACGTTGGATGTATTGATATTCTACAGGTTTGACCAATTATATTAAAATGAAACTAAATGAAATGAAAAGAAAAAAAAAAGAAGAAGAACAGAAAAATCTTGTTCAGTGCCAAGTCTTTTCTCGTGTACGGATAAACATATATATATATATGTATCCAAGAAGTTGGTTGAAAGAAAATTGACCATAATAGGATAAATTCTCCATAAGAAAAACCAATGGTTTTTACTTAAAAAGGATATATACGTTTATATATTCTTTGTACCTCTTTCTCACTTTTCCTTTTGTTTTGTTTTGTTTTCTTTTTGTATATATATTTTTTCTTTAATTGTCAGTGTGGGTGATATGTAGATTAATATAAAGATAGTAATTGAATATCTTAAAAAAAGAAATACAATAGAATGAAAACAGTAATTCTATATTCACTCCACCCTGAATGTGGGTTATATTTTCCTGTTTCAAATTAAAAGACACATAATTAAAAGAAGTGAAAATAAAATAAAGAGTACAGAAATCCAAGTGAAAATGATCACAAACTGTGGCTTCTTATATATATATGTATTTCTCTTTTTTTTTTAAAAAAAAAAGTGGTTGTTTTAAAAAATATCAATTTATAAGCAGAAAAAAATCATCAGTAAACTTGTCGTATTTTGTAGAAAAAATAAAACAATAAAAGCGTATATTTATATGTATATGTATAGCTCAATATTAAGTATATATTAACTTTTGATACTTTACTATTGTGTGTGTTTATACAAATTTACAAAGCTTTGGTTCGTGTTTGTAATTCTATAAGACACAATATGGGAATGATTCTAAGAATTTCAGTGTACGATTTTGTAAATTACAAAAAGTATGAGAAATATCACTATACAAAGTAAGAAGCCAAATAAATAAGTAAAAATGCAAAATTCAAATGATTGTGAACTCCTTGTAATTCTGATGTTATTGTTGGTCTGTACCCAGCTTGTGAATTGGCGATTTGTCCTGTTATTTTGTGTGTGTACATACACATGTACTGTGGACTAGACAAAATACCCGCGTGTTATCTCTCTACATGCTATTGGACAATTCACAAATTGTTGCCATGATATCCAAGTTTAATATATACTTTATTATATTATATATTTATTTTGTTTCCATAGCAACAGATTATATTATATTACATTTGGTTTGATTTGTTTTGCTTTATCGTAAATCTAGAGTTTGAAGATGATTATAAGCACTTGATGTAGTGATGAGGGAATACATAAATGAATATGTATCTTATATATATAAACATCATTTGCTGTGTTGGATATTCTTACTAGAATATCTACCAAATATTCGTGATGTACGTATTCAATTACACATGATATATAGATACAAATATATTGCCTTTTTTTTAGTTTAGTTTAGTTTAGTTTAGTTTGGTCTGTGTAATTACTATTTCTATTTTCTAATCATCATCATCATCATCATCAAAGATGTCACACATCAGAAAGCTTATTTTATATATTCTATAAATTTGTCTATTCTTTTCTTTTTTTTTTATAGAAATACATATTAACGCTCTAATATTTTTGGGATATCTAAGAAGGAACAAAAGGGGAAAAGGTGAACGAAGACTGTGCCTGTTACTTTATACAGATTCCAAAAAAGAAGACTATAGAATATCCGTAGAAACGTTTGTATTTAATATTAACTGATGCTGATGATGGTTACTGATGATGGTACTGTTTAAATACATGTATATATATATTTGGAATTAAACCTTGACCAACGAATTCTACTCGTGCCTGAGCTTTTGTCTGGCACTGGAGAGCTGTTACTAAAAAAAAGTATAAAAAAATTAAAAAATTACACACAAGCCGTCACAATTCTCATCTATATGTTTAATGGAGTAAGAAAAAAAAATTAAGTGAATGATGAGAATTAAGACAAAGGAAAAAAAAAAAAAAGAGCGCGCTGACAAGTTTTATTCCTGTATTTCTCCGCCCTTTTATTTTTGTTTGCCTATTTCTTGATTCCTCTTTCCCTTCTCCCTCTTCTTCTTCTACTTCTTCCTTGCATATTTTTGACTAGATATATATATATATATATATATATATATCTATCTATCTATTTTTTTATATTACTATATACAGTTATCTTTATATATAATTGTATACAAATATAAATATTATTTTATATTAACAAAACAGGAAACAAAAAAGGAAACAGAAAGAAACTGAGCTTCTACTTTTTGGTATTCTCATGAAGGTACTTTAAAAACGAAACACATACACACACACACACACACACATACAATCCCCATTCCAAATTCAATTAAAGACGTTCAAGACATCACAAAACAAAATGACAACTACAACATATATGCAAACATACATATCTTATTTCTCAATACAACACAAAAATACCTTATTTCTCTCTTTTTTTAAAAAAGATTTTGTATTAACAAACAAACTAATAAAACCTATTTTATGATACACACCTATATACACAATACACGTACACTACCTACACAACACACACGACACACGACACACGACAAACGACACACGACATACACATACACTTACACGTACACGTACACACGCACACGTACACGCACACATACACGCATATAATAAAACACAATATAACACAACACACGTATACACCATATACATTATAGTTTGGCAAACAAATCCAAAGCCAGCAGTTCACCGAATGGAGTTCTCAATATTTGGATTACAAAGGTCTAAAGAAATTCATCAGCTCTCTATTAAAGAATGTACCGCGCAGTAGCATATCAACCCCAGGTTTATCTAATTCCAACACATCCGATGACGATCCATCAAAGTTTTTACAATCTCAAAAGGCGGCATTCTTCTTTAAACTAGAAAGAGAACTTGAAAAGGTACAAAAGAACATTATACGTTATACTTAAATAAAAAAAATGTATAAAAAAATATTCTTTGTATATAATAATAAACGAATATTTATTATCTAGATCAATTCCTTTTATCTTCAAAAAGAAAATGAACTTAAGATACGGCTGCGTACGCTTGTAGATAAAAAAAAGGTACTTCAATCAGACTCGCGCCGCTTGAAGCACGCCTCGACGCTCTACAACTCCATTCAAGAAGCCTTTATGCAATTTGAACATGACTTGAATAAACTACAGGTAAAGAGAAAGACTATATATATATATATATGCAGCAAAAGGCGATAGAGTAGAATTTGGTCGAAATATGTGTAGCAAACCAAATGAAACAACTTCTTCTCTCTAACTAACTAACTAACTAACCAACGAAAATAATATATATATATATGTGTGTGTGTGTGTTTCTCTTCTTTTTTTTTTTATATTAATATTCAGAAATACGTCGAATTAAACAACGAAGGCTTTCGAAAGATCCTAAAAAAGTGGGACAAACGTTCAAAATCAACCACAAAAGAACTCTACCTTTCTCGTCAGATCGATATCCAACCATGCTTCAATACCCAGTTCCTTTCTGAACTCGCCGACCTTTCTAGCCTCAATCGACTCGAACTATCGAATATTCAAGCCGGTATCCCGATATCACCTCCGATAGCAACTGTACCACATGAGTCTCAAACCCCAGCAACTACAGCAGTAGCAGGAGGATCAACATCAACAAACGCCACACCCACAGCCACGGCTACAGATAGTATGGACGATCTCGAGATGGATCTCATAAAGGCTGTCTCAAGCAACCAGACTTCTCTGGTCCGTGAAATCCTCGACCGAATCACCTTGCACCCTTCACCAGACGACAACGAACGCCTGACACGCGTCTTTTGGCATGCATGTTCGGAAGCCTCCCAAGAAATCCTCAATCTGCTCATCACTATGGACGGAGTCGATTATGGGTATGTTGACGACATCAATGAACGCTCTTACTTGCACATCGCTGCCATGGCAGGCAAATGCTATCTTTTGGAGATTTGCACCGAGCGCGGCGCAAATGTGAGAGCAATCGATGCCTACGGACGCACGGCTCTGCACTACGCGACCATGAAAGGATTCAGCGACTGCGTATCGTTTTTGCTGCAGCACAATGCAGACATTGAGTCCAGAGACCATGACGGCTTTAGTCCTCTTATATACGCCATAATGAACGGCCATACGCCATGTGTCGAAATTTTGCTAAAGTCTGGCGCGAACATCGAGCCTCAACACCCATCAGACCACATTCCTCTCTCACTGGCTTGTCACTATGGCCACACCGACATCGCTCTTATGCTCTACCACCGAGGAGCCAAAAACTTGCCAAATGCCGAGTCTCTTTACCCACTGCACCTTGCAGCTCGCCAGGGCCACCTCGAGCTCTGTCGGATCCTGTCCCGCAACCCCGAGGAAATCGATCGACCGGACAAGTACAACTCATGGACACCTCTGTTCTGGGCTGCAAGCGATGGACATGCTGATTGTGTAGCGGTTTTAATCCAGGCAGGCTGTCAAGTGAACAGCAAAGACGAGTCTGGGAAAACTGCCTTGTATTATGCAGCCTGGGAGGGCCAAAAGGAATGCATGCAGATGCTGATCGATGCCGGCTGCGAGGTTGGGCCTGTTCTGGATGAAAAACAGAAATTAGGTGCGATTAAGGAAGGTGGTGATACCGAGAAGCAGCCAAACAGCGGAGATGTGGGTTTGGACGTACAAGTGGGTGCTGGTGCTGGTGCTGGTGCTGGTGCTGGTGCTGATGGTGCTGGTGATGGTGATGGTGATGAGACGGCAGAAGATTTTGAACTTGACATTCCCTCACTATCCCTGCCTCCTCCGATCATTCCATTTAGAATCTACGGACACAACTATCTTGACCGAAAGTACCAGGTCAACATTCTTCTCCACCAGCCTCCCATCCGCCTTTACGACAATACCCAAATTTCGTCGCTCAGACTTGTGATTTCGTCCAAACCAGATTCGGGAATGATCCCGCACAGTGTGATTCTGCCGCTGGTTGATGACAGAGAGATCTTCAACTTCCAGGTGGACAAACTGGATGACTTTATGCTCGAGTTTGACATATTTGCCACGTTTGGGTCCAAAGTGCTTGCCAGGGGTGTTGCGCTGCCCTATGCGTTTTCATCGACTGATTCGAGCATTAATGACGGCCACCGAACTATCCCACTTTTAGACAGTCACCTCAAGGTGATTGGCGAGCTTTCATACGATTTCTCGGTTGTTAAGCCGTTCCGTGGTGTCCAACTTGAAATTGGAGGACGTATTGAGACCTATTGGAAATCCACAAACACGGTCATTCCAAATTCAAACAACAGTATTAATAACAGTGTTTCTGCTGTTACCACTACAGCTACAGCTGTAGCTACAACAACAACAACAGCGACAACAACTAGCACGACCACGGCTACAACGACGGCTAGTACCATTGGTAATATGACTACTACAACTTCTGGGGTTACTACTGACACAACCACCTCCACATCTACAGCTGCTCTCTCGCCTCATCCTACTCAAGATACTGTGCTGTCGTGCACTGGTAGTCTGCCTTCATTTATTACTGCGTCTTCTCTTTCGGGTGACCACATTCGAGTTGTGGTCCAGCTGACAAAGGACCTTGTACCGGTTGTGTTTGCAAACTGGCTGGTTCCATACGAAGGACTTGATCTGGCTACTTCTGACTTGAGCTTTGAGCAGTTTTGTTCACTTGGGGAAAAGATTCTCAAGGGTCAGGATGCAGCAATGGGTGAGACTGAAGGTGTTTGTGAGATCACGGGTAATAGTAGATTGATCCAAAAACTTGGAGGAAACAAGACTTTCTTGTCATTGAAACAGGTTCTTGAGGTAAGAGAAAGAAGATAAAAGAGAAAGAGAGAAATTAAATTAGTAAATCAATTAAAATGTTGACTGTTTGAAGCATATTAATATTGATATTAATATTTTATTCTGGATTTGGACTTGGTATTGAAATAGAAATTACCGCCCACAATGGGAGTTCACATGGAACTCAAGTATCCTTCAACAAGTGAATTGCCACTGCATGCATTTGCCAATATCGCAGATCGGAATACCTTTGTAGATGTGATTCTGCAATGTACATATGATCATGTTCGATCATTACCTGCGGATACCATGAGCACAAGTATATTCTTTTCCTCGTTTAACCCTGCGATTTGTACGGTTGTAAACTGGAAGCAACCAAACTGTAAGTCGTAAAAACCAAAAAAAAGAAGAAGTAAATGAAGAATATTTTGTAGATGTAGATGGAGTAGTTACCACTACAATGAGAGAAAATATTAACAATATGTGTGTGTTGTATTGATATTTTAGATGCTGTATTTTTCAACACTTATTGCGGGCTCAATACGTGTGAGGCAAAACGTGGCGTGAAGCGAAAGGACATGGATGCAGATGTCGAATTAAAGGCGCCTGCAAGAGATGTCCGATGTTCTTCATTAAAAGAAGCAGTCAAATTTGCCAAGCGAGACAATCTGCTGGGTATTATTAGTGAAGCCATGCCACTTGTAAGTATCTACTGATAGATTATAACTATGTGTTTGTGTGTTCTAATATCTTGTATTATTTTTTTTCTGTTAGGTCCAAGTACCTTCATTGATAAAGACTGTCAAGGAAAGTGGGCTAATTCTTGTGACATTTGGTGCCTGCAACTCGGATGTGCGTTATCGGAGGATACAGGAACATTATGGTGTAGATGCCATGATGATTGACCAAGTCGTTCACTTTAACACATCAATGGCAGGAGCTGGTTTCTAATCCTTGCTCACTTACTTAATTACCTACTTACCTACTTACTCATTCACTCTCTCCCTATCTTATTCTCTCATTTACTCACTTACTTATCTACATATTAACAATCGCACTCACATATGCACCCCGCTTATTCACTCACACTTGACACACTCACTCTCCAACTGCACTCGCCTACACACGCACATGTATTATGTATTATAGTTGTACTTGTAGTTGTCTGTAATAGTGTTCATGTATGTGTTTCGATTCCTTAGTATTCTTTATTTACAATCCCACAACTCCCCGCCCTTTACATCACTTTCAATTGTTTTACTTCTTATTCTTTCTTAATATTCTTACACTAGTGCTGTGATTTACTAGAATATAAGAGATTTATACACACCACTCTACATAGGTTGACAAGCAGTATTTTGAGCTATACACCTTTTAAAAGAAAACGCACACAGACATATACATACCCAACACACAAATCAAACATAAGTAACATGTAGAATACTCAAAGGACCACCATTAATAAGAGAGATACAGAGAGATTAGTACCTTTCTTTTTTCTTTTCTTTACTTAGGCATAACCTGTCCTTTTTATATAATAATCAAGAATTTGATACTGGTGTTAATTAACTTGGGACTACAGCTTCAGCTTCAGCTTCAACTTCAACTTCAACTTCAACTTTAACAAAAAAAAAAAAAAGAATTTACCTCCAACCCTCCTACCTTAATTTTTATTTTATTTTTCTATCTCCCAACTTTTGGCTAAAGTCAACAAGGCACCAAAAAAAATATATAAGAATAAACCCAACTTTTGGTTCAAATATCAATACAAATTAAGAATCTCAATCCCAATTTTACTTTTAATTTTAATTTCAATTTCAAAAAGACCAACAAAATAAACATAATATATATATTTATTACATATCATTACATAACATAACATAGCATAGCATTACAGTGTAAGGACTGCATGTGATTCGTGAATTTGAAATAGAAAGAGTAAGAAAGCAAGAGTGAGTGAGTGAGTGAGTGAGTGAGTGAGTGAAAAATAATAAAAATAAAAATAATAAAAAGTCAGTTTTTATTTTATTTTATTATTTTGCCCCAAGAAATGATTGGATTTTTATATATATATATATATATATATTTATTTATTTAAAATATCTTAATTATTGAAACTCTCTTTTTTTTTCTTTCTTCTTCTTCTTCTTCTTCTTTAATAACTTAAATATGGAGTCCGTCCAGAACTTGCTTCCTTATATCATCCCGGCCTTGGCTGCTGTAGGATCTGCCTACTTCTTTATCAACAGAAAGCGTATGTACTCCAAATACTTAAAGACATTAATAGATAGAGAAAGATAAAGAAACGTGTTTGCGTATAGAAAGAGCAAGATGAGAAGAAAAAGAAAAAGAAAAAAGCTATATGTATATATATATATATATAAAACGCGCCATTCAAAGATTGTCATTCTAAATTACTTGCTCATTGTTAGAGGCTGTCCTTCATCCCAAGGATTACAAAAACTTTAAGTTGATTGAGAAGATTACTCTTTCTCATAACACTGCCTTGTACGTTATTCTATTCCCCTTCCACACAATTATATATATATATATATATATATATATATATATTTAAAAAAAAACAATTGGTTACTGATATTTCAATCAACTTCACAATCTTACCTTTTTTTATTTATATATAATATATATAAAAATATAGGTACCGCTTTGGTTTGCCTTCAAAGGATGCTATTCTTGGTCTTCCTATTGGACAGCATATTTCTGTTATGGCCGAGATCAACGGAAAGCAGATTTCTCGCAGCTACACTCCCACTAGCTCAGATGATGATGTTGGTCATTTTGACTTGCTTATCAAGGTAAATATCACCTTATATATATATATTATACTCTTAAGAGAAAGATATGCTAATATAATTTATGTTTTATATAAAAAAAAAAAGTCTTATCCTACTGGAAACATTTCCAAGCTCTTTGGTGAGTTGACTGTTGGAGACTCTGTAGCCGTCCGTGGTCCCAAGGGTAACTTTTCATACACCCCCAACATGGTCAAGGCCTTTGGAATGATTGCAGGTAAGATCATAAGAACTCTGTTATATATATATATATATAAGTGTGTTTATGGGCGAATTAGTGAATTCAAACAGATTGTTAAACGTGTTTTTCTGTTTTCTTTTAAACCAATAAAAAGGCGGTACTGGTATTACTCCTATGCTTCAGGTAAACTAAGAAAGAATTAAATACAAGAGGTTTAATACCACTTTACTTACATAATGTATGAATATGAATTTTATTTAATTTCTTATTCCTTCTTTTTTTTTTAAAAAAAAATGATTTTAGATCATTCGTGCTATCTGCAAGAACCCTGCTGACAAGACAAAGGTCAGCTTGATCTTTGCTAATGTTAACGAAGAAGATATTCTGTTGAAGAAGGATTTGGACGAGCTGGCTGCCAAGCACGACAACCTCAGTGTCTACTATGTTTTGAACACACCTCCTGCAGGATGGACTGGTGGTGTCGGATTTGTAACACCAGAGATGATCAGTGCCCAGTGCCCCGCCCCAGCAGACGATGTCAAGATCCTTTTGTGCGGTATGTATATTATTTATCTTATTTATTGGGGTTCGAGTACGGCAATATAGTATGTTGAATAGATTTGAATGATTGAATGAATAGAAAAATAAGATTATACGCTAATAACTTCATATCTAATGATCTCTCTATACTTTAGGTCCTCCTCCTATGATCTCTGCCATGACAAAGGTGAGTAACTTTGATGTGCATAGATAAGGTCTATTCCAATGTGAGACTAATGTTGGATACAAATCATTAGGCTACTACTGAGCTTGGTTATGAGAAGCCTCGTGCTGTCAGCAAGCTTGAGGATCAGGTCTTTAAGTTTTAAATATATATATATTTTGAGAGAGAATTAGTACAAGTATTATGATTGCTGGTATATATATTGTTAATTGAATAAAATGCATACATACATAATTACATAATTACATAGTTGCATAGTTGCATATACTGATCAATTGAAGAAGACTAATACCATGAATAATAATAAAATGAACATTTGTATTGATCCCTTTAGTATATATAATTACAGTTCAATTGAAACAACCCATTGACATTTCTAATTGAATGTTTCAAAAGATACAAGAAACCATAGACAAAAACATAAGCAAGTCACAAACAATTTACTCATATCTCACCCCCCCCCTTATCCACTCACCCTCTTTTCCAACCCAAAAGAAAAGGGATCTTTCTGCCGTCTATTTCCGCTTACTATATATATATATATAATTAGATATTTATATTTTTCTTTTTCTTATTGAAACCAAATAATAATAATAATAATAATCCATCTACTGTCATGGCAAATCACACTTCATACACAAAGGTAATCCAGATTCCTTATTCCAATTAACCTCATCCCTCTCTTTTGCTCTTTATTGTCTTGATTGGTACTAATCTATCCATCTGTCTCTTCTTATTATCATTTAAATGTAGAGATTGTACATTAGCAATCTAGATACAGCTGTCGATGAGTAAGGATTAATTTGATTATAAAACTTGTAAATCAAGTCTACATGTGTGTGTGTGTACGTACGTACGTACTTATGCTTGGTATTCAAAATAGATATGCTGTCGTAAAGTTATTTGAACCATTTGGCAAGATTACCTTTTTGGATTACATGTTCCATTGGAGTGGACCCAAAAAGGGACAGCCGCGAGGTTACTGTTTTCTTGAATATGAAAAGAAAGAGGTAAGACAGCCAATATACAAGATACATATATATATATATAAAGTTGAAGGAGAGGATTTTGTATCTAAAAACAAATTATTTGGGCCAGGAAGCATTAAAAGCCATGAGTGCGTTGCACGGACGAATTGTGAAAGGACGACCTCTTGTGGTTTCATTTGCCCACATGGTAAGGACAGGTTTTAAAAGAGAATATGATTATGATTACAGTTTATTTATTTATTTCGATCTAGACAAATCAAGAGGATAGTAGTTCTCGTAGAGGACAAACGTCAACAAATAGTCTCCATAGACCAAACACATTTACAATCCTACGTACTCAAAAGATGGCTAATGCAAGGTAAATTGAAATAGAAAGCATAATCGCAATATGTATATAGAAGTTTGGTGCTTGTACATATAGTTGATTCTTATATTAATTGATCAATTAATCAATTGATTTGTATATAGTACTGATGCCAAGATCAATGCAATTGAACGGAAACTGGCCATGCTTGAACAACAAAGGATAGACCCAACACCGACAAAACCAAAGCCAAAACAAGTACAAACCTCGACACACCAGCAACAGTCTTCTGGACCCAGATTATCTGGGTATCAACAAAGATCAATCAGATCGGCTCTTTCGACTGAAGCAACCAACAGTAGATTCCCTGCCAAAGAACCTTACAAACGTCGTTACAAACCATATTAAAAAAAAAGCATTAACAAAAACAACAACAAGCACCAAGAGGCACCAAAACAAGCACAGACAGACAGACAGACTCTCTCTATCTATCTATCTATTTATCTCTTTCATATATGCACACACACATAAGAAAATATATATATATATATATATATATATAATTATGTATATATTGTTTATCACGCCATTGGAGCTGTAATTATGTACAAGAAAGAATGAAGAAGAAGACAGACCAAAATTAGAACGTTTATACACACAGAAATCACAAACCATAAGGCCTATTATTTCTTATACAAAGCTTATGATGATGATGATGATGATGATGATGAGAGTGGTACAAGAAATCAAGAGACGTGGTGTATATGTTATATATTTATGGGTGTGCCTTTATCTTGTTTGTGTAAGGAAGATTATTTTCAATATTTTAGTGCAAGAATAACAATAGTAGCTAATGTACCCCAATAACCGATTGTCAAAGCGGGGTAACAGATGGCTTTTGAATTTGATATCTGCAATATAGTACTTGTAAATCAAATCAAATCAATCAGTCAATCAAAGAAGTATTTATTTATATATGAATTTTGCATAAAGAAAATTTTATCCAAAAGTCTAACCAATTATGCAAAAAATAGGAAATAAAATAAAATAAGATTTATTGTTTATTTAAAGGGCAAGAAGAGCAATAACAATAACAATCAAAATTCGCTAATCTTGAATTGTGAATCTAGCGATTGGACAGTAGGTATTACAAGGAAATAGAAGGGAAAACAGTGTCCCTGATAAAGACATGTATTTTTTTTATATATATATATACACAATTTATATAATACAATATGATCATGCGTACAAATCAAAGAAGAACAAGAAGAAAAGGGTAAAAATAACTGGCTTTTATTTTTGGTCGGTCCTATTTCAAGCATTAAAACTAAATAAATATAGAGCCCTTGGGATCTAATATAAATTAAATATTTTATTTAAAATATCTGTTATCGTATTTTTCATTTATTTCTCTTCCTTCTTAATATCCTTTCTACACCATTAATCATTACTATAACCCTTATCCATGACTGACAGCCATCTCAAGCTACGGAACCCAACTCAATACCATCTGCTGGCTACTCAAGACACTATGACAGGTTCCTTTTATGATGCTCTACATGCCTCAGACTCGTTCTCAATGTCCGAAGACCAGATTGACTATGGAGACAGTTTCTCGCAGCAGTTCTTGTCTCCAATGACAGAGCCATTCCATGAGTTTGATGACCTAGACCTAGACCAGGACAGAGAAAAAGAAAAAAAAAGGGGACACCAGCTGAAGAACTACAGTATCTCCCAAACCCTACTAGGATCATCATCTGCAATGGATTACACTGAACAATCGCCGTCCGACTATTCCCTGGCTTCGGCAGATTTTCTTTCCCAGCCTTCCTGTGTTGGTCCGATGGATATCATACACTCCAACAAAACCTTGGCTCAAGACAGCTACGGTCAACAACAGAACCAACAACAAAAGCATCCAATGATGATGATGTCTAGAAGCCTTTTCCAAAGAGATCCTTCTTCTAACTTTCACGGCCAGCAACAGGACCAGCAGTTCCAAATGGATCAATTGGATCAAATGGATCAATTGGATCAATCTACAATGTTCCCAATGTCTGCACCTGCAAACCTTGGCTGCCAATTTGGGTCCCACAAACTCACCTTGAATCCCGTGCCTCTAAACTTGTCTGTAACTAAATCCAACCCACGAGACACACCCCAAAGCTATGAGGATGACTACAATACCCAATTAGTGTAAGTTGGTGTCCAGAATAACAACATCTATTATACGTACATGGTATATTGACTATATTTTCCATCGTAGTCTACAGACAATGATGGAAAAACGAAGACGCCGAAGAGAATCCCACAATGCTGGCAAGTCAACCAAAAAATAAAATTAACCAATCCTCAAAGTTTATCTCTAATTAATAATCTTCTAATTCATCTAGTCGAACGACGGAGGCGTGAGAATATAAATGACCGAATTCAGGAACTTGGGACTCTCTTGCCAGACTCAATGCTCGAAGAAATCAATAACTCTATCAACAGCACCAATGCTGGAATCAACAGTGTAAACAACAAGCCAAACAAGGGCGCAATTCTCCGCAAGTCTGTAGACCACATTCGCCTCTTACAAGAAGAGGTCAGTGCACATGTACGGCGTATAAAGGAACTCGAAGCCATTTTAGCCCAACAAGCAAACAAGTCCAACACTTTATAACTTTTCTTTATATTCATAATTTATGGTCTTCCTCTCTCTTTTTTTCCATTTCTTGTAATCATTTTCTTCTTCTTCCTTGAATTTTCTCCATCTATCTATCTACTTCTTTACCTCTTTACGCCTTTTATATATACATATATTTTGTACAGCATTTATTCTCCTTGTTTTTTTTTTCTTTTATATATATATATACACTACAAGTCTTGCCATTTTATTATTTAATTTAATTTTCTTTGGCCTTGTAGGTTATTCTTCTTTAGAGCTACAGATACTACTAAATCTGTAACCGACTAAAGATAGATACACAAACAAACAAACAAATAAATAAATAAATATGTCATGTCATGTATTGTGATTGATTTCATCAAACAAAATAATAGTCACACAAGCAAGAAATAGATAACGATGGTTTGAACAAAATAATAATAATAAAAAAAAAGGCTGTATGGAATATAATTTACAAATAAGAAAGCATGTGTGTATATAAATATTTATATACACATCTTGTGCGTACATAAATGCACATAAAACTACTCCCACAAAACAAAGAGAAAAAAAAGAAAAAAAAAGAAGATATATATTGTTTCTTTATCTAAAGCTTGGCCTCTGCAGGGGTCTCGGTCAACAAAATGTCTCTAAGCTCATCGGCAGCATCCTCAAGGCACTGCTTGAACTGGTGAGTACCGTTGACATACTTTTTACCATGGACCTCGAGGTCCTTGACACTAGCGACATTGAACTGGAGTGAGTTTGCCTTGATCATGTAAGCGACACCAAAGCCGTCGTTGACGACCTGGCCCCAGCCGTAACCGTCAAACAGCTCGGACGAGAGCTGGGAGGTCGAGAGGTACCAGTGGCTCGAGTAAGCGTTGGCAGGGTCGGTGAACAGGGCCGGCTTGGGTTCTTCGGCCTTGAGACTGTTCTTGAGGCCAAACAGGTGGCGGTCGACACCGTGTGCATTGACCGCATCGGCCATGTAAGAGCCCTGGCTCTTGAGTGCGGCGCGGTAGGCCCCAATCTTGGCCTCGGTTGGGGCAGTTGGGTCCTCCATCAGCTTGCAGAATCGGATCGACTCGGTGCTGACTGAGCGGCAGGTCTCGGTACGGCCACGCTGGAACTTGCGGGTCTGGCCGGACTCGTAGGTCGGCCGGTTGACGCCAAACATCTTGTAGTATGCGAGCTGGATAACCATCTGGGCAAAGCCGTCGGGCGACGACTTGAACTTCTTGATCTGGTTCTTGCCAAATGCATTGTACGCCAACACAGTCAGATCGTGCTTGGAAATCAAGGAGTCAAAGTTCTTTTCGGCCGACTTGACGGCATCCTCAATCTGGCCATTGACCTTGAACGACAATTCGACAGGCGCAGGAAGGCTGGTGCGAGCAGTGACACCGTGGTTGATCTTGTTACGAGAAAGACTATGGATATTGTATAGATGAGGATATGTGGGTGGGTTATTGCAAGAATATAGATAAGCCAACTTACCCATCGGTAACATATTCGTTCAAGCGGCAGGTGGCAGTACCATCCATACAAGAGTGCTACAAATTATAAACACCTTGGGTTCAGTAACACAAGATATAAACAATAAACACATCCCTATATCTACATTACATCGACATCTAGATAGATCCAAGCCGATCTCTCTAGATAGATGGATATATTGGATATATGCGTTTTGGTGGGCTTATCAATCTACCTATCAATCGCTTTATATTTAATTTCAATTTACCTCTCCAGTGAAACCGGCCTTGCCGTTCTCAAACACAATAAACTGCAGAGGCTTGTCAAAGAAACGGTTGCGGCCGTCACCATGCCAGCATGCGCGGGAACCTTCGTCGCGGGTGACGGGGCTGTAATCGTCGAGACAGACGACAAATGAAGACGACTCGATCTTGTGCAAGATGTCCTTGTTTGCTGGGTCGGCAGCCAACAACATCTCGCGATAATCGGTCCAGGTATCACGGTTCTCGGCGGTGAGGACACCGAGGGGAAGACCCTTTGCTTCACCTGCGGCGTCAATCACACGCTCGTACTGGCTCTGCAGCTCCTGGGTGGACAGCTGCTGGCCGTTGTGCACAGTGTCGACAACAAAGAACTTGTTCTTGCGGACAACGACAACGTGGGTGTTGGAAATGGGATCGAACTGGGCCTCAAAGTCGGATGGTTTTTTTGGGATACGGCAGTTGTTGAACATGTACTTGTAAGAGTCCATGCACATGGGCTCACCCTTTGCGTACTCGGGCTCGAGGGTTTTTCTATGATTTTTTTGTTTTTTGTTTTAGTGGCATGTCCTTTATATATAAAAAAAACTTACTCAACAACCATCTTTTTAAACTCAAGAGCGGCAGTGGTAATTGCTGCAGCACGATTGGCAGGAGCCTTGCGAAGCTTGTCATCCTTGTAGAGGAAAAAGTAACTGACATAGATGACAACAGGGTCGCGGTAACCCATGTATGCCTGATCGAGCCACCAGTCCTCCATCCAGTTTACAACCTTTGGGTTGTTGGCCTTTGCCAACAGACGTTCCTGCAACTTTTCACCAATTCCACCGGGAGCCTCAAACTCACTAACGGCCTTTTGGGTCTTTTGGAAATCCTCGTCGCTCAAGAGAGGTCGGACACTCTGGAGGTATTTCTGGAGAGTGTTGTGGAGAGCAGGTACAGGCAGCTTGGGCAAGTTCTTCTGGTAACGCAACATAGGACCAGCAGCAGTAGCGTCAATAGGAGTCTTGGGGGCCATTTTTGTAGCAACACGACGAGTCTAATGTAAAAGTTATTTGATGAGTGTTTATTCAAAGAATATTTAGTTGAAAAGAAAGAAAGAAAAATAAAAGAACTTTGTTATGTAGTTTATATTATGATCAGCAACAAACGACAATAGAGAAAAACCTCACCAAGAAATAAGGTTGGTTTTCTTGGTTGGTGTTGTAGGCAGGGGTTAAAGAATAATAATATAAGATTGACTTACAGTGTTGGTAGCAGCAGGTGAAAGGGAAACACGGGAAGTCATTCTAGTCATTGATGTAAGAGCCCGAACGGACATAATATAGGTATAATTCTAAGGAAGAAGTTGTTCTTTTTTTCTTGCTTATTGTTTTTTTAGTCTGGTATCTTGAAAAGAAAGAAGCAGCAAGAAATTTTAAAAAAAAAAAAAAAAGAAAAAAGAGCAACTCACATATAAATATATATATATATTTATATTTTGTATTATATAATATAGTATAATATATGTATATATATATATAATAATAATAATATAATTGTGTATATATTAGGTAATTTGTACTTTCTTATTTTGGACTTTCTAGATTTTTATTGGCGCAAAAAAAAAAAGTTTAAAATAAAATAAAATAAAATAAGAAAGAGTGGTGAAAATCGGTGTCATCATATATGCCTATTCAATTAAACCAAAGCAATTTTCAGTTGATCTTAAGTAAGCGGAATTGTGGGAACCAGTTTATTCCCCGCAATCTTTCACCCACATTTTTATTTTATTTTATTTTATTTTTTATAGGCAAGATAATCAAATTAAATAGGCGATTAAATAAAGGTTGATTTACAGCCACACATATTACACCTACACCTACACCTCATAGGCTTTGTTCGAGAAAGATAAAGAGCAAGTGAAATACCGTCTAAAATAAAATACAATTTACTAAGGAACAAATGTATGGATTATAATAATGACCATGAATACGGTCAAGGCTTATAATTGCCATCATCGACAATGGTTTACTTGTTTTGTGGAGTAGATTGACCATTTGTAGGATCTTGGCTGTGGTTACTGGTATCGATTGAAAGCCAATTCCCCCACACTGGGTATGTATATATATATATATATATGTATATGTATATATACTGCCCTGAATTACACAAGAATAAAATAAAAAGATGGAGCGGAAAATTGATTTCGCTCACATTTAATATACATCTTTTAACCGTAGCCTTGTAAAATATAAAGTCCAATTGAATATACGCAAATCAAAAGAAGAAGAAGAAGAAGAAGAAGATCTCATTTATTATAAAGTATAAACTGTAATAATCAGTACACACAATTTCAAATACCAATATATATATATATGTAGGTAGAGCTGTTATTTTAGAAAGAAAGAACAAAGATAGTTATGTTGTTGTTGCTTAGCCTCCAAAGCCATAGAGGGTATGTCCCTGTCTCTTTAAAGCATAGATGATATCGAGAGTGGTGACAGTCTTTCTATTGGCGTGCTCAGTGTAGGTGATGGCATCACGGAGGATATCTCGGAGGAAATATGAGAACGCAGCACGGGTCTCTTCGTAGATACGATTCGAGATACGTTTGACACCACCACGGCGTGCGAGACGGCGGATGGCAGGCTTACCGATGGATTGAATGCTCTGTCGATTAATCTTTCTGAGACGTTTTGGCCCTCCTTTTCCGCTTCCAGTCATGACAAATATAAGAAAGTGACCAAATAAGTAAGTATGTAGCTGATAAGGTGCTGTTGAAAAAAGAAATAAAGGAAAAGGAAAAATAAAGAAAAGAAGATCAATTTTTTTTATTAGAAAAAAAAAGAAGCAATTGGTCACAACAGTTATCTATATACATATTTATCTACTCAGGCTTTTGCTGATGTTTCTTCTTGATCATTCAATGATAAGAAAGGGACGTATTTGAGTTATAGTTTGTATGAAATAACTAAAGATGATCTTTTATACAAAATACTACAGACATTTGCATGGAAAGGTTCATAGGCGATATTTAACCAATGACTGATAGATCAAGGGAATCTATAACGATATTTTTAAGCCTTGCTAATTATTGACGATTGATGATTGGTTATTATTATTACTATATATTTAAAGTTTCTTTTTTTTTTCTTATAAAAAGAAAGGCAGTTTTATTCCAAAAACCTGATTGGGAATCACTTTTATATATATATATATATTGTTGAAGAAAGAAAATTATTTTAGAAAGTAAAGCCGCTAATTTTGTGCCATGAACTTCATTTGACAGCTTACCGAGGCATTCGGCCCTGTTGTGTAATGGTTGGTTGACACTGCATGTGTGTGCCTGGTATATAATGGTTTCAGAGGTTGTTAACTTGCCAGGTTAATCAGCAAGAAGGAACCAGTGTTTGGTTTTGGAGTCTGTTCTTCACTCAATTGTGGTATGTATATCACAGAGATCTTCCATTTCTGCCGTGAAATGGAACACTGGAAATATAGGTACAGAATAGTGAAGCTAATGCATACAATGAATATATTCTGTTTTTCCAAGACACACCATTTTGCCCCTAAGGATTAGAGAAAGACACCAGCCCGGACATGTAGCCACAATTGAATAGCCTGGTTAGATAGAAACGTCGTTCTCGTAAGTATGTAACAGTAATGGATAATATGCCTAATAGATAGATAAATAAAAAGAGAGTACAAAAGGGCTGCAGGGCGCGTAATTTATAGCCCGATTTTGCAAGATCGGGGGGGATATTTTTAATACTTGCCATATTTAACAGCACACAAGATATATAGATTTATGTAATATATTCTTTTTGCTGATGTAATATTTTTGTGGTGGGGAGTGGGGTAAAAAGATCAACGACAGGCAATAGAAGCATTTACAAGATAATTCCCACACTCTTTACACAAATCGAGCAATAGAATTATAAATACATATATATTTTATGATGAATATGTAATATGTAATATATAAATAAATGTTTATTGTATAAATAAAGAGTGTGTAACTATCGACTTGCTTCCTTTTTTTTGTATTTTTTATCAAAGGAAAAAAGAAAGTTAATAGGGAGGGTTAAAGGTTAAAGGTTGAGGTCGAGGTGTGCGTGTTTGTTATATGTAAGAAATAATAATGAGATATAAAGAGATAAGAGAGAAATTAAGGCTTCGAATTATTGCCTAACTCTCTTATTGGAATGCTTTTGATTGTTTTTTTTTCTTCTTCTTCTATCATTTCCTTTTTTGTATGCTATATGCGTTTAGAACAAGAGGTTCATTGCCTTCATAGAGTATTCAACACCCAAGAAAGTGGCAGCATTGGCAGGGAAGGCTCTGAGCATTGCAGGTCCAAGACCCTTGAAGAGAGCACGAGGACCATCAGCCTTGAGGGTCTTTTGGAGACAGTCGACAACACCACTGTAAGTGCCAGCAGGAGCAGACTGGAGACGGGACTTGAGGACATCAGGGGGGATAGCAATAGTCCACATGGCAACACCAGCCATACCTTTATAATATGATAACATTTGTTAAATCCAACAGCACTTCACTCCAAAGATATACTAATAAAAAGAGAAACTTACCACCAGCAAACAGAACAGCTCCAGGGTTGAGGTCCTCAGGGCGTGTGCCTGCAGGAGTCAATGCCTTCTTGACGAGTTCATAAGCAACAAAGTAGGCGGCAGAACCAGGAGAATCACGCAACAGAGTGGCACCAGTGCCACGGAAGATAGATCTCACACCTCCCTCCTTGTACAGCTGACGAACGACATCCAAAGGACCCTTGTACTTTTGCTCACCACCCTGACCCTGAATCTGCAACAAAACCTTGACTCTCTCAGAAGGAGCCATGAACAAAGTAGTAGGAACAGCCGAGAAAGCACCGGCAGCAGTAATCTCAGCCAGAGTGAGTTCCTTGCTCTCCTTGTCCGACTTTAAGCTAAACATGATCTTTTTACCAAGATCGTAAGACTACAGAAACCAAAATGTTTTAGATGATTGTTAGTCGATAAAGCATATTTGGCTATCTTAATCTCTCTCTCTTTTCATTAGTGCGTGTATTGCTTTTGATATATATATACATTGGTTTCATTGTTTAAGATGAAGAAGAAGAAGAAGAAAAAAAAGATAAACTTACAAAGAAACTGACGGCAAAGATAGGAGTAACACTGGCCAAGGGAGTAGCCATACCACGGTAAAGACCGAGAATACCATCCTTGGCAATGATCTTCTTGAAGCAGTCGGCAGTGTTCTTGTAGACACCTTCAGAGGTCTGAAGACGAACCTTGACAAGATCAAAGGGTTGGCTATATACAAGAATATTAACAAGATAATTTGGACAACCAATTGTAAAAAAAAATATTTATATATAAAATATAGTCGGCTTCTTCAATACTTTACCCAACCATTACAGAGGCCATACCACCAAAGCCTCCAGACATGAAGGACTTTACGGATGAGACGGTTGATGCCTTGGTCTCCTTGAGGGCAATAGGAGCAGGGATTTGCTGTACTTCGGCCATTTGGTATATTTTTGTCTGGTTTGGTCGAAAGAAAAAGAAGAGGGGGATAGAAGCCTTAAAAAGAAAAGAAAGGAGGAAAGAGAGAAAGAGATGTACTTATTTCTTTGGCTTTATTCTTAAATGTATATTTTATTTTTCTGTTGATAAAACGCGGGGAACGGAGATCGAAAAAGAGGCTTTGTAAGGCTAATCTTATTCACATGCCGGTTACTTTTCTTAACTGTCATCCCAAAACAAAGATGTTACACTCAACTCGATTAATTTCTAAATCTGTCTTGTCTGGCTTTAAAATAAAAACGTATACACAAAATATATATAAAATAAGTTTTCTAAACAATGATAAGAGCATCTACAGTGTTTCCATTTTATTACAAAACTCCTGAAACAAGCAATTTTTCTGTAGGTATACATGCACTAGCAATAGGCAAAAAACAAAGGGGGGGGGGGGGGGGGTCAAGATAAATGAAGAAGAATATTTTCTGTGTAATACTGATACCAACAATACTTATAGTATCTAGTGCCTAATGTATCTACCTTGTTTCTTACTATCAAAGAAACACGCTGGCTTGCCGATTGTTTAATTAATTGGTCAGTTAACTAGCTAGCTCTGGGGCTAAATTACCAGCTTATACACCTGCGTTAAACTAAACCATCTAATCAAATCTAATGTCGGAAGAAAGTTGAATATCTAAATCCGTAGTGAATTACATCGACTAGTAAAATGATAAACAATAAATTAGTACAGTACAGTACAGTACACTATACTACAATCACGCTTTAGTACTTTGTCAAAGCCACGTCGATAATTACCTACACCTGATCTTGCTTTCGAAAGATGACCTTGCTATGTATATATATATATATATATATATGTTTCTTCTCTTGGACGCAGGGCATATTTTAAACTATCATAAGTATTAAAGCGCTCAATAGACACAATAACCACTGATACTTTATTAAAATAAGTATAATATATATATAGCTTTATTTCTAACATGTATAGAATTTTTAAAGAAGAAAAATCCTAGGTCATACAGAATACAAAAGATTAATTGCATTGTTGCTCCAAAGCCTCAATTCATACTCGTTTGTTTGATTTTTTTTTGAAATAAAAATATATATCAGTAAGAATTTAGGAGCCATAAAAGAGTCCGTGTATAGAGAATCAACCCTTAATTAACAAAACCATAAATCGTAGAAATAAAACCCAGGCTTGTGTGCTGATTTGAATATTAACAATATATATTATTCAGTGATTATCAGTCAATTACTACAAGTCTAAGCAATTGCAATAATGTATTTCTTAGGCACAAGCAAAATACGACATATTATAACATTAATAGTATTGCCTTTTATCAGAGCTTAACGATTAACGGGTCATCCTCGTCTTCTCCCTCAATTTTCCCCCGCATCAGGCCAGCAATATAGTCTTCGAGTTTCGGTGGAGGTACATTAAAGAATGTGCTTGTGTGCCTTTTGGTTCTGTTGACACAGTGGAGCATATTCTTAAATACAGTGCCAAGAAGGTACACCTTTGCCGAGCTCTTCTTCCCCAATCTTGTTGTGTAGGTGTACTCGCATTGCCTAAAGTGTCTCTGGACTTAATTGAACTCCCAGTCCACGTTAGCTCTCACTTTTGCCATGCATCGATTGCTTTTAATCTCGATATCTATTATATAACATTAGTATTCTTTGTGTAGACTATATAATATAACGTTCTTATACTTCATCATCTTACCATCTTTGGTTTCGCTATCGAACGGTTTGAATATGTTTGCACATTCGATACCAGCAGGACTTCCGTAAAACGCAAACCAATCTTCGCGATTGGGTGAGAGCTGCAAGTACTTTTCGATTCTCTTCTCAGCGTTATCAGTCGTGTAATGCGAAAGACCCTTCTTTCGGCCGACAAATGGTCCAATCAAGGTGTTCGTTATGCCATCCGGAGTGACAATAGACTGGAACTTTACAGAGTGGAAATGCTTCCACCCGTTGTAATAATCCCTTGTGAAATCTACTTCGCCCTTTGCGTACGAGTTTTCTTTGACAAGACCATCGATAAAGCCGACGATGTTGGGAAACGAGGCCCCTTTGGCAAGTATAGCTTCGGAAAAGATTTCCAAGTTGGCCGGAGAGAATTGACGAGTGTCAAATTGAATCCCCCACTTTATTTTATCGTATATTAGGTTTTGCATTCCCGTGCAAACAGTCGATATGCTTGTCGGGCTCATTCCAAAAAGAAGTGAGAGATCTTTTAGGGATCGACCGGAAATATATCGATGTATCAATACTGCAAAGCCAAAATCGCTTTCGACTTTCAAATGTCCAAATTCACACCTCGAAGGCAGTCCAAGCGTACTGCTGATCATTTGAATTTCTTTCAAAGAAAAGTGAAAAAGGTAGATACACATACTGTCCTGCATCCAATAAAGATTTAGTCGATTATATGAAATTCTAGGCCTCTTTTGGGGTACGATATATGGGCGGCAATATGGAGGGCCACCTTGAGCTTGTTGGTGAATTCTCTGTAGTCTATTGCGAACATACTGTTCAAAGGCAGCACTGACGGACATTGTGCGATTTTTCTTTTTACGTCAAGATCTTTGGGATACACACACACAAAGAGAGAAAGAGAAAGAGAGACAAAAACAAGAATGGGTAGATGAATAGAGAAATGTTTTGGCTTGGTTTTTTTTAATGGAGTAGAGTAGAGTAGAGTAGATCTGGATCAAGCCGTAATGAATATATATGTAATAAATATATATTCGGCAACGTCATTTTGACTATCAAGCAATATGAATCAATGAAACAATATTAAACAAACCGAGTATAACACTTTATATTTTATTTACCTTGGTCATATATCGATATCTGCCCAACACTACATTCATTAAATAATCTTCAACGGACTAGTTCAATACTGTTTACAGCTGGCTATTATTGAATAAATAAAGTGCACTCGACAAATGTAAAGTAAATAAAAGTTGACAAGATATATGAGACAGTCTTGAAGAAGTATAATTGTAGAAGACAAACACCAAAAAAAAAGAAAGAAATACATAGAGTTTGGTTTGTGTTTTAAAGGAGAATTAATCAAAACAAAAAAAGAGAAGCAAAACAACTGTGTAAAGACTTTCTTTGGTTTACGGTTCCAGGTGAACAAATAAAGTCGAGGGTGTAGTCTATAGGATTACAGAATACTTGCTGGTAAAATAAGAAGGTATTTTGCAGTTGAGGAATAATTGGGATGTTAGACTACGGGTGAGAGTCAAAGAACTTTGAAACATCAGATAGCAAATAGCAAATACTAATTTATATTGATATCTTTCTATTAAACACATACACACATGTATATATATATATAAATTATAAATGGCAGACAAGTATCGTAGATTTAATAATAATCCGCAAGTTCCAGTTTATTGTTATTATCATTAAAAGTACAGAATTAGATTGTACAGAGCTATTCTTGCTATCTGAACCAATATAAAATAGTTTACTATTGACTGGTATTATGTTTAATATCTATATTAATGTTATTTTTTAAAGGGTACCATTGGCACGGTTTTCTTCTTGGTCAATAGCCCACTCGACAGCTTCCTGGACATGCTTACAGACTGCATCGGCTGGGTAAATCGAAGAATTTCCAGGTTCGGTAAATACACCTGTGCGGACAAGAATGCTTGTCCAGCCATAAGCATTTGCTCCTTTAATGTCGGCCGCTGGATTGTCACCGACGGCATACACACGAGGCTTTGTGTCTTCGGCACAACCGCCGGGGGACAGGTTCTTGATAACATGCTCGGCGTACGCATATGTTGTGCCGTGCGGTTTTCCAAATGAAGTCGAACGAAGCTTCTGCTCGGTTAATGTCTCGTAGAGTTGTTCCAAAGCAACCTTGAATGACCCTTGGCCAAGTCTAGGGGCAGGAAAGTCTGTACTCCAGATCTACATAATATTCTATAAGATCTTTCCTTCTTCTTCTCTTTATTTTTATCTTTATATATTACGTACAATATCATTCTAATAATATACATAAACAAAATAGTGTATGTGTTAATTCAATTTTTTTGCATTTATGTAGTTAATTATGCGTATTATTACTTTACTTACATTAGAGAAATAAAGGGGAATCTGCTGGGCAGTAAAATCGATCTTTTGGGTACCAATTACACCGTTCTGTGCACAGACAGCATCCAAGACAATCTGAAGATCACGACCCCCTTTTTACACAGGAATATTTATATAAGAAAGATTTAATATATAACACAAAAGGGAAGGTTAGAAATCTTGTATCGATTTTTTTTGGTACTGTTATATTTACAATCACGGGCGTCATGGAACATCATTACAGCATCGATGGGCATCTTTGGAACGTCATGCTATTTGATAACAGTCAATATTTTCTATAAATCTCTTTTTATTTAAAATCTAATTGTAAATTGTTACTTTACCTTTACTGGGTTGTCGAATTTGGGAGGAGTAAATGGCCAGACAGATGGATTCCACTGTTGAATATCATCTGGCGTCAAAATATTTTCAAAACCGTACCTAGTCAAAAAAAATTAAGAGTTTTAGCTCGATCACACCATACAATACATATACATTATTATTGTTACCCTTTGGCTACATCACGACAAGAGTTTCCTACTCCACCAACAATAAGGACCTGCTTGTCCTTGTACTTTTCTACTAAGAGCCTCATAGGAGAGTGGGATAGAATAACCTGCTCTGGGCGGATCTACAGGGTAAATGTGTGTGTGTGTGTGTGTTTTTTTGGTTCAGGGGGAAGGGAATTTAGCTTATTTGATCATTTTACTGTATACCCACAATTTTGTTTATTGCCATCTTCAATATATTTTCGATATCATTTATTTAAATATAAAATAAATACCTCGATATCCAACATCTGGCTGATTTGTTCTGCCTTCTTGGCTTCAGTGACACCTCCACCGTTAGTCAACAGGACAAAAGGAACGTGTCTGACCAAAGTTAAAAATTAAAAGAAGTTAGATATTATGTTCTCAAAGACTTGTAAACAATTTTATTGAAACAATATATGTATATATTAACCTTTTGGCTGCATTATCACCGTTAAGTAAGCGCAGGGCACTAAGAATAAAAAAGTTAATATAAATAAAGAAATAGAAAAAAAAAGAGTTGGCTCTTTCTTGCTTTCTCTTTATAGACATGCTCACCGTTTTGCTTCCGGGATAGTTTGTTTTCCCTATAAGGTGATGAGTACATGGTTTGTTGAGAGATGCATCGGGATTGTACCTTAATCAAGACACCATCAATGTCGAATGCAAAGGCATAGTTAGGCTTCATCGTAGCGCTCACAAAGGTACGCACTGTTTGAGAACCCACAAAGGGCTTTCTCTTCAAGACCTGTTGAAATACAAACATTTTTACTTTAAAAAAATAAAATAAAATAAAAAAAAATGCTTGTTTGAAAGATGGCCTGGGCTTCTTGCATTTTATCTTTTTTAAATGATTTATTGAGATGACGTCAAGCAAGGCAATGATTTTAATGGAGTTAAAGAGGTTTGGCGTTTTGACAGACTACTTTTGCTTTGCTTTCCTTTGCTTTGGTTATTTGTTTTGTTTTTTGTCACTACAATGATAAAGCAGTGCAATATATTTCATGCTTAGATCAATCACCAGATCAACCATATATTAATTTATTCATTCAAGACAATCAATCAATCAGATAAATACAGTAAAACAGTGGCAGCAGCAACAACATCAACAGCAAAAATAATGCCGTGTAATTTTATTTTAATTACAGGACAGCTGATACCCCAATATATAGCTGCATTTTGACACAAAACCTTGTTACGATGTTTATCAATTACTGTATATCGTTTCTAGACAAAAAGAAATATAGACAGATCAAGGTTTAATATATTCCTCGGTATGTCATTGAACGTATAAAGGAAAGTGACAATTTATGAAATATTAACATATAAATCATATTGACTGACTGAATGAATGACTGAATGAATGACCCTTCCTCTTCTCATCATCCTTCTGTCCCATCCCCTTGATATATATATTTTTAAAGAGCCCATACAACCCTAGCTAACAAAAGGAATAAAAGAATAAAAGATAAAAAGATATATTTCCCCAATTATCATTACCAATATCATTACCATTACCATCATCACCACTATCATCACCTTGTTTGTGGTACTTGATTAACATTCTTCCAAAATGCCTACCAAAGACCATTGGATACTCCATTGTAAATTTTTTTTAAGAAAATAAAATAAAATAAAATAGTTTAGGCTAATATGAAACTTGTGCATTTTAACCAAGTATTATGTACAAAGAGTAGCAGTAAAGAAAGAAAGAAAGAAAGAAAGAAAAAGAGGGGGGGAGGATCGAGATCGAGAGATAGATAGATAAAATAAAGATATGTGCCTGTGAGTTTGTTGGTCTGTGGGTCTGTCTGTGCGTGGCTCTAATAATCGCCATCCTCATCATCCTCATCCTCATCATAGGGATCTAAGCGGCCACTCGAATAGTTTGAGGATGATGGTCGGACATCCTCTTCTGCGCGCTCTCGTTCTCTGTCACGTACTCGTGCATTTCGCTTGCTCTTGTTAACATCTTCGCATGCATCAATCCATGCCGAGTAAACATCCACGGGTTCATCAAGCACTAATTATCAGATCCGAATGAGCTTTTGTCTGGTAATTACACAAAATTACACGCAATATATATATATATCTGTTTCTCTTTCTCTAAATAAAGATAAAAGTAACTTGCCATTGATTGGGCATTGCCAGGTCATATCGCAAATTTTGCATGTTAGATGGCCTACTTTATTTGCCTGATCCCTATTTTAAATTAAAGAGTCATTAGAAAGGAAGAGAAATAAATTTACAGGCTTACTGTTAGTACTAATGATAATTATACTGAATATGCTTACAGTTTAACGTCGACACTCTTTTCATGGTTACAGAATAGGCAGTTGAATTGAACATCGAGTTTCTCCTTTAATTTCTTAACGACCTTTCTTTTCGCTTTACGTTTCCCCTAAGAGAAATAAGAACGAGAAAAACGAAAACACCCCGGGAGAGTAAAGGTTAACCAAAGGTATTTAAAATGAAGAATAGGTATATATATATATCTTTATATAGAATCTTGCTATTAATATAATAATTTATAGAAAAAAAAACACCTACCATCTTTAGATATTTTTATATATAATTCTAATATATATATATTTTAGATAAATATATATAAATGTATATATAATGTATAATATCTACTTCAAAGCGACAGACAGAAAAATAAAAATAATAAAAAAAGAGTTTGACGGCTTTAACATTCTTATGTACATGACTAGAAAAACCAATTGGCTAAATGCACCACTCCCATGCGAAAACACGCGTCACGTATGACGCAGATTTGGCACAAATGGGAAAGACCCAAGTTTCTGGTGAACTTTATTAAGAAAATTATGTAGAATAGCAACCATTTTCCAGTTCAGGCCTGGTCAGTCTGTCCGTAGGAGGAGGCATGGGGTTTGCATCACTCTAAATTTGATGTGCCACCTACAGAAAGTAGGATAAGAAATAGGGTCACGGATCATCATAATAAAATCAATTATTTTCCTTTGTTTTGTTGTAAGAGAGTGTCTTGAAAGATCCCTGAATGATAACATAAATAAGATCAACACTTTGTTAAGCCTTTAGTCGACAGCAATGAGTAGCATTCAGAAGACTGACTACCTTAACCTTCATCCCATCCCTGCGAACAATATCAACAAAACCATTAAAGACACACTCCACCAGCTACATACCAATACACCTTACACCCCCCGCGCGTATTTTCAGATTACTCTACTCTATTCCGTTCTTGACCCGGACTACCACATATCCATCGCTATGAAAAATCTTGAATCTAACCCTTTACCCAATATCAGAATTACTCTACAGACCGTGGACATAAGTCTTTTCCTTTTAAATTCTTGCATGTATATTCTAGCATCAATATCCATACTTTTTCTTCCTTTCTTTTTCTCAGATTCAAGAAAGATTTTCACCATTATGCCTACAAATCAAAGCAATAACACTCTGCTTTGCTGGAGTGTTTGTAAGAACTAGAGCTCTAGAAGCCTTACATGTGCTTTACAGCTCGTTTAAAGATAGAAGTCTGTGCTATAAAACAAGGACTTTAAATAGACAGAAGTCATGTTCACGGATAATAGATAGATACAAATGCATAATATAACTTATCTGAAGATAGTTTGGTTCGATCTGTGTAACACTTCGACATTTATGCTTAATTCGCTGGATATAGGTGTAACTCGTAGGGTAAAGTGTTTCCTACGAATGACTTCCATGAAAAAACAGAGCGGAGAGACGTTTAACTCGCAAGTGATAGATAGCTTATGTTGATGCAAAGAAACGGATTGATAAGATTTATAAAGGTGAAAAAAAAAGACTACCTAGCTAAGAATAATTCGGGAACAGTTGGCTATTTTCTTGAGATGTTTCCGGAAAAGGACGAATGGAGGCAAAGATGTTGAAGAGATCTTAGGGCTTTCTTAATATATGCAGACTGGCTGTTTGTAGGTGTCCGCAGCTAGTTGAGCAACATATTGGCATCAGAACATGCTTGAATGACGTTGTTATTATTATCAAAGTCAGAGCAATGTTTTGCAATTTCTTTCAAATGTTTAATATCGGTTCCAAAAGCGTTGACATAAACGATGTTGTACATGGGGAGGGCAGCAAACATGTCCCTTTTTACAAATAGAAACTTGTTTTGATTTTTATAGATCAAGTGTGCGAGCACCCGAAAGTCATACCATCTGTCAGCAGTAGGGTTAAACCCACAATTAGGATCATCAACTATCTCATGAGAGACAGAAAAATTGGGCTAGTATTTAACCTCTCTTTCCAACAGAGGTGCGTTCATAATATTGGTAATTTTCTTGGGCAGTGGAGAGTCTTTTAAAACCATTTTTTGTGGCATTGACTAAAACAACCCGTATCAGTATAAGACAAGATTCTTCCTCATATATTCAATTACTCTATAATATAATAGCGCATCTTACCTGGGCCGAGAGGCTCTTGTTTGTTGTTGTTTATTACTTTTTGTGTAGCTACAGGCTTTCCCTTCCTCATTCTCGCTCTCGATCTGACCATTGCTTTAAAGCCAAACTAAAATTTCAAAATACATATTAATACTTTGTTATACTATAGTTTTTTTTATCTTACATGACCAGGCAAAACACTGACCTTTCTCAAGTTTGCCCGACCAAAGTTCTTGGAGAGGTGTTTGGGACAGCTGGTATCCTTTCGCCTGTCAGAATACTTATTTTTTTTTGGCGGCTTGAAGATTCATCGAAGGGTGCCCAGTTTTGCCTTCGAATTCAGAACTAACCTTCTTAATCTTGCTCAGAAGGTTGACCTTTTCCTGGCTGCCATTACAAGAGCGAAAAGGTAGCTCAAGCTTGATCATTTTCTCCATCCACATCTCTGGCTTTTCATCAACTCTGATTGTTTCTTTCAGAATAATTTTCGGCTGGGTTTACCATTCTAGGTTCAATGAGCCACCTTTAGGGAATATCGGAAATATGGACTTCACTTCAAGCAGACAAAGAATGGCGGCAAGGTAAGCCATACTGAAGCTTGTTAATACATTTGCAGAAAGCATTGCTTTTGCACTGAAACCGAATCTCCTGATCTACTACAAAGTGATGCTCGCTTCGAAAACTTCATTATTGGCTTGGACAAAAGCTTGTTTCGTCCAACAAGAGGGTTAACCACGGTAGATTTCCTTATCTATATATTTCGGAAGTCTTTCTCAAGTCTTTATATGTATCTTGCGATACTCTCGAAGACAAGGTCCAGAGAATCAATCCTGAATATACCTCTTTTCGAGGCGTGATGGGCAGTTTCTACTATCTGCGATGTTGTACATCCGAAATGTACCGACCTGCAAGTAAGGAAGTCTGCTCACTTATGTTGGCATGGAGTACACTTGTCATTAAAGTAAACTGAGGCTGGTGCTTTCTCCTTACCTTTGTATACCTCAGTACCAGCGGGAAGATCGCTGAACTTGTTAAGAGACAAGTCAAGCTCTTTCTTGGTTTTACTAAGGATCATGTTGGTTAAGTATCCTGTAAGCTCTTTCTTCTTCTCTACCTAACCGATTCTTCTCGAAAGAGCCTTCCCCTCGCTATTCAACATGTCCCAGTAGCAAAACAGCTTATTGTTATATGGAAATACAATGTCCAAAGCGTTTATCAATGCATCATATTTGTCTGTCACAAACACTATGCCAAGTGCCTTGCTGTTCATTAGAAACCCAGATAAAGGCAACTGGAAAAGATCTGAGGGTTTATTCTTCAAAGTTTTAGATACTTCCCACACAAATTAGTGACATCTCCAAGTTAATAGTAAAATATGTAGCATCTACCACCATAACTTCTGAAAATCGATGTTTAGAATATTTTTTGTACTCTAAAAGATCGTCGGGCCCAAATAATAGCTGGTGGTGTTGACAATAGAGAGTAGTTTAAGGAGATGTGACAGAAAAATATTTGTACGATATACAGTTTGGTTGTCCAGATTACTTGCATACTCATTAAAGATCTCACTAGATTTAGATAAGCGCATTGGATCTGTCTTTTGGTTTTTTAAACGTAGGAATCAGGCATAGCAATAACAGCACAAAACAGATATACATTTTTTGATAAAAATAATCAATTAAGCAGTATAGATGTCTTCATCAATATTATAGAATTTAGAAAATATCTGTTTTTTTTTAGATAAGAAAAGGTAAAAAGTAGCACATAGCAATATATATATATATATGTGTATGTCTATTGTGTAGAATATTTATAGCTTAAACTGCCTCTAAAAATTATATAAATAAGTACTTCTTTTTTGCATACTTCTTTATATTTAACTTCTACTACACTACGACAAATAGGGGCGGTTTTTTGTATTTGTGACTTTGTTTTTGGCCTATAATAATTAAAAAATCACCAAAAATCCAATTTGAAACTAGAAAATCTCTGTTTTTTGAAAAGGTTGACAAAAAGCAGATTGACCACCTAAAATTAAATCTCCTGATAGACAAAAGTAAGCTTTAACTACAGATTTTACATTTTTAGTAAATGTAGATTGCAATTGATGACTATTAAAAGTCAGAGGTAAAAGAGAGAAAAATATCTAAACTTTTTGCTGGGAGGATAAAATATGTTAAGAAAATTTGAAAAAAAAATAATGTATTACAAGAAAAAAAAAATTATAAGTCTGCAAGAGAACCAAGTGACAGTTTTGGGCCGTGGTTAAGCTCTGGCCACACTATGTATGTTGTTGTTGCTGTTGTTGTTATATTTATAGTCGCGTCCGACTTCACCAAACCAACCAATTCTTTGACATCTGCCAGGTGAACTACCTTTGGCTTCATTTGCCCATTGTTTATGCAGTTCGTTTGGTAAATAGTATACCAGTTGTTAACATTGACAAGGACAAGCGGGCACCTCTTGTTGTTGAGCTTGTGCTCAAAGAAAACGACGACCTTCCCAAAGAAATCCTTGTAGACTGGAGAGTAGCTTTGCCCAATGTTGCGGTTCTCATCAACCTGAACCTGAAGTCTGACGTTGTGTGCCTCTCTTACACAATTATGGTCGAGTGCAGAGTCGATAACACAACCATTTACAAATGCCTTACGGCTTGTTTTAATGACTGCTTCAATCATACTACACTCTTCCCCTTTTGATTCGTAGAACTTTTGAAGAAGCTCTGGAAGACAAGAAATGCCTCCAAAACTATCAACAATCGTTCTGTTCCTCAAAGGCCCCCAGAACTCAATGTCAGAATCAGTACCAACATTACTACCTTCTCGGTCAATTGGCCAACCAGCAGAGGGATCGTCATACTGAAGGAGAGTTGTTGCTGTTACTGTTGCTGTTGTCGTTATTGAATTTTCAACTCTCATCTGTCGAATCTGTGTCAAGCCAAGCATGATGTTGCCAGCGTTGATTCCAATTGCCGAATTACTCTTTATTGCTCGCGAGTATTCCCCAATCGCCCTCTCGACAGATCGTGCACTATACGCTCTGGGGGGACCATACGCTTCTATCATTGCGGGATAGTGCTGCAGGAGGTGCTGGTTGATCGTAAAGACCTTGAGCTGGACCTCTCCTTTAGCTAGCGAGGCTTCCAGATACGCATTCCATGCGACGAGATTTCTAAAAAAAAAAAAAGATAAGTTAACACAAGTTATAAAATAATAATATTAATTATAATTAAAGCTTACGTTTTGATCAAGGTTTTCTCCTCTGCTGATAACTCCCAGCTCATGAGTAAGTTGCATGTCTGCACCAGGTCAAGCAATGCCTTACGGGCAGCTTGGTCACGGACACGCTCTGCCACAAGCGTGGGGATAACAAACAAGATGAAGTCAGACCAGTCCACAGCCCGGAAGTACCCTGATCTTGTTGCGATGTTGATCCATGCACCGTGGAAAGATGTCGGAATACTTCTTCTGGTTGACACCATGGCAGTACCAATTTCTTTCTGAGCAGCAAGGGAGAGAGAGAGAGGATGATCTTTTCCATACTTGCCACACACGAGCCCCCAGACCTGTTTGCCAATGCCGTGACAAATGCCGTGCATTTCATCCAATGCAAAGAAGAACGGACCAGAGAAGGAATCCAGTAAGGAGAAGGGAGATTGGCCAGTTAACCCTTTTTTGCTGGATGAGGCCACCTCATCAAAGTGCTTGAAACTTTCCGGTGTGCGCATGGTGATGGCAGATGGCATTCGGAAATATTGGCCATGGCCAGGAGATTGACCCACAACGTGGCAGATGCGGCAGCCATCCTTACTCATATGGCCCACATGACAAGCCATCTTTCCCAGAGCTGGGATGTCGCCAGTTGTCATTAGTACATGGACTTTTGCACTAATATCTCCAGATGGTGTCTTCACAACCATTCCACCGGCTTGGAGAACCCGAAGTTCTTTCAGAACAGGCTCCAGGAATGACCAGAAGTCGGCGGGTGCTTTGGGACCAGGGATGATCGCGACTTGGATCATACGGCTGCGCTCGTAGCGGATCATTGGGGGAAGGTTGAGGTTGGTAATGTGGACAATGGTTACCGAACCCGGAACACTATGGGGAGCAAACCCATCAATAGACAGCGAAATGGCGATGTCGTTTTCACCCGAGAAAAGATGCTTCTTTGACTGGTATGTCTGTCCGTCAAAGACATCGGAAATGCTGCCATCAGCCTTTTGCGTATGATGGTGGCGATACAACATCTCTTTTCTGGTGCGGTCGTTGGCCAAAGCAACTGCAAGCTGTCTACCCAGAGGAAGTTGTATCATTGTGCTGGCAGGAATTGGATTCTCACCAGCGATGTGATCGAACAATGATTTGCAATAAACATGCAAACATGCTTAAGAGGGTTGGTATAGATTTCACCAGATGCCATCAAAATTGGGCATCCATTGCAAGAGTCAGTCATCTCTGGAAAGACCGTCAAAGGAGGCAATTGTAAGTAACTATCCACTGCAGTGTAAAGTAGTGTATTTAATATTGGAAGTATATGATGTATTTGACTGTTTATAACCAATAAAAATGATGTATAAAATGTAATGTCTATCATAACAGCCAATAAAAGTGATATATAAAATGTAATTGTGTAGTGTAATAACCAATAAAAACGATAAATAAAAAATATATCCATTTGAGAAACCAATAAAAATGTATTTTTATAAAATACACTACAGTGCAATTATGTCTTATCCAATAAAAACAATGATTAAGCAAGAAATATTTAAAAGAATCTAAATTAAAAGAATAATGAATTAGTAGTAACCAATGGCATATAATATTTCAACTATACTTAAAGAAGTTTTGTCCAATTGAAAGACAAATATTAGCAAAAGAAAAGGTTATCAATATATTAATAGAATCTTAAAACTACCGGTAAGCGGAGATGTATTAAAATGCACATGAACTCAGGGTTGGAAAAAAGGGGGGAGGACACAAAACGCGCCCTGGCTTCCCCTCCGGAACCACCTGTGAAACCACCTCTAAAACTCCTATTTTTTTTGGCGTAGTGGCTATTGTGATCAATAAAAACCATAAAATTTCAATGTAAGTCATCATGTATTTTTTGAGCCAATTATAAGAAGAATAAAAATAACTAAAAAAGGTAAAGTTTTTCCATATTTAGAATATTTGATTGGGTTATATGCAAAGTAATCTAAAATCTCTTAAATCGTATTTGCCAAAAAGTAAAACTAATAAGCTAAAAACTGGCATGCTATTGGTTATAAAAGTTACGGACTTGTAAGTAAATTACGAGCCGGGATCGTAAATCCTGCCCCCCCCCCCTACAATGTACACTTAGTTACGAGTGCTAGCCAATCAATAAAGTTTGTGACTAGACATGTTTTATTTGAAATTCAGATTTTTAAATTTTTTGAAAAGGTATAAAAAGGCAGCAATCTTGGGGACTCATGAAACCGCATCCTCTCAGGCCTTTTGGCTAAGATCAAGTGTAGTATCTGTTCTTTATAGTTTAACAACTATAACTTGGTACATAGTACCATTTGTTGTTAATCTAATTTTTCTGCGCCCGGAATCTAGAGCTCTGGCTTGCCATCTCTAGAATCCACAGGTGTCCTTTGCTTTACACTGTTGCAATGTGACGCCGAGGGGGCTCCCAATCAAATAAATAAATGAAAATAAAAAAAAAATATTAATGTATAATTTTTACATTTTATTTATCATTCTTTCAAATAGAAAATAATTAATCAAAAGTAATTTAAAGACCTGAGAATCAGCAATCTTATGGGGACGACGTTTTTTGGTGGGACACGACGCTTCTATCTAAGCGGGCTAATTAATTATCTAACTGCCTGGAGCCCGGTGTATTTTTTTTAATCTTTCAAAGCAAAATGGCGTGTCCTGAAAAAACACAATATATTCATTATACCCATTAACTTACTACTTTGTCCCCACACTTTGTGCGTTCATCAATATCTTCCCAGGTGCCTAACTCTCATTATTTTAATAGTTACAGCTTGCCCTTAGGCGACTTAATAATGAAATACTGTCTCACTCAAAGAAAAATTCTGTATATTCAATTAATGGCTGTTTGTGCCCAAAATTTAGACTTGAATTATTATTATAGTAAGATTGGATCCTTAGGGACCAGATGGACTTATTTCATGCCGGCAAAAAGGCCACAATTTGTGGTCCGGTAGAATCAAAAAGTTATCTCCTACCAGAAAACGCCGTGTCCCTAAAATTAACGATACTTAAAAGAGCTTTGTGTCTAAAAATCGCGTCACATTCAGGCTTTATGACTGTCACTGTACTTTGGATCGCCTTACTTTGCTTTATTTTTCTGCGTTCATCTCTCAACACATCACATAACATCACACCATACCACATAAAGAAATAATGAGCACTTTTAAAGGGTTTCTATTTCACGATCCTAAGAAGGCAGAGAATTCTACGCAGCAAGAATCAGACGAGCCGGTAACGGCAACAAGATTTGAAAATTCAAAGGGATCTTTGAATGTAGAAGCTCTGTCAGAACGATTCGAGCAAGTAATGCAAACCAATAACGACGTTAATGGTGACCATTTAAACTCTCTTTCAAACCGACAAGAAGGCTTTAGGAGTTTTAGAACTCCGTTGATGAACCGTACTTTGGCAGATAATCAGGAGGCAAGACGAAAAAAGGCTTTAGAGCTGCAAAAGAAGGTCAGAGATGAACGTATTTCACAAGCCAGGCTCAAGGCTTTGGCAGGTGTCTCGGACGATGAAGATGAAGATGAAGACGAAGACGAAGACGAGGGAGAAGAAAAAGAAAATGGAAATCAACCTTATTTTTCCTCCAAAAGAATGCGAGACTCGGATGATGAAATGGGAGAAAACAAGCTGTTGTGTATGAGTGATAAATACACAGCCAAAAATAAAGGCAAGGGAAAGAAAAACAAGAAGAAGAATAAAAATAAAAATAAAAACCACAAGTACAAGGCACCAGAAGAGTTCACGTAAGTTAAACGAACATACAAAAGGAGGAAATAAGTGATGTCAATGCCTGACATATTTAATACAGAGATCTAGTCATGTACGCTGAAACAATGGAAGATATTCCAGAGGATTTGAACACGAGCTGGTCAATGGTAGTCTGTCCAGTAGGAAAGCGGTGCGTAGTGACAGCTGCTAGAGGTAACTACAATACAAGAAGAGAATGTTAATGTATTTATCTTATAAAAAAAATGATTTTTTAAAAAAAAAATTAGGAGAGACAATTGTGCGTTCAAGAAGTGGTAAATTTGTTATTTTTTTTATGTCCTGTACTATGCTAAAATCTTTTCTTTTTTTTCGATTTGATATTATCTAGGCCGTATTATGAAAAGGTTTCAGTCAACTCTTCCAAACGGATCCCGGGGCTCCAGAGCATCTTCAAATTCTGACTACTGCATTCTTGATTGTTTGTATAATGTTGAGGGTTGGACATTTTATGTTCTAGATATTTTGTGTTGGAAGGGATACTCTATTGTAGACTGCGATACCGAATTCAGGTAAATGATCGATTTATTGATTTAATTACATATTTTTGTTTGTTTGTTCGCTGAAAGCTAGTCCTTTATTATAAACAACGATTCCAACAATGATATAAATATGTGTGTATATAAAAGGCATTTTTGGCTTCAAACCAAGCTAGATCCCAGTGAGCTGGACAGACCTACTTCTGTAAACGGATTTCACAAATTCATACCACTACACCGACTGCCACCTACCGAATTGCCGAGTTTATTGGGAAATGTGAATGAATACGTCAAGCAGGTCCTCCAGCGAGAGTATGCAGTCGATGGGCTCTTGTTTTATCACAATGCAGCAAAGTACACACCAGGATCGACACCTCTGGTTTGTTGGGCACCCCTCGATCAACTTGGGAACCTCTTTTTAGGTCAAAGACCTGTAGCCAATGATACAGAAATGAGTTAATAATTATTATGGTTGGTACCCAGGGTAAATAATAGCAGCAAGGATAGTAAAAGAGAAAGAAAAAAAAAGGTTCACGATTTTCTTTGCTACATTAATTATATACCAATCTAATGAGTTAAGATCATATCTGTATTTTCAAACCGAATAAAACCTATTTTCTATCCTACAATTCGCCCATAGTACAGACCTTTAATCATTTAACTAAAAAGGCTAAACAGCCATTCATGTACATCTACTAGAAATCATACTCATATTCTCCATCTGCTTTGAGGGCTTTTATGAATGTGTTTGCTACCATCGTTGCTTAATTGGTACCGATCAGTATATGCTACAAAAATATTTATTCCCAAAGCTTCTTCGACTTTTATTAACTTTTTTTTTAAAACAAACGAGAATAAAGCTTGTGAGTTGAAAGGTGTGCACGTGTTTTTTGGAGAATAAAGATAAAGGAGATTTCATTTCATTTCATTAAACAAAAACAAAAAATAATGCTGCCGTTAAACGAACAACTTTATAAAAGTGTTGTTTAAAGTTCAATGTGCTCGGCAGCCTCGACGGGAAGCTCGCCAGATTCAGCAATAACAATCTTCTTCTTGGGAGAGTCTCTAGCACTAAAGTACGCAAGGTAGATGTTACCAGTCAGTTATTATTAACTAATATATGCTAGTGAATATATATTGTGCAATTTTAACTTACCCAGTGGGAGAGTTTTCAATCTTGTTAACAACATCCATGCCCTCGATAACCTTGCCAAAGACAACGTGTCTGCCATCCAACCAGCTGGTCTTGACAGTAGTGATGAAGAACTGGGAGCCGTTGGTGTTCTTGCCAGAGTTAGCCATAGAAAGGACACCCTAGGGAAAAGAAAGGAGGGGCAGATGAATATTTAGAATCAAAAGCTTGACTAAGTTTTGATAATTAAGTAACCAGAATAAACTTACTGGTCCAGTGTGTCTCAACTTGAAGTTCTCATCATCAAACTTTCCACCTGAGAAAATGAATAATGAAATTAGCAAATTAAAGAAACGTGGATCTTAATAAATAGTACGGTGTATTCAAATTTTACAAATAAGCACGTCGGATTATTAAAGTTCTTACCATCGTAGATAGACTTTCCACCAGTACCATCTCCTCTGGTGAAATCACCGCCCTGAATCATGAAATTCTTGATAACACGATGGAAGGCAGAGCCCTTGTATCCGAAACCCTTTTCACCGGTAGCCAGAGCTCTAAAGTTTTCAACAGTCTTGGGGACAGACTAACATAACCAACCCAAAACAAAATAAACCAAACCAAACCAAACCAAACCAAAAGAAAAGAAAAGAAAAGAAAACGAGTTGGTCAGAGATACACCATAGCTATATATATATATATATTTCTTTTTGATTAAAGACTTACTCCACCGTACAATCCAATAACAATACGACCAAGATCTTCATCGCCTTGCTTGATATCAAAGTAAACTATTTTTATTTTTTATTTTTGAAGCATGTTTTCAATATGAGCATTTGTGTATATTACGTGCAAGTATTACATATACTTTTTTTTACTCACCCTTGTTAGTTACAAGAGGTCCCTTAGTAGCAGAGACGTAAGATACGGTAGAGAGAAAGGCGAGTAGGGCCACGAAAAGAACTGGAATGCTAAAACGTGCCATGATGAAGACCAAGTGAAGAAGCACTTCCGTTTGTAAGGTCCAGCCAGTGTATACAATAATTATTGGTTTAAACTTCAGCTAAATTTATTTTACTTGAATTCTATTTTTTTTTTTTCACACCTACAAATAATTAACCCAATTATGGTAACTATTGAGCGCACAAAATGTTTCTACTGGTCCGGAGATATAATACCTAGTTTAACAAATTTAAAACCAAGATTCTTGGTGCACAGTAGCATGTCCTTATCTTATGACGTGGCTTGCTAGAATTTAGAAGAATCCCCATCAGAGACTTTTTGTGTGTAACCTATTGTCCTAAAAAGCTGGCGGAGTTGCAAGGCTCGATTATCTCTTTTTACGGGTGGTCAATATTTTGCGATGAATTCTGGTCATAAAGATATCACTTGGTGAGAACAGACTGAAAGTTCAAAAAAAAAAAGGGTAAAACGAGTTTATCTTGAGCTTTATCAATAAAAGTAATTTATGACTGGCTACACCTTTCTTTAAAAAATGTTCAAAGTTAGTTCAAGCACATGCGAGATAAAAGTGTGCTTATAATGCTGTCACTGTCATTGAGTCAAAAGCTTTTATTGTGGGGTTTTCTAGACCTTGCATTCTATGGCACGTCTTTTCCATCAAAAACATGCTCTTATTCTCAATCCAATCGGCAATGGAAGAAGACTAGCTAATCAAGGTTGTTCAAAGTATTTTGCCCTTTTTGTGTCCCTTTTTTGAACTTTTAGTCTGTCCATACCAAGTATAACCAAATGTCTAATGTGTAAATATTATAAGCACCAGCATCTCTACCGCCTATTTACAGTTAACAAAAAAAAACTGCTTACAATACTGGGGGTTGTTAATTACTTCTTATTTATCTCAACTCGAATTCTAATTCGTCTAAATTTCATTTTGATTCGTCTAGAACAAAACTTTGTCTCAATTACAAGTAAAGACTCTGTAGTAGCGCATTACATTTGAATGTACATGGATTTAAATGACAATATTGAACACAGCTTGTATTCGGGAAAAAAGCTTCATTTTCTTTTAAGAAAATATGCTTATCAAAACATACACACATATATCATCCTTCCACACCTGGTCGACCATCTTTATTAATTTGTATTTACGCAATTATGTATGTAAATATGTATAGTATTACTTCTCTTTTATTATTATGTCTTTGACTATTCCACTCTCTCTTTTCCTCTTTCCTTCGCATCCAAAGTCCCATTCTCTGTCTCTATCCCTGTCTCTCTGTGTCTCTGTGTCTTTATATATATATATATATATATCTACTTCTTGTGGGTTTACAAATATATATATATACGAGGCATTTTGGGGATCTTGCCTTGCGGCGGGATTTCTTATAGAGATAATAAAGAGTAAATTCAGATATTATACAAAGAATTCATTCAGTGTTGATGAATATTGTCTATCTTTTTTTTTCTTATTCATATGAAAGAGGCATAGTTCACTGTAATATGTCATTATTGCTATTATTTGCAAAGACAGATCCACTTTTGAAATAAGTGGTAATCACCATTAGTACCACCACTCCTACCCCATAATATAGCTTTAGATATTTTATTGTGGTATGCACACCTCAATTGAGTAAAGAATAGACTCTACAACAAAAAATCGGTTCCTTCTTGCTAATGAACCTAGCAAGTTAACAATCTCCAGAACTGTTATAGGCCAGGCACATGTATAGGGGGTACTCAGCCAGGTTGATCGCTCAAATTCTTGTGTGAATCTTAGCCAATGATGTCAATTTGTAGTTGAGGACACCAAAAGGCAAAAGATCAAATTTCGATCAAATTTCGATCAAATTTTGACCAAAATTTTAATGACATTCATATGCCAAGATTATACATCATTTAATAAAAGATTATGCAAAAAAATTGCTATATAATCTAGGAAACATACAATTGACATCTTTCTTCACACCTGCACCTTTATTTTGCTTCACACCTTATTACGAAAAAAAAACATGTCTAACTCTAACAGCGAAATATCTTTATCCACTGAAGATAACCATGCTATCAAAAACGAATATAAGACATGGTACAAACATGATGGTGGTAAAGATGGTCTGACTTCTATGGAGAGACTTCAGCAATTCATGTTGATGAACTGTGGAGAAAACCTCAATATGTATCTTGGCGGTGACAAGGAAGGACGAACGTTCAAGTCGTCAAAGGTTACAATACTGAATAAATGCAACCAGTATTTTCAGGAGCAAGGGGTTTATCGAACTACAGCCCAAATAAAGTCGAGGCTCAACAATCTTTTGACAAAACAATATGGAGAAGCCTATCGTGTTTGGAAGAATAGTATTAAAAATAATTCTAACGACGAAGGCTCTACCAGTGAAAAAGAAGGCTTAGAGTGTAAGTTGATACTATCTATATAATACCAATTCTAGATCTCTTTGTTTTAATGTAATTTGTATAACAATAGCTGAATTGAATCAAATCTGCCCTGCTTTCTTTCAGATGGAAAAGGTTATGGGCAATAGAAAGACTGGTTCTCCAGCGGTTTGTGATACCACAAAGCCAATGGAATGGATACATGACGAGGACGGCGAGCAAAGCAATGGCGATGATGACAACACGGACGAAGAATCAGCTGAAAACAGTCATAGCAGCAACAATGAGGAATATGACAGCCAAAATGATAACATGTCTGTACTCTGCTCCCCTCCTCCTAAGTCAAGCTCTTCTAGAAAACGCAGAAGAGTAGACGTCGAATATAAAGAGTTGGGAGAAGAGGTGACGAGACAACTTAATGAGTCTTATGTGTCCCTAGAGGCAAAAATAGAACGGCTTTATAGGGAAAAACTAGAAGTTCTTAAGGACGATCTTCACATTAAGCGAGAACGCGAATTTATACACAGAAAATTCGAAAACATGATGAAAGCAGTTGCAGAATTGGCCAAAGTGCAAAACTGGTCAGATGAAAAAGTGCAAGAGCAAACTGACGACGTTTACAATAAAACGTATAGTAGTTAAAGACTATCAATTTAATAATGACAGCAACTATCATAGAATACCTGTTATACATCATTTCTACTTTTGAGATAATTTATTTCTTTATTTTTTACTTTTTTTTAAGAAGGTTCCCATCTCCGTTTTTTATGAGTATCTCTTCTTTGATACGGATACGTTTGAGCTTAGCATTCTCATCTGACAATGACATTGCTGGATAGTCATCTACAGTGCCAGTCACACCTTCTCTGCTGATCCTTTCGATCTCTTCTTTTTCTCTTTTCTCCCATGAAATCTTCATCGTCATTGTCATCATGTCATCTGTCTGGTCGATCAAAAAGTTATGGAGAATGACACAAACTCTGATCCAAGAATTGACCATGTTCATGTCTTTTCGACTTCTTATCTTAATTGGGAGTCGCTTCAAAGAGCAGAATCTTGCTTTGAGGATCCCAAATGCATGCTCAATTTTTATCCTCATCATTGCTATGTATGAATTGAACGCTTTGTCCGCATCACACAATTCCTTGTTTTTTGGCTTCTTTATGACAGGGACAACGTACGTCTTGGGAATGTAACTAGCATCGGCTAAACCATACTGGTCACCAGAGAAGAAGTTATTGGGGTCGCTACCCATGGTCGATTCTTCAAACACCCTGGCATCGTCCATGCTTCCGAAGTATCCGCAAGAGAGATAACGAATCTTCTTTTGATGGTCGCATACCCCAAGAGTGTTTACACAGTATGTGCGCTTACGACCAAAGAATTCTGGCTTTTTCCACGACGGTGTATGCTGCAAGTTAAACAGACACCCATCCAAAAACCCAACAAGATCAGGAAATCCGAATGGTTTCTCATTGCTTGGGATTATCGTTGCTGTCTTCTCGAGTTCTGACGGCCAAAAAACGTGCATGTTTTCCATTGATAGCATTACCTTGAAGAAACGAACTGTGAAGTTTAAGACACTGCCCTCTAATAAGTTTAAAATAATTAGTTCAATGGATTAATTATATGTTTATATAGATTAACGGAAGTCAGTTTACTAAAAGACGCTTACCTCCAACACCAGATCTTCGTGCAAGCCTGCTATAGGATACAGCATTCCCGTCTGAGCCTAGTCTCTCCAAGACCAAAGCTAATTGAAGCTTTACATCAGTCTGCTTATGTCCTTTCGGTGACTTATATAAAGAATGGTCTTTGATTATCTCGTACAGCTTATTAAACGAGCTTTTGGACATTCTGATTTCTTCTTTGAACCCATCTGCATCTAGGTCTTCGAGGAAAGCAAGTTTTTCTTCCTTTGATTTAAGCTTTGGCAATGTATTGCCACCCTTGTGTAAGTATCTGTTGGCTTGAAGGTTCTGCTCAAGATCCTCCACAACAGCTATCTTCTCCAACTCTGCATCAACTTCCTCTTCAAGGACTTCTGAAATATTTTTCAACAGCTCATCTGCGCTTGTTGATAAAGATTGTACCAGACTTTTTTTTTCCTTCGCTACAAATTTTCTGATTTTACGCGATTTCTTTAAGGCAGCAACTGTTTGTTGCTTTGTACTGTATTTTGGCATGTTATACGGAGTGAAAGAAGTGTTACATGACTTTGTTGACAGTAAATTCTATGATTTATTAAGGAGAAAGATAAAAACAGTATCGTATTGCATATAAAAAAGTAAGGATTCAGCCAATCAGAGAGCCGTACGTTTTTCGATCAAATTTTGATCGTCGCTATTACAATTTTAGTCCAATAATATCGCGTTCTGAATTTAAAATTTGAGCGATCAACCTGGCTGAGTACCCCCATACTATACACTTATAAAGTGTAAACCAACCATTACACAGCAGAGATTTTAATTACAGAGATTTTAATAGTAACAATATTATTTTGTCGCTTTAATAAACAACACTCTTACAGTATCTGCCTTTTTCTAATAATAAGATATTAACTCAAAATCTATTCTGAATACTTCACTTATAACTTTGGTTTAGTTTTAATATATAGATCTTCTGGCACTTATGTATAAAATCATATCACATGACTTAGGTCGAGTTTGAAAAACATATCTTCAAGGAAACATGTAAAGATCACATGACGTATGTTGAGTTTTAATTGTGTAACTTCCTGGGATTTTAGTATATAGTTAGATATATCTATATATCTATCTATCTATATCTATATGTGTCACACGATTGTTGATATGACTGTGTTTCATGCGTGTAATTTGTTATCCATGCCAACCTACTGCCGCAAACTTCTTAGCTTGCTTTGAACACGTTCAAGTTCTGCTTTCAGTTCATGGATCTTTTCATCTTTCTGTCTTAATACTTCGGGATCGTTATTACACTCTTGCTCTAGTGACTCTAGTTGTTCAGTCAGTGGTTCAAGCTGGGCCTTTAGCTGATCGTCCAACTCCAGGTTGGCTTTGAGTTCCTGTCTCAGATATTCACAATAGGTTTCTGGTGTGCCTTGAGAACGCAGTGTGTCCAATTGTTGGCGAAGTTTGGTCAGATTCGAAGAGAGGGATTGATGGTTCTTTTGAAGTTCTTGCTGTCTTTTTTTCTCAAATTCAATGTCATACTCTTGATCGCGACATTCGTTGACAAGTGCATCATATTCCATTTCTAGTCGTCTGGCTTCATTTTGTTTGGATTCTAATGAATTTTGGTTCTGATTGACAGAATTGTTGATTGTACTCATGTTGAAGTAAAAGAAAAGGAAAGAGAAAAGAATAGGTAGAATGGCAAACGTCACTATTTTATTTTATTTTATTTTATTTTATATTATATTATATTATATTGTATATTTTATATTATTATATTGTATTATCTTGTAATTCATTACTCATTCGCTCATCTCAGTTGTACCTATAATGACTGGCATTAAGGACAAATGAATGCAAACAGAAGAATAAGACTTTTAAGTAGAAGCATGAAAATAAAAAAGTAATAAAAAAAAAGACGGCTGAGCCAGCAACTCTTATATATATTTATATTCATATTTATATACTTTTATATATAGTGTGTGTACAAGGCTTGGCATGTCCTATTGTTGCTTGGTATCAACTATGTTTATATTTGTTGTATGGTGAGCGTTTATTTTGGATTATTCCTGATTAGTACGACTCTACACATGTTATATTGTGAACCCCTTTATTAATATATCTCTTACTTCTTTTTCTTACATATTTTTTTTCTTCTTATTAAAGACAAGAAATATATATATACATATATACATATATACATATATATTTAATACATATAATCATAATATATAAAATATAATATGGCCCCAGCGGATCAAGCCAGCTACGAACATTATCTTGTAGCAAGGCAAGCAGTTCAAGAACACGCAGTGAATGCCCTTACACCTACTCAAGACCAAAAGACGATTCTCATCATCATTGGCGTTTACACCGCTGCAATTCTTGTATTATGGAACATGCCGATTATAAAGATCATTCTTTCACCATTCAAGGTAAGTAAAATAAAAAAGTCATTATAGTAGATATAAAAACACCGCAATTTTTTGCTATTTTGTTTAAATAATATGCATCTATCTATACATTTTATATATACATATATATATATATATATAATTTTGTTAGTTATTGACGGTTGGCCTTCATGAATTCTCGCACGCCATCGTTGGATGTCTCACCTGTGCAAAAATCGAGTCTATTGAAATTGATCCAGACGAAGGAGGAGTTACAAGAATGGTTTGTAGTGTGAAATGAATAAATGATAAAAATAATCCTAATAATTAATCAATTAATCAATTGACTCTAGCGTGGTGGGATTCCCATGTGTACCTTGCCTGCTGGTTACCTCGGCTCATCTCTAATCGGCGCAGTTTTGGTAATGTGTGGCTTTAATATCCTGGCTTCAAAAGTAGCGTCGATTATCCTTGGCGTCTGTCTGCTATTTACACTCTGGTGGGCCAAGAATTGGTTGACCAGATGTATTGGATTACTATTTATTGGCGTCATGGTGTTTCTATGGTGGTTGGCTCATGGTGAAGGTCTTAAATACTTTGTTCTGTTTGTGGGGTAAGTGCTCAATGGATCTAGCTTTCCAAATTATTATTATTATTGTGAGTGAGTGAATTAGGATGATGATAAAATCTGGGTAATTTACAATAGACCGTATTTTATCTCATTTCTTAATTAAATTAAATTAAATTACAACTATCTATATTAGCGTTATGTCATGTCTTTATTGCTTGTGGGACATCCTGGACGACCTTGTATTTCGAAAAGCGTTTGAATCAGATGCTTCCAAGTTTGCAAAACTGTGTGGATCATGCATGTCCAGCAGAGTTTGGGGAGTTTTATGGTTTATCATCAGTCTCTTGTTCTTTGTGGCTGGTATTCTTATTGGCTTGGCAGCTTTCAAAGGTAATATATATATAAAAAAGCATAATAATTGGGGGTGATATCTGACACAATACATACTTTTTTTTAAAAAAAAACACACACACACACACACACAAAACATTAGAGGATCAAGAAACCCAAAAACAGCAAGCTCAAGGATTTGGCTGGTAAAATCTGTTATTGTACATAAACATATAAACACATCTTGTAGCGTACAAAAGGTGTAAAATAAATAAATAAATAAATATAAAAAAAATCCAAATAATTAAAAGTTTTGGATTTCATATCTACAAAAAAAACGTAATTTTGTAAATATCTGTGATATATATGTAAACCCAGAATAGCATACATATATTTTTGACACACATCAAAAAAAAAAAGACAGGATCAAGAAAAGTGACTTTATTTTTTTATTATTAAAAAATATTAATTAAGAAAAGGCTATACAAAAATATATATATAAATATAATATATATATATATAATTAGATATAATTAGATATATACAAAATCTTATTGTTACTATTACTAAATAATAATAAGAATAATAATGAGCAAACGATCGTTTATTATTGAGCATATGGAGGACGATGTACACGAGTGGTGTGTACTTGAGTACAAGCACATGTTGATGAACATTGGTCCTGATCACCTCTACTTCTCTGGACTTACTCAGAAATGCCTTGAAAGTGGAATGCCCGAGGAATTGAAGAAGGCTAATTGTCACCAGGAAGATGTTCTCCACTTGCCTAATGTGGATCCAAGTGAGATCTGCCTGTTGGATCCAGCTGGTACTTCTGAATTGGCACCAGAAGATGGTGACAAGTTTAAATACTTTTTGTTTGGTGGTATTTTGGGTGACGATCCTCCAAAAGGTAAATCAATAACACATTTATTGTTATGATTCTTTATCATTATTTAATTTGATAACAATAACAATAACAATTGTATATATATATATATATTCTTTATCTATGACAATAAAGATCGTACAAAGGAACTTCGTAAGCTTGGATTTGCTGGCAGAAGACTGGGCCCTGTGCAGATGACAACAGATACAGCTGTCAATGTGACTAAGCGTGTGGTTGAAGATCGCAGTAAGTCTCAAATTTCCTTTTATGTGATTGTGTTATTAATTAGATCCGTGTGTACATTTGTATGTACCTTTGTCTTTTTCCAAAAGTTCCTTTGGATAAGATTCCATATATTGATTACCCAGAGTTGAAGTTCTCTCGTCACGAGTCAGTGACAATGCCTTTCCGTTACATCGCAAACCTAAAGACAATTGTTACAAAGGATGGTAAAGAAAAGGTTATCAAGAAGCCATTGATGCCTCCTGGTATGTTGGAATTGATCAAGAAAGACAATGATGAGTCTCTTGAATTTTAAAGAAAATAAAATAAACTATATAATATAATATATACAAAAGAAGGAAGATATTGCTGTTTGAATACATAAATACAAGTATATAAGCTTAAAATTACAAATGAAAGTTATGATTAGAAATTACAGTTGAGAATTACAATTTCGTGACTCTTGTAATTCGTCCTTTTTTTTTCTTTTCTTTTTCTTTACAGTGTTTTCATCAAAAATAAAATAAAATAAAATTAAGGAAGAATTATGGGTCTGGAATTTTGTTACTTTGGTCAAATTATACATAATAATTTCTATATTGATTGAGATTAGTCTAAAAATTCAGTAAGATGATTGGTGGATTCATTTTAAACTAAACATAATTTGTGTGTAAGCTATTTTTATCATGTCATGTGAAGGGCAGGCAGTATAGAGTAAATTTTATTTATTAGAATTCTTTTGATACACCTTTAGACAAAAACCATGTCGCCAAAAACAAACAAACAAGCAAATAGTATCGTATGTTTTAGGAAAAGAGTGTCGCATTTTTTCTTAAAAAAGAAAAGAAAAAAAAGGTGCGAAACTTTAACGTTTTGTTTTTGCGACATCATTTTGGAAGAATCTGTATATAAGCAAAGAATGGCGTGCTTGCTAAAGAAGCACTTTATGCAGGTATTAATTACTTGTTTTAGTATATACACTACAGGAAATATAAAGAAACTAATAAATATATACAGACACATACAAAGAGGAAGGGAGAAAGTATTTTATATTTTAAATATATTAGATAAAATATACTGTAGAATGAATAGAGAGAGAGAGAGAGGGGCTGATCATGTGAATTGATTGATTGAATTGATGAATTGATGAATTTTTTCAATCTTTATTTGAATTTCTGGAATTAGCAAGAATCTTATAGATGGATAGAATGTGTATGTGTGTGAGTGTGGATGAGTGAAATAATAGATTAATATAAATAAAGTGCACAGTATGGATTCTGTCTGAGCTGCGGTTATTTTTGCTTCCCTTCCCATCTGATTATAGATGTCTGCCTTTGTTTCCGTGTAACTAGCCAATAAATCTACTCCTCCCTTCCCCTCTATTTCTTTCTTTCGTTCGTTCTTTCTTGGCCGTCACCCCCCAAATATGGTGATTTTTTGGGATTAATTGCCGCGTTCGATTCGTCATCACTGAGTCAGTCCACTAGTTGCTATTTCTAGAGACTTTGCATCATAACTTATCCTTACCAATCAAACCGCACAGACAAATCAGAATTCACTAGAAGAACCACTAAAGGGAGATTGTGTGATTTTCCTTCTATTATTATCATTTCTTACTTATTCTTATTAATGCCAGTGTCAATTTTATACTATCTGTATATATTTTATACAATAAATCCTGTTGGACTATTATTTAGTCACCCAGATTGCGTGCAAATTAAATTAAAATTTCAATTTCAATTCTGTATAAATACCATGGCTATCTTGCAAAATCATCCTATTCTTTAAACCCCTTTATCACACTTCTTTACACCCATCTTTTTTTTTTAATTCTATTCAAAATGATTTATCACTGCTAAATCTCCCTCCCTTCTTCACCTAAGAAAAGAGAATCAACAAACAAGCAAAAGAAGTCTATTTCTTTTACTATACATTTTTCTTTAAAAGAACATATATCTATCGTAAACCAAAAAACCCCCTATTATACATACAGAAAACTTGCTCAATAGCTTTTCTGCCATTTATTACTTTCTTGCTTTTTTTTTTAAAAAAAACATGATATCATCAAATACATCTCGACGTAGCAGCCCCTTGGCGTTCGATCCTATTATCTATATTTCCCCAGATTTTATCTCCCACGAATTCAAATATCAATGAACACAACTCAAGATTATTGGTCCCAACTCTCTGCCTCCATGCTCGACAAGACCATCGGCGGGGAGTATCAACTCATCGAAGTACTCGGCAACGGTGCCTTTGGCTGCCTCTTCCTAGGCCAGGCCCAGAGCGACAATAACTACGTAGCCGTCAAGGTCCTCACCAAATCCGGCCTTGACCACGAACAACTCAAACTCCAACAACTCGAAATTGACATCCAGTCCGCCCTCAATCACCCTTATCTTCTGCGCCTCCATCGCGTCATCCAAGACCACCAGTACATTTTCATGGTCATGGAACTCTGCGACCAAGGCGACCTGTTTGACTATGTCATCCGCGACCAACAAGACTCTGACTTTAGAGACGAAAGCCTGGTCAAAAAGGCGTTCCTCCAGATCCTCGAGGGCGTCGAGTACATGCACTCCCAGAACATCTATCACCGTGACATCAAGCTCGAGAACATTTTGCTAAAATACGATGACAATGACGTCGAGTTTGTCTGCAAGGTAGCCGATTTTGGTCTGGCTACCCGTGAGCGCTACTCCTTAGAATACGGCTGTGGCTCGAGTACCTATCTTGCCCCTGAGCATTTTGACGATGACTTCCCTCTGGACGGCGGTGAATTGATGCCCTATGATGCGGCTGCGTCTGATTGCTGGAGTCTGGGTATTCTCTTGTTGGCTTTTCTATTTGGCCGGAACCCTTGGGAAGAAGCGTCTGTTTCGGATCCTTCTTTTGCCGAATTTAAGCGTGATCCTTCAATGCTCCGACAACTATTCCCAGAACTCTCTAGCTCTTGTTTCGCATTCATCAAGTCTGCCTTGACAACTGACCCCACCCAACGCCCATCTGTGTCTGAATTGAAGAAACTGTTTCTGGCCACCCCTGCCCTCTATGCCGCCGCCGAAGAAGAACAAGAAGAACAAGACACATTCAACCTCAAGAACCCAGTCGACATTCCCCAATTGGTCAAGCCTGTCGACGACCGCTCCAACAGGGACTCTGCCTTCTTCAGCGCCTCTCTCGGAATGGGCTCCATGTCCTGGTCCGATATGGTTGAGGAAGACGAACGATATGAAAAAGATCATCATAACCACTCTTCTACCTCTTCTTCAGAGCCTGCCTCTCCACACCATGAAGAATATGATGATACCATGTTTGTACACAATCAAGAAAAAGAGTCTTGGTGGCTCTAATTTGTTATTTTTTTATATATATATAAATCTTTACCCTCCCTTCTCCTTTCAATATATAAATTCATTCATTCATTCACTAACTCATTCATTCATTTATTTAATTAATTAATTCATTTGAAATAAATCTTGTAATAATATATAGCAATAAGAGCATAATAAAAAAAAGATCATTCTGTTTTGTACATCAATCTATACAAAGTGTGTATGCTTGTCTTTATGTCCCATTTGTTTGTTTTTGTTTACAAATGATTAAAACTGCTGACTAGCTCAATAGAATGTCAGCATAGGTAGACCAATAGGTAGACAGGTCTTTTGATACCTTTTTGACTTTTTGATTAAAAGGAAAAAAGGAAAACCTTGTACTTTTGTACTCATAATATTATTATTTTTAACCTTTTACCCCACACACTCACACGCTACTTTTACCTCTTTCTATCTCATTTCATTTGTCCATTCTCTCTCTCTCATATATATATACATGGCGTGTGTATTTTGCTTTGAATAATATAAAATATCCCACAGAGAATATCAATATATAATTCAATTCAATTATAATTAATTTTTATTAAAATAAATATTTTGCGTCATCATCATCATCATCATCATCATTAGGATGGGGAGGATGGGGTTTTAATGCCAAGCCAAAGGAACAAATTGAGACCAAGTTATTTCCCTATCTTTCTCTCTCCCTCTCCCTCTTGTGTGTTTTTATTTATTGCCCTCCTAATCACGTGAATGGGCAGTAATCATTATGAGATGATTTAAAGAAATAAAAAAATAAAAAAATAAAAAAAATCAAATCGGTTGCTACTTTGAATCGCATCGCCGATGGTGCAGGTGAACAAGCCACCACCAATTAACTACCCCGCTTACACAGACCAGAATGACAAGCTAGAAAACAAAAATGATTAGCTTTTTTTGTTGGTCAGCCTTTGTGCATTTGTAGTCAGCTTTATTACTCTCCATCATGGCTGCATTCCCTCCCCTTAAAAACGACCTCATCATTAGAGCATCCAGAGGTACAAAGAGAAAAAAAATAACAACATAGTATAATACAAACCCTCTTCAAACTTTAAATATTATTACTGCAACCACGACCATAAAGGAGAAGAAAATAATTAAAAAAAAAAGGAACACGATATTGTTCTTGAATAGATAGTATAAAATGTGTATGTGTGTGTGTATATAATCATATATTTAACAAGCCCATCGTCTATCTATATACCATTGCTATTATAATTATTGTCTTTATTAGGTGAGAAGGTTGAGCGTGTACCTGTATGGATTATGAGACAAGCTGGCCGTTACTTGCCAGGTAAAAACAAAATTAATATATCTATCTATGTATAGTAAGAGAAAAAAAAACAAAAACAAAGGAAACTAAGAATATATTTACATATCTACATATCATTATGTAATCTCTATATAGAGTTTCATGAGGTTCGCAAGCACCACAGCTTCTTTGAGATTTGCCGTACTCCTGAATTGGCCTGCGAGCTTACTCTGCAGCCTATTGACCGTTACGGCTCTCTCTTGGATGCCTCCATCATCTTCTCCGACATCCTCGTCATTCCTCAGGCCATGGGACTTGAGGTCCAGATGGTTCCTGGTCGTGGACCTGTCTTCCCTGCACCTCTCGTAACCCCGGCCGATTTTGAGAGAATGCATAAACACGTCGACGTCGACAAGGAGCTTGATTACGTCTACAAGGCCATCACTTTGACCCGTCACAAGCTCGAAGGCCGTGTTCCCCTTTATGGCTTTACCGGTGCCCCCTGGACACTGATGGCCTATATGATTGAGGGTGGTGGCAGCAAGACTCTCTCAAAGGCCAAGGCCTGGTTGTGGCAACACCCAGCCGAGACCCACGATCTTTTGCAGCGTATTACTGACGTAGCCGTTACATTCTTGGTTGGACAAGTCAGAGCTGGTGCACAAGTAAGTTGACTTTTGAATTATTATTACTATTACTGTTATCATTATCATTATCATTATCATTATCATTATCATTATCATTATCATTATCATTATCATTATCATTAGATTATTGTTGAGGCAATTGAAACTAGACAGCATTTCTTTATTTCTTTTAACGTACCATTCATTCATATAATACATACATTCTTATACTTTATATACTTCTTTGAAATACTATATATGTATATTTACATATGTAATAATAAAAATAATAATAAAAATAAATTTAAAAATAAATTTAAAAATAAATAAATAAATGAAATGTATGTGTATATAATAAAATATAGATGCTTCAAGTGTTTGATTCATGGGCTGGTGAATTGGGTCCCTATGACTTTAAGAAGTACTCGCTGCCTTACATCAAGCAGATCTCTACTCGTGTCAAAAAGGAACTTAAGGAGGCCGGTCTTGACGTGGTCCCGATGACGATCTTTGCCAAGGGTGCCTGGTATGCGCTTGAGGACTTGACTAACATTGAGTACGATGTTGTGTCACTGGATTGGACAATTGATCCCGAATATGCGCGCAAGGTCACCAAGGACCAGGTTGTGCTCCAAGGAAACATGGACCCCAACACTCTTTATGCTCCCTTTGACACCATCCGTGAGACTGCTACTCGTATGGTAAAGGCATTCGGTAAGGACAGTAAGCACATCGGCAACCTTGGCCATGGAATTCTCCCTACTGTTGATCCTGAAGCGCTTCGAGTCTATCTCGAGACCATCCAGACAGTTTCTGCTGAGATTAGAAAGTAACAAAATCAAATCAAATCAAATAAAAATAAAATCCATTATTTGTTTGTTTTTTATCTGATTATCTGATTATATTAATTTATTAATCATTATACGTGTATGTATATCTTGTATATTTCATCATTGTAATATAAATAAATAAATAAATAAATAAATAAATAAGGAAGCAAGAAGTAGTTGCTTGTATTAAAGAGAATTATATTATATTATAGTATAGTATAGTATTGTAGTAAAATTAAATTAAATTAAATTAAATTAAATTAAATTATATTATTAAATCAGGTATTTAGAATCCACTGTACTTGCGTAAACGTTCGCCTCGTAATTTTACAACAAACAGAATTGCCATCGATAGCCATGTTAGACCAGCCAGCAAGACTGACATCCACCCTGCACCCAGTGCAGTAACCATAGGATTAGCCACGAGCGTCAAGGCACACGCGATAATCATTCTCATCAAATTAGCCGCTGCGGTAACCGATGCACCCTGACCTGGCATCGCATCCACCAAATAGGCTGCGGTCGAGGTTGAAATCTGGTTCATTCCAAACGTGTGGATGCCAAACGCAACGATACTTGCCCACACTGAGGTTTTGTAGGTGATCGTCCATCCGAACAAGAGCAATCCAAACGGAACGATAATCAATCCAGCTGGCCACAGGTTGGCTGTTAGTCGATCCTCAACCAAGGGCTGTCCACCACGTTTGCTTCTAGCCCGCATCAGAAGACGATCCGACAGCATACCACCAACAATAGATCCCATCATATTACCAACTCCACCACCCAAATAACTTAGACCTATACAGTTTAAAGCTGTTTGTCAGATTTTACAAATCATTACCAAGCTTTTCAAAGTTTACCTGTTTGCCATGAATTGAATCCATAATTCTTTTCATATAGATCAGGAATTACAGTCTCAATTGAGAACATGCACCCAAACGCAATACCACCAACAAATGATATCATGAACACAAATGGATGACGAAGAAGCAAGAATGGTGCAATGATGTTCATCTTTTGTCTTGGTTTGGGTGATTGGTGTGCAGGATCGGTATTATTGTCATAGTTTAGCGATCTGTCCTTGTCTCCCTTTTCGAGCTCCCCAGCTGCTATGGTGGGCTGGTGCTCAAAGCTTTCTCTATGCTCTGTGTCTTCCTTTGAGGATGAAGGTACATCCACTGCTTCTTTAGGGTTATCGTATAGGCTATTGACGCGATAGGTCTCGGGTAAAATAAAGAACAAGGTAAGTGCGATAAAGAGGCTATAGGCAAAGCAAAACCAAAAAGTAGCTCTCCAGGTCTTGTCACTCAAAATCAGGAATCCACCAATGATAGGGCCTGTGTAACATATGTAGAATGATAAGTTAAACACCAGAAAAACTAACACACATCCAAAAAAAAAATAGAAAGAACTTCTTTATCAAATCAAAGTGTATAAATGCATTACCTAAAAGTGGACCAAAGAATGTACCAAAGAAGTACTTTCCAAAAGCTGCACCACGCTTCTCGATTGGGTAACAGTCCTAAAAATATTATACAATATATTTTTAATAAAAAAAAATTCTGTTGCAAAAATAAGTATTATTTGATCCCTTACTGCAATGACACCTAAAGTTTTTTTTTTTTTAAAAAAAAATTATTTATATTAGTATTTGTACACCCAAAAAAAAAAGCTAAACATTTTTTTTCCATTACCTGCACCAACTGAATTACCACAGGATGAGCCGATTGATTGTATGCATCGAAGGACAACCAATGGCCAGATGTTCTGTACAAATGTGGCTCCAAGAGAAGCAACCGAGAAGATGATCATGGAAACCAAAAACAATAAACGACGGATTTGGTAATGGTCTGATATCGATGCCCACACTACAGGCGCAAGGCCCATGAATAAAACAAACAAGGCTGCAGTGAGGGTTGTTGCAATTGAAGGTGCCTTGAGTTCTTCAGTAATTAGAGGAAGGCCTGTATAATAACAATAAACAAAAATATACAATAAAATACAATACAATACAAAAAAAATTTTTTTAGTAAGAGATCAAACCAAGATCCAATGTAATATTTAGCTTTGATGGAGCCATTTTGTCTCGTATTTCTACTATGTATATTACCTGGGAAATAGATTGTACTGGAGAATCCAGATGTACTTGCACAGATAGCTAGACAGAATATAATGATTCCTTTGGTCCTCGGACTTAACAGACGAGGATCTCCTTCAACTGGAGGTTTCCATAATAGACGAGATTGAAGAGCATGTTTTATAGAGCCCATTGAGGTATTTTGTTTTATGTTAAAAGCAAAAGAAAGAAAGAAGAATAGAAAGAACAAGATATATATATAGATATAGATATAGGTGTAGGTAGATGTCTATATATGTATATATTTTACTGATTGAGTAGTTCAATAGTGATAAAGTAGTAACAAAATCTGTCACAATACAATATACATATACAGAGTATAAAAATATAATGCAAGATCAAATGTCTTTAGAGTTTAAAAAGCAGAACAATTCCCAAAAACAGGTAGATAAAAAAAAAATGTACATATAGATATTTTATATATATATATATTTATAAAAGTGCCGGTATGTCCCCGACTCCGCCGTTACCGTCTTTGCGTTTGTTACTGTGAGAATCCAATAAATAAGAAATTCAGTGCAAATGGTCCAGTATCCTTCAATTGTTATCCTAATTAATATCTAACGTGGTATTTATTCTGTAGGCAAGAATAGAGCTACTTTGATTACAAGATGTCAATTTTGTGTTTGATTGGATCTGAATCGAAACAATGCAGTAAAATTCACGCATAGTAAATTATTAGTAAGAGATCAAGAATTACCTGTAGGCAATCATTGCTGTCACTTGATTTGATAAATTAGGTCCAGAATGAGACTCTTCTTAATTATAAGTATAAATATATATACACATAATAAAAGATCTGATAAGTCTATTTCTATACCGGAAATGGATATCAGTTATAGACATATACTTATAACAGTAGTATTTTTTTTTAATTTTTGACATTGATTACAGTACACTTTTGTTAAAGCATTTTTATGTCTTGATCTTATTGACTTGATAGACTTTGGCCCCAATTACAATGCTTATACAAAAAAAAAGACATTTTAACAAGATACCTTTTAATTATATATGCTTGTAGGTCTTGTGGCCACTAATAACAATCTGGGGTTTCTAGAATACTACCTGTAATACTCAAAGTGACTCACACAAGCACACACAAGAGAAAAAAGAATATGAAATATTGTTACACCATGATTTGATTCAGCTTCTGGAAATAGAGAAAGGATGAGGGATAAGGGTACAATATTGCACCATTTTTTTGATTTGTTAATGAACAGAAAAAAAAATATTCTACAGCAAATAGTCTTACATTGTTTTTTTATATATATGTAGATTACTAATATGATTAATATTACTAATATAATTATTTTCTCATAATATGAAATCATACATTTTGGACCCAAATGTACCTTGTGTATTTCTATTTTTTATTGAATATTCGTACATCTTGCATTGAATACATACATATATTGGTATTATTTTGTAGACAATTCAACGGTGTTCTTTATTATTAGAAATATTACTTACTATTTAAATATCCTCTTGAATGACAAATACAAAATAAATGATCAAATTCTACCTTTTGTTTTCTTCTTATCATCTTGGCAGATTCAAATACAATTGCAAAATAAACTTTTGTAAATTTGATGTGGACAGATGAAGAGTTCAACAAAAGATCAATATAAGCTCAGTCAATTTTGGTGGCTATAATGCTACCCTTACATTGGCCCTCCTTTATAGATTTGTTCTTTTAATACTACAAGGTAATAGAAAACGAAGCGAAACAGAGCTACAATAAAACTGAATGTAAAGTTTTCAAGTGTTTATCAGAAATAATAATATATTCAATCAAACTGAATTACATTGGATTGAAAGTCAAGTTAATCAACGTCTTTGGACTACCAACGTAGTTCTTCTTGATAAATTTTCTACTAGCAATCCAGATAAGGAACATAAACCTAAGAGGCTGCATATAGAATAGTACAAAGGTGAATAATACGAGGATATGTTTGATCGCAGCAATCCCGATGTGAGGTACACTATAAGCTGATTGGTGACTCGAACTAAACTGAGTCATTGCGTATGATGGTTCAATTAGATCCACGTAAGTAGTAAAGAATTCACCCACATAGACACAGAGAATTTATATAACCTTTACTTGTTTGTTATTCTAGCCTCAAGAAAAAAGCAGGACGATCTTAAATCTAATGGCAAATTATCAAAGAACTCATTTTGTAATACAAAGTGCACTCGAGGATATTTTAACTATTTTCACCTTTCTCAAAAACTCACTAACAATGAGAATACTCTACAGCACCATTGGTTCCTATTATATTGTAGGAATTTTAATGAAAAATCAAGGTGTTTGCTATAACTATGGCAACCAAATGAGCAGACAACTTAATGTCCTTCATCCAACACTAGAGAAATATATTGTTGGGCTTTTGAGACAATAAAAGGATGTAATTGCATACCACTTGGAACATTTAGCTTGATTTTTCTCTTTCATAATACCCTTAAACCGTTCAATAGAATTGATCTCAGGCGAGCGAAGATAAAAGTTTGACAGCTGGATAGCCCTCTTTTTTTTTACATTTAATCGTTAAGCCAAATATTTGAGAAACGTAGAATAAAGTATTACCCACAATAATGAAACACTCTTTTATACCATGGAACTCATCCATAACTGACATAATATCATTAAATGATTGAAGGTCGCGTCTGCATATAGCCCTTTGATAACAGAAAATATATACTGAGACGTCTTTAATTATAAGACCTCTATTACCTTTGTTCGTTTTCATGTTTCTGGATTTTCTCAATCCCAAATTAAATGCACCAATAGCAGATACTGCACTGATAGCCATATGTGAAGTGGCTTTTCTGAAATGAGTTGTGATAATTGATTGTAAACCTTTGTGCAAACCAGCCACGACTACGGCACATAGAAATTGAATTCTGATTCATCAGCAAATATATGATTTTTGAGGTACCTTGCACAGTTTCTCATCTACCTATCCACTCGTTCGACAAAAGCCAAAGCAGTTTTTGCTTTACTTTATTAAATAATTTTTTTTTGCCTGTGGCTTTGGTGAATACAATGTTTTCTTTCTTTCTTTAGGACGCTTTATCTAACATACAACTTATTTTTATCTTTATTTTCTCGATTGTAACTATCAAACCCACACTCTTGGGCTCATTAGTCCAATCGATCGCTTTTATTCTATGCTAAGCTTATCAACGAATAGAATATATGAATTCAATTTTACTTGACAAATTCATAAGAATAAAGATACTTTATATAGTTCTTTAGTATTAAATACTCTATTTGTATAGCTTAATAGCTATACTACCAAGCAGCTGCGCACTCTAACATACATAGATATACGTGTATTAGATATTAGATATTAGATATTACATTTTATTATTATTAAACTACAAGGTGATTTCTACCCTTAATAAACTATAAAAAGCTATTTGCGTAATCTGGGATATATCCAAACACTGTTGCAGTGAGGAGACATCCTAAACTAAGAAGTGAAATGAAAATAAACCAAGTGCTTCTAACTAAAAAGTTGTATCCAATAGTTCCATTTTGAATAGCTATTCCACAGTGAAATACGACTGGAGCAACCATCCAACCTATAACAAGCCATTTTGTTATGCTCTGGCTTTTGTAATCGGCCCAGATGCAAACTAAAGGAGAAACGCCCATGCCCAGTATTGAGAAGATTCCATGGACTCGGTTGCCGTATATATCAATCAAAAGTCTACGTCTGTCAAGTTCGAATTCTCTTCTCTCTAGAATGAACAGCACACAGCTTGTTGGATATACCCAGCCGGAATACACAATACCTGTTGGCGTCAAAGGTTTTGGTGCATACTTGTGGGGGAAAAGAATTCTTTTGACATCCTTTATGACATATATACCACGATCTTCGATAAGCTTTTGCCAAGAGAGGTCTTGATCATAGTATACCGTAAAAGGCATCGATTGTTTGTGCAGGGCGAAGAGAGAGGTAACTTGGAAAACAGACATTGCAGTGTAGATGATCATAACAACTTTGGCCCATTTATCTCCGTCTATCTCCATACATTCGACTACCGTAAAGAATATCTGTCCTAGCGTAACGCACACTTCAAAGTAGGAGGTGTCGTCAACATTGTAAGATGCCGTCAGTTGATTCAGCATACTGATAGATAAATATCGGACATAACTAGGCCGTACGGTGGTTTGGTATTCGGCTAGTGATCCTGGCCCACTGACAGATAGGTCTTTGGTGACCTTTACGAAATGTTCTTTCAATGGCTTGTACGTGCTTGAGTCAAACCCCAGCAGTATATTTTCGTTGAGAATGCATTGCTTTACTTTTTTGGCGTCCTTGGGATCCATTGTGTGCAGTAAGGCTGCCAGATATGGTGCATTGTCGTACTCCTTGGTATAGACGCCATTTGCTCTCATGCTTTCCACTAGCCAGTCTCTTAAACTACTCGTTCTTTCAAGAAAACTTTCTACATTGCTGGTTTGATGTGTGGCGTTGAACTCTTTTTGATTATTTGATTTGAACGTTTCCGAAAATAGTGAGGACCCTGGATTGACGTTGATATTTTCTCCACCCTTTGCATAACTATTGCGAGTTTCTTCGTCATACTTTTTCAGCATTTGTTTAAATTTGGAAATCCCAAGAATATTGTCCCCGTAAATAGCAAAGTAAATCGACTGTGCAGCGAACCCGATTCCCATTACTGGGAATGCAAAACATCCAAGGCGCCGGGATTCTGTAGAATAGGGACCTATTCCTGTCTCGGGTCTAACGGTCAAAACGTGGGCCATATAGCCGAGTACGATGGTCTTTAGAATCTCAAGGGCGGGTGGTATGGCAAATGGATCAGCTTCCTCTTGCTCTACAGGAGGAGCACGGCATCTGTGTACGAATTCTACCAGGAGAATACATAATATGAGAAGATTATTTCTTAGAAACATCTTTATAGAATATAAAAATGAATGCTAGTAATAATAATAATAGTAATAGAAGTAATAAAAGTAATAAAAAGTGGTGAATAAAGAAATCTTGTCTTGTGGCTCTTTTTGTAGAAGAATTTTTTTTTTAAAAAAATTATTACAACTATCACTCAATGTTACAAATGGTTCCACTATACACAAATTATATTCAGGTGGGCTTAAGTTGGACACAAGGTCTGAGAAGGTAAATGATGTGTATAATAACCCAAGACGAACACTACTATTCTTTATACAAGTACGACTGCAATTATTAAGAGCGATACTAGTGTGGGTCTAAAATATACTATCAAATTTGCTTCATCATATTCAAACAATCTTATTGTTAATTTGGGTTTGTTAAAAAAATGCAAAGCTCTAACAATATTTGCTGATCTAGAGATTTTCAATAAGCCAAAAATGGATTTTTTTTTTGTTGTACTTGAGTGTACAAAGAATAATTTATATATCTATCTATATCTGAGCCTCCAATGCATTGCCACACTTTAAAATTCAAAAATTTTGAGCTACAAACGAGCCACAGATCAAAGAACTTGTCATTGGGTCAAGATCCTGTGAGGCTCAGCACATATATAATACAACAGCGACAATAATTCAAAAGAAAAGAAGGTTGACTTGGACTTCGGTTGGGGAACAAATACTAATCTTATAATTGAGATTGGTTTTCAGGGTTCTATATTCGATAGAATGTCTGTAATAACTTTTTAATATATAGAATTCTCAGGGCTTTGAAGAAAGTATCATAATTTGGAGAATGAGTCAAGCGGGATATTTAATGTAAGTCCAATCTTTGGTAATTTCAATCCAATTTTTATATTTATTCTTCTCTTGAAAATAAATCCCTTTACACAAATAAGCTCATGTCAATAAAAATAATGGCTTCTTCTCATGTGAAATTATTGATCTCAGACTTTAGGTATCTTGAAAGAAAATAAAGAGAGAAAGAGAGAGAGAATAAACGCCTTGGGGAATATTTAAGGTATTATTCGTGAATCAGAAGGAAAACAAATTGTTCAGTGCCTCGATATTTAGGTCTTGAACACAAATCTCCCAAAGAAGAGTAATTTTATGGACAAGATGGAAATATCTGGTGTCACGTATGTTTTTTGGTATAACATATACTCTTTTTTTGGGGGGAGTAGATAGATCATCTTTCAGATTGCCAATAAAATTACCGCCATTTTTTTTTACTACAACATCAACGCATAAACTTTTTTTTGACATTTAACGAGCAACACCAACAACACCGATGACCTTGTCATAGTCAGTGAGTTTTTTTTTCCAAGAAGTACGATTCTGATTTAACCGAGTTCAATTCTATTGGTGTAAATAGTGGTTTTGAGACAACTATCATGTGGATCAGTCGTGGCTAGATTTTTTTCCATTGCTGTATTAAAATGGGCACTAAAGTTGTCACCCACACTTTTTGAGAAGTTTATCATTTTGAAACATACTCCACCCTTTAGTATAGCAGTATATTTAACACTATTCTTCTTGCTTGAAGACAATTCTCTTCAACTGCAGCTGTTTATGAAGCTTCTGAGGCATATGGTGCCACACATAATATTGTGTTTATCACTAGGTCTTCATCAAGCACTCGCATAAAGATGCTATGTAAGCATGGAGGGGAATATAGAGACAGCTATACGGCCGCAACGATTGCTTCGGACGCCGCTGTGAATAAAGATAATCCTCTTCCCGGATGGGAAAGAAAGCGAGTCAAGTATATAAAGAAGCATGGCTGTCAATGCTTCGTGTATTTCTCTAAGAAGAAAGACGGAAAAGTAGCTATGCACTCATGCAAAGCACGGCATAACCACACAATTGAAGAGGATCGTAGAGCATACGCAATGCACCGAAAAACTTTCGCCTGATGCTATGGCTCTTGTAAATAAACATATAGAAGTTCATTATAATGTGTCAGCCTTGTTCAACTATTTAAAGAAATGTGAATACACCAATGTCATCCGCCAAGGCATTGAAAACATCAATCAGCATTTCAGAAAATCTTATAAAGCAAAGGAAATGTTTGGCTTCATTACCACCTTGAATGACCTGGATTTCTATGTCAGATACACTGTTGATAACACCGATGACAAGAGAATCAACATGGTGCTCTTCATCCACAAGAATGCAATTGATGAAGGACAAAATATATTTGAGACATATAATAGACGCAAAATATAAGACAAAAAGGTTGTCAAGACTCGGCTCTACTGTCCTTTTTTTTGTAACATTCAAGCGTCAAGATGGACTAACCAGATTACACTGATAAAAATATATATTAAAGCAGCATTTGATGCTACTAAGGGAGCGTTTTCTGCCTATGGTGCATTAATTCAAAGTTTGACACAATCAATAAGACAATGACGATTCCGAGCCACCTAAAAAAATTGAATAGTGTAAAAAGATATTTGAAGAAGCAATAGAACAAGCTGAACATTATGAATCAATACAAAATATATTTAGACAAGTATCGCATCAATCGTGCTAAGGTAAGATTCTTTCAGCATCATAATCTAATAGATAAGTTTGATTCAAGTTGATTCTTGTAAAAAGAGAAGCTACAAACACGACAGTGGTTGAAAACTACGACATCCACGGTAACCTAGGTTCTTTAACAGCATGTAAAATAATAAACGAAGCAAGTCAAAATATTGATGGTCCTCAAGAATATGATATTTCCAGTGTAAACTCACAAGATAGAACTCATTTAGCAAGCTGTCATCCCCCAAGAAAAGTACTATACAAGTACAAGCGCAATGAGAAGAAAATAAAACAGATAAATCCTCAAAACAGGTAAAATATAATATAGTAATATACAATTACCTATTTATTAACAATCCCTTATGCTTCTTTCACCATAGTGGTTTATATCCGGTGTTGATGCTATCGCGGAACTGTAACAGTACAGGATAAGGTCGGCCGAGCTGGCCAAAGTCAGCGTCATCCACCTGTCCGATAATAGCTTCCAGTAAGTAATTGTTAATACATACATTTATTTATATGAAAACTAAAAAAAAGAGAGAGAGACATATATTACTGGACCATGTGTATTATTTTAGCAGCGATTACAATAATTCCGCTACAAAAGATCTAGGTTCAAAAGTACACAACAATATATTCAAATTGTTATTGACGAAGACTTGAGATAATCTGGATCCAATGGTATTCAAGTGGTGCAGTACGCTATCAAATGTAAGTTTATTAAATCATATATTTTCGAGTATAAATTGACTTGTTTCTACTAGTATAACATGGCATTAATAGCGAAACAGATTTATGGATAGTCACGCAGCCAGAGACTATTAAAATCGTGTATGAAGCAGCTACAACCAATAATAGGAGCAACATCATTATAACAGGTATGCTTCACACCATGTACGTTCATATTATATTTATTTTTTCAATTCACTAACGTTATTACTTGTAGCACTCCTAAACTCTTCATGCCTCCTGATGATTCCCCAGTTGTTGAGGATATCCATTTGCACGGGATGATATCAAATTTGGTGAAGCGGATTTTCGATACATAGGAGCTATCCAAGCATTAATGGTGAGTATCACATAAACAATTGATGTTTTCTATACAAATTCAATATTAATGACACTATACCATTATTGTAGGGCGATTGGACCATTAGCAAGGCAGAGGAAATAATCAGTCAAATTCAAACCAGATTATGTAATATTCGTAAAGATTAGATCCACACGCCTGGATGTATGCGTTGGTGAGTTCAAACCTGCAAAGTATTCGTCTAGCTTCCTCGTTTCCGATTCCGTCAAAATTGGTCAGCAAATGAATGAAATGTTAAACAGACTCGTCATTGAAAAAGTGCATATACCTGCTGTTGTTGGGATACTCATTGGTGTTAGCTCTATAATATTTAGTATATTATTGGGTTAATTGTACTAATATTTTCTGGAAAGATAATCTGTGTAAAATATTCAAAATATATTTGTTCACAAAAGATTTCTAGCGTATGGTTCTGGTTTACACCTTTTCTTTGTGAACGATGCCTGTCGAAATATGTTCAATCCCGACAATCTTTCAGAAGCTCAATTATTTGAAGGTAAATCACTGCTTTCTCATTCTCTCAGGCATCCCCAGAATGTTTGAAATGGGTAAATATCCGTCTTGGATATTTCAGTAAAAACTCGCAGGACATGATTGGTACAAACTGAATTACTTCTGAAGCATGTAGCAAACTAATATAGCTATAATACGGTATTAGTCTAACCTTTATATATTTTAGAATATTAACAGCCGCACGAATTATAGAAAATCATGAGCTTAAACAGACCAAATAGAAAAGAAAAACGGATGACATTGTGCCGCAGCCATGGATACATAGTAGGAATCTGCACCTATTACAGCCACACACAATAATGTCAAATAAAATAAAATTATATAAAGTTTGAAAATACACATGGTCATTATTCAAAAAGTAATTACTCTATGTATAATATAGCCAGCAGTTGTAGATTATATATGAACATAGGTTGAGATGTTTATTTGAAAGAAATAAAAAAAAAGTAGATTGCTAGTAATCTGTGGGATCTTCATGGGCATCAATTACAGCTTGCCATCTTCTCTGCATGCTCTCAACCAAGTGTCCCACAGACTCCGAATGCAATTCAACTCATTTTTCTTACAAAACTACCTCCAAATTGTCTAAAGAGTTGATTGAGACTCTTCTCTTATCAATTTGCCTTTCAAGAGTAACCCGTACATTCTTGATGTGATTTAAAATCCGAACTTTGGGCAGGCCAGAAGTCTAGCCCACTGATCTGGTGGGTCCTCTTCCACTATTGAATATATGCTCCTGTGTGGCAAATTGCTCCATCCTCCTGAAGGATGAAAGACCTTATCTGACTTTCGGTAATGACTGCGAACCAAGGGTGAAAGGCCTGTGCCAGAATATCAATGTATTTATCCTCGTTCACGCTTTCGTTCTTGCTTATCTTTAACAATCCAAACCCTCCACTCCAAAAACAATCTCAAGCAATTACACTGCAACCACCTCACTTCACCGTAGCAATGTTGCGTCTTTCTCCATACCTTTCTCCAACTTTTTTGAAGACGCGCTTCGACCCATCGTTGCCCTTCAAGCAGAAACAAAACGCGCCAGACCATAACACACTGACCCACTGTTCATTCTATCAATTCTACTATAACTTGGCCCAATGAAGTCTTGTCTTCTTATGTTCTTTTGTCGAACAAGGCCTGTGTGCAGCAATGCAAGATTTGAAGCCAAGATGCTTGACGTAGTCAATCACAGTTTTTCTGCCAACGTTAATTGACATTGATGCTATGCCATTCTGAGTTGATTACATGAGGTAAATGGATCCTCTCGTATAATTCTTTGCAAGTGCCTTTCAGTTGTCAACTTTTATGAGTGGGCCAATTAATTTACGAGGAAATGGATTGACATGGACCTGTATACATTTTTTTGATTGTTTGCACACTTTGCAATTTCATCTCGACAATCGCTGCATTCTCACAGAGCATAAGATCTGTATTTAGTAGATAAAACATCTCCTAATAGTTATCTTCTTTTCGTGGATGATAAGAGTTACGAGTGCTCTTTCGGAATTTTCGAATAGACATTTTTGTTTGATTAATGAATTTTTGAGCAATGCTGATTCGTATTGTGAAATGAGCATAATTTCTTTTCTTTTTTTTTAGGGGGTTTTATTTAACATTATTGTGTGTGACTATATGTATATGTATAGACGACGATTTTTTGTATATACAAACATGTGCGTGTTCTTGAATAGAATATACTTTGTTCAAAGCATAACATTTCATTACACACATGAAATGCTCTATTCTAGCCAATTAGCTTGTGGGAAGGGGCACGGACATCGTTGAATAAAAAGAGAAAATGTGATTCGGGACTCCAAATAAATGTATTAATATTCTTCACAGAAAGCAAAATTTCGAAATAGAGACAAGAAATACCTCTCGGTCAAGTAACTCGTTTCAGCTTTCGAATATGGCTTGTGAATAAAAACCATTGGATTGTTATACTGATATCAAGCTTTATCAAAGTAAAAAAGAAAAAGACACACAAACAAACAACAAGAGATGATTATATCCAATTTCTTTTTTTTTTTGCGATAAAATTTATAAATAGTACCAATGTGGGTAACTTTAATAAGCTTTATTGACAATAGCTATTGACCAGGGTCTTTAACCAAAGTCACCCAATCTCAAATTCACTTTCACTCAAACCTTTTATTTTCGAATTAATACGTACCATCGCAGTATATATTATGATTTAATGTGTTACAATTGATCACCGAGTACAAAACACTATAAATTACATAATTATTTGCCAAGTCTTGTAAAATAAAATGACTCAAATGGAGAGAGAAAAGGAAAAAGAGAAAGAGAGCCATAAAGACGATGAAGTAGTGTAGGATAAATAGAATATCAGACCAATCAGACCTACATGATCGGCAACTATTAGACATTTCTCCCGGTGAGGCATCTCGTGAAATTCTACGTATCACAAAGGACGCAAGTCACTTAGTATGAAATGATAACTCCATTGTATTCCCAGAATGATACCCTCCCATCTTATTCGTTTGTCTGATAGGCTCACAACCACGCTTTTCTCTCTATTGCTTATTCAACCTAACAAAAAACGTATGCCCGACCACATTTACTATTCTCTAAAATTTACTCATCCCTTTCTCTCATTTGCCACAGAAACCAAAATTCGAAATGAAATATGTCCAAGTGTGTAAAGCACTGTACGACTATGAAGCTCGAACACCTGATGAGCTCGCCATGAAGGAAGACGACGTACTTTACATTCTCGAAGAAGAAGACGACGAATGGTGGAAAGCAGAACTAAAACAGGCTTCAAGCGACGCATCTGGTCCAGTTGGATTGGTGCCTGCCAGCTACTTGACAGAGGTATAATACAAACATATATATATATGTGTGTGTGTGTGGGCGTATATATATATATGTGTGTGTGTATATACAAGTGGACCCTTTAGTAATCAAAACTGTGCTGACCTTACGTCTGTCTGCAGTGTGAGCCAATTGGAATGGTACGCGCAGAATACGATTATGCCGCACGACAAGATGAAGAATTATCATTTGAAGAAGGGCAAGAGATGCTATTGCTCGAAAATGATGACCCAGATTGGTATCTTGTGAAAATGAACAACGGGAAAATTGGCTTGGCACCAAGCAACTATGTTCAGCTAATTTCTGAGACTGAACAAAAAGAGCCTCATTCTATGGAGGAATCGGAAGAGATCCATGAACAGGCTGAACCGCAGCCAGCTGTACAAGCACTTCCTCCAACTATGCCCATCCAGCCCATAGTCCCTCACATGGTAAAAAAAAAAGAAGAAAAAAAATTAAGCACAAAAAAATTAAAATACACAATCCGAGTATAACTAAGAAATTTATCAACATTAATGGCACTTAATATTTAGACAGGGCGAAGCGAGCATAGTACAAACAGAGAAGCTAATGATGATGCACAATCCTGGACTGTTCATGAATACGATGCAGTCAAAAAGAAGAAGAAGAAGGGAAAGGGAAATTTGTTGGTCGGGAACGGGATGATTTGTTACGGTAGCGAGACCGACAAAACTCTTCCTGTTCTCAAATACCCAATCCTTGATGTTACAAAATATCTTTTCGATGGCAAGACGCTTCACATTGAGATTTCCGGTAGCTCATCCACAGTACTCGACCTACAGGCATCCTCAAAATCTGAAGCTAAAGCTATCCTCGTCAAGATCACGGACTCACGCTCAATTGCCCAAATGGCAAACACCCGCGTGAACAAACCATCCGAATCTTCCCTGTCTGAACCGGAATCCAATAACTTCACCACTGTACAACACAGCACAACTACCTCATCATCGGCTCGTCAAAACTCCTATACTACAACCACTTCCTCTTCCGGCCAAATTACTCGAAGAGAATCCGAAACTGCGTCAACCCAAGAGAGTAATAATCCACCACGATGGGCAGTCATCGTATATGCGTTCGATGCCGAGGGTGGAGAAGAGCTTACAGTAAAAGATGAAGAGCAGGTTCTTGTATTAGACAGTACAAGAACTGATGGCTGGTGGCGTGTTGAAAAGACAAATGGCGAGGCCGGTCTTGTACCTTCGTCGTACGTCCAATTCAATGAAGATGTTGCTCAGCACAGAATTTCTGCTAGAGAACAACAAGAGGCAGCGCTAGAGCAAAAACGGCAAGAGGAAGAAGAGAGAGAGAGGCAGCGACAGGAAGAAGAAGAGTACAGGAAACAAAGTCTTGCTCAGCAACGAGCTGATGAAGCAAGACAAAAAGAAGAACGAAGAATTCGTGAAGAAGAAGAGCGTGAGCGTAGAAGAAAGGCCCAAGAAGCTTCTCAGCGTGCTGAGAATGAACGACGTCAACAAATGGAAGAGGAATACAAGCGTAAGGAGGAGGAACGCAAAAAGGTTAGCATTGATCCACACAAAGAGTTGATAGTTCTTGTCTTTCGTTTGCTTTTGTCTTAATCTGTGTGTATGTGCATATATGAAATTTTGGTATATAACTATACTGTTACTAGTCTATCCAACGCTCAGCTACAAGTGTTTCTCGATCTGTATCGTCTGCCGGTAGTTCTAATCAATGTAAGATATTTTTTAATACCATATCTTCAAATACACTTACCTAATTGCTATTACACTTAAAGTATCAAGATCTGCCAGCACCTCACATCCCGCCACTGAATTGACAAGTAAATAGAGAATTTGCATAATTTATATCAAACTAAGCCATTGCTTAACATTGTTATTGTTATTGTTATCTTTATTAAGAACCTGATAGCACTCGGGTACGGACCTGGACCGACCGCAGTGGTGCATTCAAGGTAGATGCCGAACTTTTGTCATACTACGACGGAAAGCTTCGATTACACAAGACAAACGGTGTAAAGATCGATGTGCCACTGGAAAAAATGAGCATGGAGGATATTCGTTATGTGGAAGCACACACAAAGCACGACATACTTAAGAACAAGGAAGCATCCGCAGCTGAGTCGACTTCTCAAAATAAACCTAGTCTTCAGATCGAAGCAGCTCCTAGTCGATCGGTTCCACCACCGAAGCAAGAGAAGAAAGTTAATCCCAGCTGGGATTGGTTTGACTGGTTCTTGATGATCGGCGTACCTATGCAAGCTGCACTTATTTATTCATCTGCTTTCAAAGCCGATAAGCTTGATGACAGCGATCTGCCTACGTTGACTCACAAGCAGATGAAGGGTCTTGGCATGAAGGAAAAGGATGTAAGACGTGTTGAGAGATACATCGAGACTGAAAAGGTTGAACCTCCTTCCGACGATGAAAAAGAGCCAGAGGTAGCAGCAGCAAAGACAAAGAGCCAGCTTGAAAAAGATGAAGAACTCGCTAGACAACTGCAGCGTGCATGGAACGATAATAAAGATATTGGTCAAAACAATGAAAAGGGTGAGAAAACACATATATTTTTATTCTGATAAGAAAAAAAAACACGGTTTATCTAAATTCCCACATACTCCATGAATAGCTTCCTCTAGACCCAAACCTACGAAATCTGCACCTAAGGATGTTCACCCTGATTTGCTTGAGTTTATCGGCACTCAGTTTGCAGGCGATTCTTCCTCTAATAGCCAACCTGATAAAAAGGGCAAGGGGCCACAGACCGGTAGTAGCGACCTGATTGGGTTTGAAGACGACGCATGGACGCCTCGTGAAAAGGCTTCCAATGAGGTCAAGCCGGAGCCTGTTCTTCCTGCACCCCTACAGCCACTTCAATCAACACAAAATCCAACTACTACCAGTCACCATCAACCTCAGTCAACAGAGTCTATAACACAGGCTCAAGTGGTACCCACGCCTACTGGTCCTTCGCCACAACAGATTGCTGAGCAGCAGGCACAGCAACTGGCCCAAGAACACGCAAGACAACAGGCACAACAGGCCCAGCAAATTCAGCAAATTCAGCAGCAAGCTCAGCAGTGGCAGCAGCACCAAATCCAACAGCAAGCTCAGCAGCTCATGCAAAAGCAGAAATTGCTGGAGCAACAAGAACAACAATTACTCCGTCAAAAGCAATTACAACATGAGGAACAACAACAGCAGCAGCAACAACTCCAGCAGCAGCAAATTCTACTACAACAACAAATCATGCAAGAAAAGCAGAAACTTCAACAACAACTTGAATTGGAACGTCAGAAACAGCAATTGAAGCAGCAACAAGAGTTTGAGAAGCAACGCCAGCTTGAGCTTCAACAAAAGCAATTTGCTGCAAACTCTGTTCAGGGATGGCAGACCCAACAATTGCAATCGCAAATGACCGGCCAGAATTTTGCCCACTCGCCTTACTATCAGCAACCTATGAATGCCGTGAGCGTACCTTTATCATCGGTACTTCCTCAACCACTCATTCCTTCCCCAACTGCTGCTGGTCAGCACATGCAGAGAACAGGTTACGGATCTGGTCTCCAGCGATCGCAGACCATGGGATCTGGCATTGCTTCCCAGCCCACTGGTGTTCGTAACTGGCAAACCGCAAGTAAGTTTTAACGGGTTGTTAGCAATGAAGCATGGTCTTATATGTGTTTACTAACAATTTCCATTCATTCACTTTATAGCACCCGAGAATCCTTTTGGATCTCCTTCTATGTCTCCTTTGAGCCCACAGATGACAGGCGTTCAGTTCTCCACACCTAATCCTAACGCATTTAATTACAACCCAGTACAATCTCCTCAGGCCAATTACTTGCAGCCTCAATTGACTGGGTTCCCTGTTCAGCAGCAACCACAGCAGACAGGTAACATATACATATACATAGTTATTTTGTGTTCAATTGTACTCAACTCTTTTTAATATATATATATATATTAATAATAATAATTGCGTTAATAATTTCATATAGGATTGTTTCCAAATGCTTCTCCAGCACATGTATTCACACCAAATGGTTCCATGCAACGTAAGTTTCTCTTCATTTTTCTGTTTTCAACATTTACATTCTTTTCCAATTGCTCATTTTCTTTCCTTTCGAAACAGATGGTCAATCGGGCTTTTCTCAACAGCCAATGTACACTGGTATGAATCAACAACAGGGGCAATTCGGTCGAGGCTGGTAAAACAATAATAATTAAAAGCAAGACAAAGACGATATGTATTTCGTGTGTGTGTAGTTTGTGCGTACTCTCCATCTTTAAATCCAAATAATACATGAATACATATATATGTTCCTTATTTCATTCATAAACCTCGTTAAATTTTTCTCTTCCTATCTCCTATTCTTTACTTTTGTATTTTGAGCTCTATTTGGTTATTATAGATGATACGGACTATTTGACTGAAAATTGAAAAAAAAATAGAAGGTTAATTAATCATGGGCGTACATTTTCTGTGTATATCTGGGTTTTTTTTATGGTCGAAAAATATTGAAATATAGGTTGTAATATCATTTGTTTGATTGGGATAAGGGAGGAGAAAAGTTGACTCTATGACTATAAAAAAATACATATATAAAATTAGTTCTTCTTGTCCTTCATGAAGTTGAGGGCCTTGATGGCATCGCGGTTCTGCTTTCTGTGGAACTGGCGGTTGACGGGCTTCTTTGTCTTTTGCTTCTGCTTTCGCTCGTCAAGAAGGTTCCAGAGCCAATCTGGGTATTCGCTATCTTCCAGGGCAACGGGATCCTGGCGATCCTTGAGGTAATTAAGACCTTTCAGGGGGGTACCAGCAGGTGCGGCTGATACAGTCCGTGCGGGAGTGGTAGGAGCTGAGGATTCTGTGGTAATTCATGAGTAATGTATTTTATATGTGTTGTTGTTGTAGTTGTTGCTGCTGTTGTTTTTTTTTGTTGTTGTTGTTGTTTTACCCTTGGTTCCAGCTGGAGAAGTGGCATTAAGTAGCCATGAAGAGCTAGAAAATGAACGAATGTTATGAGCAGAAGTGGCCTGAAGGCGACAAGTGCGTGCCAGAGTGATTGCTCTGAACATGATTGTAATGATGCAAGCTTTGAATGCCTTTTTTCGGGGGGAGTTGTTTTTGTTGACAGTCCAGAGAGTTGGAGAGGCAGTCACGTTGACATGTCCAAGAAAGAAGGAGTTTATTGTCTAGGATGAGAGTGGAAATTGATTTGACATTGTGGGGGGGGGGGGGGGGGGGATAACAAATAAAAATGTTTAAATTCCTAAAAAATGGTAAAGATAATAAAATAGCCATAATAATAATGGTAATGATAATGATAAGGGTAATAATAATAGGAATAGGAATAATAATAGGCCGGATAATTTTTATACCCCGATGTAAATGAATATGGGAATTTTGGAACCTAATTTTAAGGGCCTTGTTCAAACCCCTTCCGCTTCTACAAAATTAGGCCTAAACCCTGATTTCTTGAGGGCGGCCTTTTGATCCATGGTGAAGCCCCGCAAGCTTTTGTTTTTAAGCATATCTGGGACCCGCCGCTTTTTGTTAATACCCGAAAATAATGCCCTTCCCATGCGGCGTGAAAAAATAAA